AAACTGTTTAATTGGTCTATTAGAACATTCTCTGTTTATTCATCTGAATTCTGATATAGTTTCAAACAATTATGATTTTTCATTTGCAGGTGGATGATGCTCTTAAATTTCCTTTCCATGCTAGTTTAGAGCGCATAGCAAACAGGAGAAATATCGAGCATTATAATGCAGATAGTTCAAGAATTTTAAAAACTTTGTATTGGTAGATTTTTAAAATTTCTCTTAAGAAGATTGTTATTTTTGCTTTTTTTAAGAGTCACTTGAGTTAAATATTGATTACTTCTACTTCTATTGTTCTGATTCCAGTTCATCAAATGTTAGCAATGAAGATTTTTTAATACTGGCAGTAGAGGATTTTTCACATCTGCCAGTCTATACACCGTGAAGAACTCAATCATCTTGAGAGGTGCGCATATTTATGTACATTGAGGATGATGATTTTGGTACAAACATTTTCATGGAATATTTTATGAGAGGAAGGTCAAACAGTAGCATGGAGCCAACTGTCTGCTTGAGCTCTTTGCTCTTTTAAGTAGATTGGTTGGTTCTAAAGGTATATTGAGCTTGAGCTTGGCCTCCTCCGTTTAACTCTAGCCTCTGCTTGGCCCCAATCTTTGGTTTCGGTCAGTCAGTAGAAGTCCCAGCCCTCTAAAGCTATGATTCTTTTTTCTTTTTTTTATTTTATTCTGTTGGCACGTTTTGATTGATGAGCATCAATCAAAAAACAAGAAAAAAATAAAAACCATCGGTCATGGTGTTATTCATGTTTTGATTGATGTAAGAGCATTACATATCAGTATTGTAAATGAGGTGTTGTGTCCTCTCCATGTGAGCAGGTGGGTTGTCGAGAACAGATTAGACAAGCTAAAGTTTGCCAGGCAGCGATCAGCATACTGTTACTTTGCCGCTGCAGCAACCATTTTCTCTCCTGAAATGTCTGATGCCCGCATGTCATGGGCCAAAAATGCTGTGCTCACAACAGTAGTTGATGACTTCTTTGACATTGGAGGTTCTACAAAGGAATTAGAAAACCTAATTCACTTGGTTGAAAAGTAGGTTTCCCTCGTCCTTCGCTTATGCTCTTTTGCTTGCATTGTCCATTGGTTCATGATTTCTGCAGACTTTCTTTATAACATTTCCCATTACAGAAGTGATGATGTGATGCAATATTGACCACAGATGGGATGTAAATTTAGGTGCCGACTGTTGTTCAGAGCAAGTTCAAATCATATTTTCAGCACTTCACAGCACAATCTGTGAGATTGGAGGCAAAGCATTCACATGGCAAGGACGTAGCATGACAAGCAACATAAAAGAGATTGTGAGATGAAATTTCACTTTGTGCATCCTTTTTATTTTAGTTGATTAAAGCCAGAAAGAGATTTTCAATAGCATTCCGATAAATTGTGGCATGTGATATGACACATATACGGAATATATACATGAAGGAGACGTATATAACAATCTACAAGGTTTTCAAAATCAATATATGTTTGAACGACTTAGGGTTTTAGGATTGGGTTGTAGGATCGGATAAAGAACTGTTAACATTCTACTAATGAAAAAATAATACCTACTAATATTTGTGCATTAAATTATGCTAAAAAAGTACACGAGAAAAAAACATAAAACTCATGAAAAAAATATGGAAAGTCTATTTTACAGGAGATGGAATGTGTACTAATAGATAAGCATGAGAATTGTAGTTTGAAAGGAATGAGAACCATAGGAAATTGTTACGTAATACACTTGAAACCTACACTAGTCTGTTCCGATTCACAAACCCTCAGATGTTCTGCAAAAATAAATCTTCTGACCTTAATGTAAATGTTCGGTTTCGGAGTAGCAGTAACGCTTGTTGGGAATAGAGCTATATTTTAAATTCATATTAACTCTGTGGAGTCAACATTGACAAGGGATATTGGACCTAGTTTATATTGTTCAGCCAAAGGTGATGTGAGTTATGTCTGTGTGCCAGTGGTTGGATTTGCTCAGCTCTATGATGAGAGTAGCTGAATGGGTTAGAGACAAGTCAGTGCCAACAATGGATGAATATATGAGAAATGGATATGTATCCTTTGCCTTGGGACCAATTGTCCTTCCAGCTCTTTATTTCATTGGACCTAAGCTCTCAGATGAGGTTCTTTGCCGTTCTGAAATCCACAATCTATTTAAGCTTATGAGCACTTGTGGACGTCTTCTCAATGATATCCAGAGCTTCAAGGTGGAAGTATACACAAATGGGCTAGCATTTTTATACACGCACATACACCCCTTTGTATCTATCTGTTTTTGAGTTGATGATTCCTTGTGGTTATATTTTAGAGGGAATCAAAGGAAGGTAAACTGAATGCTGTGTCATTGCATAAGATTAATAGTGGTGCTATCACTGAAGAAGAGTCCATTGGAGAGATGAAGAGGTTCATTGATGGTCAGAGGAGAGAATTGCTTAGATTAGTTTTGCAGAAAAAAGATAGCATAGTTCCAAGAGCCTGCAAGGATTTGTTCTGGAAAATGTGCAAAGTGGTGCATCAATTTTATGCGAAGGATGATGGTTTCACTTCACATGAGATGATCAATGCTGTGAATGGAATCATTCATGAACCAATTGGCTTCCATAAAATGTAAGTTTGTTGGAGAAGCTCCAAAGTTCTGTGATTAGCTAGCTGCAAAAAGAAGTTGTACTGCCCTTTCTGTTTTCTTTTCTTTTCTTTCCTCACTCTCTCTACATCTCTCTCTCTCTCTCTGTTTAGATTTTGAGTTTGCATGTTGACTATGACTTTAATAAATTTTTCACTCTTAATAAAGTTTCAAGCCTTGACATTCTTTTTGTGATATATTTGGTTTCCTTTTACTAGACTTATTTTTTCTCTACCATGGTTGAATCTGTTATATCTATATATCTATTTTTGAGAATGGTTACTTTTGTGTAGCACATATGAATCATAATGTGTCCTGGTGAAGATGTGATTGAAGAACCATTTAAGCAAACTATGAATTTGATACAAATTCTTCTTCAAGTATGAATCCCTTCTGGTGAATTCCGAATTTTCAGCATTAAGTGACATCAACTCCAACTTCCTTTGACCTAAGCTGATTCTTCAACTAGGGAACTAAGCTCTTCATTTAACTTTTTCCGTACCACGCCTTTATGGAGTAAAAGGTTTTTAAAATGTTAGGAAGCTTTATGCTTTGACCATAATCATTGCCTCATTGGACCAAAGCTGAGGTGACAGACGCACCTTCTCCAATAAAAAAAGATGGTGCTTCCAATAACAATTGGAGCTTAGAACCTTTGCTCTGTTGTTTAGCTTTGGTTTGGTAATAAAATTTTGCTTAGGAAAAGCTTAGAACCTATTGTGTTGAGAATGCCATAAATTAGACTATTCTAATGTGCTAGTACCACAAGCTCTCAAATTCTAAGTTGCCCCACCTTAGTTAGAAAAGGAACAGTATTTGTTCCTTGCAATAGAGAATTGAAAGAAAGCTCTTTGGTGAAAGCAGTAAATACTGCTGGAGATAGAAAACTGTTATGGATTCTATAACGAAAATCGTTTGTTTTAGCAGAAGTGGGTGTATTATAGTCCGGAAGACCTTTCACTTTGTTCTGATAATTATACATGTATGGTTCCTTGTATTTCTTAGAATATAAAGATGGCATTGTTTTGTCATATGTCTTTAGAACATTAAACCAAGTGGTGCCCTATTAACTTGAGTGGCTATGGAGGAGAGTTTGAATATGTTCAATCCACTGGAATTTTATGCTTCATTTAGTGCTAGGATAACATTTTGAAACACTGAACTTTGTAAAGTTGACCCTTTTCTTATACATAACTATTTGTGAATTTCATGATGCCAGCAATGTGAAAAAGCCAAAAACGTGAATCCCATGAACAAAAATGAGGTAGGTCCCATATATACAGGAAAGACTCGTTTTTTGGATGTCAGGCCATTATCTTAGATATTTTGCATCTTGGATTTTAATTTTAGTTGCCACTTTTGAGCTAAAGGTTTTTTGCTTTCTCCAATGTGCTAAAAAGCGCATATTGCTTTGTTATCATGCAGGGTTTTCACAAATTTAATAATCATTATATTTTGATTCCCCTAATCTCCACTTAAGATGTTGGAATTGAGATATATTGTTATTGATTTGCATATATCTACTGCCAAAAGTGAAGAAGGCTTTTTGATGAGAACTGCCATGTTATTTATAATATATGTGTGGGCAAAATAGATACTTTGTATAACATAACAGCCTTAGATCTAACCATCTGTCAAATAGAATGTTTTAGGGCCAATGATTGAGGACAATGTAGGGGTAGGACTAGTGTCTTTTCTGTCGTTTTCCCTAAATCTTTTTAAATGTTATGTAGATTATGAGGAACTTATGGAAATAGATTACTGATTAACTTTGGGTGACTTCTAGGTATATAGGTTGGTCCATTGCTTGTGGGCAATGGCCATCTTTGGCAACTTTGTAGAAGACATGGTTTGTGGACATTTTTAATGGAGGGGTTCAAACTTTTATGAGATATTTTTGAATGTTAAAGTTAACGCGCACATACCCACAATATTACCCCTAATATATCTCGCACACTCAACCTTTCATTTGGAGAGGAGAGATCATACCACCTGGGTTAATGCCTATTGGTTGGGCAAAGTTACTTTGGTCATCGTTTGATTGATATTAAATTCGAATTTCATTTTTATTCCTTATATATTTACTTGAAAACAGAGATGGAGGAGTCCTTTTGAATGTAATTGATAGATGAGAACCAATATTCTCTGTGGTAAGTATGTGTTGTTAAGCAACCGTCTATTCTAAAAGCTTAAGTTATTAGAGGTTGTAACTTTTATGTATAAATCTTTAAACACGCACCCTCGCGTGAGGCCTTCTTTTTGGTCCAACACATGTTTCAAGTTTAATTATCAAGGTGACAGTGTGGTTTGAATACAGGAGTTTGCCTGCTTTGATACCATGTTAACAAGGAGAGAGAAAATGAGAGCACTTGACTCAAAAATTACATATTTTGCTCTGAGTATTCAAGCCCATTTGGCTAGAACAGACATACAACCAGCTCCTAGAAGAAGTGAAATATTTGCTCCTAGTTGAAGCCTTCTGTTGTTTTGCATCCTTGGGTTCATGAAATCTGCTGCTAGTAGGTCAACAAGTGCCATGTATATCAAGATCCCGGCCGAAGCAGCATTGAACATCCCTTCAACAATTAGGGCAGTTGAGCTTGTTTCGCTGTAAACACTTGATACTCCGATACCAATCGCAATCCCTACTGGAGTGGTGAGGGAGAAGAAGAGTGCCATAATCACCATGGATAGGGACTTGAATTTGGCCTACACATACATGCCACCAGAAAAATTATGCTTCCTTTTTATCTTTTTGTTCTGAGAAAATGCTTTGTATATTATACTACATATCTTTTCGGAAATTTATATTATTATACTATATCAGTAAATAGAATGGGGAGAAAAGTGTCCTAATCACCATGGAGGCTTGAATTTGGCCTACACATACATGCAACCAGAAACATTGTGCTTCCTTTTATCTTCTTTTTTTTTTTGTTCTGGAAAATATGCTTTGTGTTTCTTACCATATATCTTTTCGGAAATTTATATTATTATACTATATCAGTAAAAAGAATGGTGAGAAGAGTGTCATAATCAACATGGATAGGGACTTGAATTTGGTCTACACATAAATGCAACCAGAAACATTATGCTTCCTTTTATCTTCTTTTTTTTTTTGTTATGGAAAATATGCTTTGTGTATTTTACCACATGTCTTTTCGGAAATTTATATTTTGCCATATCAGTAAATAGAATGGTGTGAAGAGTGTCATAATCACCTGGATAGGGACTTGAATTTGGCCTACACATACATGCTGTTCTGGAAAACATGCTTTGTATATTATACCATATATTTCTCGAAATTTTTATTATTAATAATATTATACTATGTCAGTAAATAGAATGGTGAGAAATAAATGGTGTTGTCATGTAATTGTAAGAACAATTTAAATTAATTTTGTGTATTTAAGATGACAGCATACCCTGCTTTGGCTGAACCTTCCTGCTGCTTAAAATCCTGCAATTTATTACTTGCTTGTATGTTTACTAAATAATGTTCTTCATGATTCCTTATCATTCTTTCAATCTGATTTTTAGGATTTGGCTAAAGAAATGAAGAGGTTTTACCTGAGAGATGCAGCCGCCTAGTCCCATGCCCTCGAAAAACTGATGGAAAGACAGTGCTGCTAACAGAGGCTTTATTGTTTCAGGGCTTTCAGAAGCTCCCAAGGAGATTCCAATGATTACTGAGTGAACAACAATTCCCAACTCCAGAACCTAAAAAACATCCATCACATACAAAAGAATTGAGAATCTCTCACTTCCCAACGAAAATCGAAAATGAAAAGGAAACAGTTATGTTTGACAGTAACCAGTGCAGAAGGTGAACTCAAGATCAACTTACTTGTGAAATGACACGATTCCGGATGAGTTCTGATGCACCCCTTTCATCAGAGGGAATTGCAGAGCCGTGAGCGTGAGCGTGAGCGTGATCATGTGTGGCATGTGTGTGAATATGAACATGCCCTCCATGCTCTTCATCCCTCTCTGTGTCAACCACACCCCCCTGCTGAGACTTATCGAAGTGCTTATTCTTATAAAAACTAGTTGCGAATGAGTCCACCATTAAAGTTCCGATGGAAGACATCATGGCCACGAACCCCGTGAATGGAAAACTCCCCCACGGTTTCTCCTCAAGGCAGGGCGATGTTAGATTGTCAAAGGCATCAGGCAGTATGTGGATGAAGCCGGTTGCTAGAATGACGCCTGCAGCAAAGGCTTTGATCATGAAGAAGATATCGTTTTCAGGGTTCAGAGCTTCAATTTTCCTTCCCAGCAATGGGAGGCTCACCCCGATAGCACCAGCAACAAGAATAGAAGCAATTGCAGCTAGTTTATACTTGAGGGATTCACTTCTGCTTGGCTTTTCGGTTTCAACATCACATGTGCACTCAGCAGAAATTACAGTAGGAAGAACAACAACGAGGAGTGTTATCATTGTTATGTGCAAGGGACAAACTCCAAACTTGTTCATGGTGTCTATAGAAAGAGAGAGGGTTTTGGATATGTGAGAGAGGTTTTCTTCTTCCTCTGTGTGTGTGTGTGTGTTATATGCCTATATATTATATATAGAATGAACATGAAATACAGCTAGAGAGTACATTACATGTCTGGTTACCAGTTTGGCTAGGTAGTACAGGTCTGGTTACCAAGTTCCTGCTTTGATATGTCCAATGATGGATGTAGTACAAATAAAACAATTTTATCTCAATTATATCTACAAGGCTAGGTTCATTTCTATATGCTTTTTCAAGTAAAAAAAAACTGGGTAATAACCATTTTTTTTTTTTGTCCAATGAAAGTGGTGGCTCCTGTATGATTATGACTTATCGATGTAGTACAAATAAAACGATGTTTGATATCAATAATATCAAGGACAATGATAAAAGTTTGGTATATAGACTGAGTTGTTTATTATTGGTTTGAATATTTTGAAAGGAAAGTGATATGTCCTTATTCATTATTAATTAAGAATCTTTGTTTAACACTGGTAATTGAAATAATGAAAAAAAAAAAAATTTGATCGTCAAATAAAAGCCCAAATTTTGTGCGTGTTTTCTCCAATAACAATACTAGGTAAAGACTTTTTATAATGTCCAATGAAAGTGGTGGCTCATGTATGATTCTGACATGGTATAGTTACAGTGATATGTTAATTATGCAATTTATATTGATGATGTGTGTAAAATTAGTCATTTTGTATAGAAGTAATGGAAAGTTTAAAGTGGTAATTAGGTCATCTGAAGAAATGATTCTAAAGGAGAAATTTACAGGAATGCATAATTAACATTTGAATAATAGATGTCAAAGTCACAGCTGAGAACAGAAAGCAATTAGCTAAAAGGAAGGTATTAACAATGTTTAACTTTTAGTCTTTTGAACTTGTTCTGTTTTGGGTGGAGGTGTGTAGACAAAATGTTGTCATGGAATCGCTTAAACAAGGCAATTTAGTGTAGATTTAATCGGTCTTAGCCTTTCTTCGACTCAGTCAACTTCAATAATGTCGTTATTATGTAGTCAACTTCAATAATGTCGTTATTACGTCTACTTTTATTTGATAAATAATTAATGCCCCACCCCCCGAACACCTTTTTTTTCTTTAATACTGTTCCTTCAAAAATAATCACTAAGCCGAAAATTTAGGACGAAAATGTAAATAAATAATTAATTTTTTTTAGAAAGAGGTACAATTCTCTTTAGTAGATTTTATTACAATATAAAATATTTCTCTGATTAAATCTCCTTAAAAAGTTGATGCAAGTGTTTCATAAGATTGATCTTGAACCGGTGATTGAATATTCTTCAAGATTGAAGAAGACTTTATTGAATTTCCAATCGAGGGCCGATGAAACTTGATCCCGAACAGTGGATTTGAAGGTCTTCGGAATAAGAACGGCACTTGTGTGCTTGTTGTTCTTTAGAATTTTCGAATGTTGAAGGATCTTGATGAAGAACGGCGCTTGTGTAGCATGCTTGCTATTTTTCATATTCAGAATCTTCAAATGTGAAGGACTTTTATGAAGAATGACACTTGTATGACATGTTTGTTGTTCTTCGTCTTCAACTGAAACTCTTGGTCATGATGCATACGAAACAAAGTCTTTTGCTTTCTTTATTTCGTTTGTTAGGAACTCTGATAAGTCTGACATCGAGTAGAGGGTATTTTTCTGCTAACTTCCTCGATTGGATTGATTTTCAATTACTCTGTCAACATCGGCTCAAGGCATTATTTGACTGCTTGGAAATGAGTCTTAGAATTAGAATTGGAATTGGAATTGGTGGAATAGGAGAAAATATTGATTCAATTTTCTAAATTGTTTTTCTCTAATTCCACTAATTCGAATTCTAAAACTCCAATTGCATACAACTGAACATAGCTTAAGTGAATTTCAAGTCAAAGATTTCTTGTTACCAAACACTTTTGGCTCTATTTGTTTGAGCATAAAATATTTTTTGTGTTTTTCTATTGTTTGGTTATCGTAAAATATTTACGAAGAAAAAAATATTAAAATCTAACAAAAATAATTTATTCATCAATTTTCGGCAGGTTATTTTATGCATCCCATCCGATGGACTCAACCTCAATCTCTACTTAAACTTTTGCCAAACATTAAAAAATAAAAATAAAAATATTTTACATAAAAAAAATTTTAAAAAAATATTTTATGTTGAAACCAAGGAATTAATTTTAATTTTTGAAGTTTGTTTGTTTTAACACAATTTTTATATTATTTTTTATTAAAGGTGTACAGCCAACTAAAGCAAAAATGTTTTTCAGGAACAGTTGTGCCAGGCTATGCTAGCAAAAATGTCTTTCGGGTACAGTTGTGCCGGCCTATGCTTCTAGTCAAACTAATTTCATTGTTTTTTTTTATGTTAATTTTTATTTATTTATTTATTTTTTTGGGGATTCGGCTTCCAGACAAAAGTCTCTAATTTCATTCAACATGCCGGATCCAAATTTGATGTCTATTTTCATGTTTGAGTTCGAGGGGTTCGATACACAAAGTACAACTTGTGTACAATTCAAAGTGGCATACTTCAAGTTATCAAATTTTAAATCATGTGCCCTGATCCACTGAAGGCACTTTTACGGTGATTTCGTGCGATCTACCGGATCAAGAACCATTTTTACTGAATTTTAATTGAAAATGTTCAAACTAAGTTGTTTGATAAATTGAAAAACTAAGTACCGAAAATTTTAAGAGTTGAATTTTAAACTCGTAGATACTTTCCGAAATCTTTTTAAATTTTCGTATTAGTGATAAGTGATGTCTCTATAATTTAAAATTTTATTCTATTTTAAGTGAAATTTACAGTTTTCAAAAATATTTAAAGTACGTTATCAAATACACTTTAATTAGATAAGTATTTGATATAAATACTTTCAGAATTAAACGCTAAATTGAATAATTAAATGCCAACTCATCATAAATATAGGTTGGAAAATTGAGATATTTCAATTGCATTAGATGAATGGTTAACTTGTAAAATGGTTTGGTCGATGTCTAATAAGATAAGTTATGGTTCATGTTAAATATGTAACAAAGTAAAAACATTAAAGGCTTTTATGATATTTATAAACAAATATTTTTAGGATGAATATTAATTTTCTTTTATTAAAGAACAATCCCATGATGAATACGATCATTTAACATGTCAGATAACATTACATATTCAATTCAATCCACGAAGATGTAAGCTCGAAAGTGCCTTCATCACAACATTTAAAGAATTTTCTTTTCCAATTTTAATTTTTTCATATTTTATTAAAAACAAAAAAAATGGTCAATGGTACTTTCTCACCTTCTCCTGTACCATGTCATTTGGTGGTCTAATCTAATCCAAATTAATGTTGATGTTTTTTTTAATAATATTTTATTACATTTTTATTGTTTTCAGTAATATTAAAATTATGTCATCAAACACACTTAATTGAATAAAATGCTTGATTTGTTTAGAATCAATTATAGAATTGAATTCTTTTTCATCAACGTGAGCATGTGAGTTTCTTATCCGGATTAAAAGTAAAAAATAAAAATATAAAAAAGGGAGAAAAAGATGTTTTTAAAGAAATCGTAGAGAAGGTAGGATTTAGGAAGCAACCATTCTAGACAACCCAAATTTGAGGCCCAAGCTTTAGGTTAGCAATTCGGCCCGTCCTGATTATTTTTAGGCTCAAGCCGGATCGGGTCCATATTGGTCCGAACTTTTTCGCCTCCCTCGACTGCCCCGTCCTAATTCAAAACTTGAAGGAGGCGCTCTTGCACAGCAACGGTACTCTCTCTCTACACTTCTTCGACTCCAAATTCTCTCTCTATCTTTCTCTTGCTGCCGAACATCACAAGAAATATGTCGTTGCTTCAGGTAATGCCGAAAACTCAGTTATCTTCTTCATCTGGTTTGATTCTTCGTCGACAACATTCTTTTAAAAAATCAATTAAATCAATTTCGATTTCGATTTCCCCCTCTCTTTTAAATCCCAATGTTCTTGGATTTTATTGTTTTTTTCTTTTGAATTCGACCAAATCATGCTTAATATTTGCTTATTACTTGTACATCTGTTAGGGTAAACGATTCGACTGAAAGAAATCTGAAGAATCTATTCCGGTACTCTCTCTCTTTCCCCTCCTGTGTGTGTGTGTGTGTGTGTGTTTCTCTCCCTCCCTCATTCACTCATACAAGTTTCAATCGACCGTTTGTAGGACGCCTAGCAGTATTAGCTATAAAACATAATGGTCTCTGTCAAGGTACACAGAAACCCTAATTCTTACTCAGTGATTTGTTTCTTTTTAAGAGCATCTATGAAGAAACTTGTTCTTCGTGTAAATTTAGGGAAAACTGAACAAAACTGCGAATCGAGTCACAACGGATCATGGCACTAGCAAGAGCGGTACTTTGAATATAATTTTTTTGATTTAATTTTTGTTTTTACATTATGAGTTCTTGTTTATCGTTCTATATGTTTGCTTTTACTTGTTTTTTGGAAACAGATGGAATTAGAAATTTCAAGGTCTATGAAGAAAACGATAAGGTTAAGGTTAAGGTTCAGCGAAGTGAATCTGTTTATCCTGAATCCAAGTAAGTGTGGTTCACCAGCCTCTTTTTGTTTCCTTTTCACCAATTTTATGGCTGATAATAAGGGTAAACCATTTTATGCTAGCACACTTATTCTTTTACATTTTACTTCCTATAGAATGAAATCTGTTCCGGTGGAAAAAGGGATTACTCAGATCAATGCAAGTGATTCAAAGGTTATTTCGATTCTATTTCTTTTCTTAATACTTGCAAAGCTGTTGGTGGATGGGAAGTGGTGTGTATACATTCTCTCAAACATAGGTTGCTTTATTAAGATTTATTTTATTTATTTTTCTTTTTGATATATAGGGCTGTCTCAAGAATTTGGATAAGAGTAAAGGCAAGCACGGTACGTCCAGTAAGGCCAACTAGTCTAAATATTTTACAACTCAAATATTATGTTTTAAGATTTTATTTGACAGCATAATATCCATTTTCCAGTGAAACCAAATGTTGGTAGAAAAGTTTTGGCTGATGTCAGCAATGTCCATGGCAACATTTCAAGTAATGAAGTGCATGATGGCTCCAAACCAGTGTAAGCAATGTTGAATCTTATCATTTGTTAGAAATATGCCTTGTTCATTTTGTAATGTCCTTCGAAATAATTATGTTGTTTATAAATTGCATGCTCTGTCATAATGCAGGAAGGGTAAAAGTGAAAGGATTACATCTTTACAACGGTAAGTGCACTAAATTTGATCATAAAATTTGTTCCTTGCGCTTGTAACATCATAAACTTATATGACAAGCATAAATTAACTGATTTTGTACATGATAGATCTGGTATTGATTTCTCAAAAAAAAGTACATGATAGATCACTGAAAGTGATCTCTGTATGTGTGTTTGAATGCATGCATACTTCAGCTAAACTACAACATTCCAAAAACATAAATGGGATAAATAGTAAATTGTTCTTGTTTTGTTTTGGAAATTATTTGTGCCTATTTGGTTTCGTTTTCTAAAAACCGTTCTCACACTCAGAAAACTTTTTTCAGAGAACTAAGAAAGAAAAACAGAGTTTTTTTTTGTTAAAATGAATACAGTTTTCATAAACTGTCTACCTAACAGATTTTTGTTCCGTTTTCAGTTTTCAGAAAACAAAAAATTATTCTCAAAAAACTGAAACCAAACAGGCCAAAAGTTGCTACTACTTTCAGAAACTGGCATTACAGCATTGCTTTTCCAATGCCCTCTTATTTCGAAATTCTTCGCAAGAAGTCTTAATTAGTCCATGCCAAGGGTTTCTTCTTTGTCGTCTTTTAGCTTTCTTTATTTTCTGGTAAGTGTTTTTAGCGTTCATTTACATATTCATTGATTTATTGTTTACTTATAGGGTCTTAGTGGGTCCAGGCATTAGGATTGCAAGTTCAACATCAAGCAAGACTTTAGTGGTATGCAATCCAATTTTTTCTTTGTTTCCTACCACCTGCCTGCTTCATTCTTAGTTAGCTACTCTATTTTTTTAACTAGTTCTTTTTCTTTTTTATTAGTTACAATCTGATTGATTATTACTTTGAGTTATAAAAATGGAACTGTAAATCATGTGGCTGAATTATAAGCATATTTTTATCCTTTTAAGCATCTGAAGAAAAAGTTCAATAAAAGTAATGTTTAGTTCAAGACTAAGAATTGTTTCTTTAGATGTAGGCAAATGATGCTGACATCAAAACATTAGTTGATGTGAAATATTTCTTAAACTCAAAGGATGGTTTTTATCTGTCTTCTTGAGAAATCTTTTATTGTGTTCAATAAGAAATCATTAATGTTCGATATGGGAAGAATCCAATAGCATCAGATTTGTAAGAGGTTGGATTAGTTCCCAGTTCCCTCATCTGAGAAGACAGAGAAAGAACAGTGTAGGTCCTAAAACTTAAGAACACTGTTCACTTTTCCCGTTTCTAATTGTCAATCACTAAAATTATCGTATAGAGGGAAAGTTGGAAAGATGTGTTGTGGCAAGCAAATTGAAACCTCCTCAATTCTTGAATTCTGCTAATCTTTGCCTGGTAGTCACTTGAGTGCCAAGATGATTGTTGTTGTAAAACAGGGCAAGGTGAGGGCAAACCAAAGTCAAGCTGTTGGCCACAGTAATACTTTAAAGAGAGGTAACTTTCTGTATTTTTTAGAAATTTTATTTTCATTTTATGATTAAGCAAAGAATTATTTATTTCTATTTTTTGGAAAACAGTAGGTGTTAAAGATTTCAAGGTCTCTTCTGATGACCAACAGACCAATGGTCAGGGCTATAGATCTGCTGATACTGATGGCAGGTATGTCCAACAATGCATCTTACTTTGCTCTTAATTACTTAAGCTGGTATGTAAAACTCTGTTAATTTTTTCCCATTATATTTATTTATTTATTCAGGACAACTGCAAGGAATCTTCTCCCACAGACCAGGTTTCTGGGTTTTCAGATATTTCCTTGCTTTAGTTGTCATATAAATAATCTATCTTGCCATTCATGCACTTTTTGGTCATTTATTTCTGCTTGAAGGAAGTCTTTACCAGTGTTAAAACGGGTTCACCAGATGAATACAACTGGCGTAAAGGTAGTTGTGATCACATTACATTCTATTCTTAATTTCTTGAATTTGTTAAACTTTTGCCTAAATTGTAGAATAGAGAAGATACTTCGGTCATAGAGTTCTGTTTTCTCCACTTGTTGCTTCTTCAGCAATTCCTGTCTTCTTTTAAAAATATTTTTAGTGGTTCTCTTCTTGTAGGAAAATGCTGGTAATTCAGAGAAGGATAAAGGAAAATATGGATTCCCTGGTTAGATGCAATACTTGAAGCTTGTAATTTTTTTTGGGCAACTGAGTGGCGTAGAACTGTACTGATTAGTATGATTTATTTATTTATTTATTTGCTGCTTCAGTGAAGCCAAAAGTTGGCAGGAAAGTGGTACCACAAGCAAGCAATGGGCGAAGTCATCTTTGGAACAATCGAGTTAGTGATGGATTTATAATAATGTGAGCAGAATATGCTACAAAACTAGCATCTTTTGGAAGCTTCTGTTAATGCATTGAACCACTGCCAATGCATTTACTGATTGTTATTTTAACTTCACATTACTTTTTACATTGAATGAAATGGAAGTTCACTTTGATGTGTTTTGCTATTCCATGGATTAGGGGTTAGAAGCTTGCACATTGTATCAGCTATTGTTTCATACTGTCTTTTGTTTATTATTAAGTTTTTGGCTTGTACATAGGATGAGTAACTGTCAAATTCTTTATTCTCCTCGCAAAACAATTTTAGCTATGGACTCTTCCATTGATATCACTATTTGATTGTGTGTCAAGTTAGTTAGAGAATGTATCATAATCTACTTGTGAGTTCCCATGACAAATAACAAATCTTACGTAGTTCTATCTTGAAACATGGAATTGTAAATGGTTCTATTCTATGAAATATTATTTTACAATGCTAAGACTTCTCTTATTAATTTTTAAATTTTCATGTTTGTTTATAGGGCTTCAAAAGGTCAATCCAAGGAAACATTGTCAAGAAAATCTGTCAAGGTAGCTTGGCCTTTTCTTTTATCCTTTTTGCTTTTAAAAAAAATTGCTATGATCGTACATGTTCAATGCAATGATTTTGTTCAATAGTTGTTAAGTTTGCTTAATCCATTCAGACTAGGGAAACAAGTCCAGTTGTTGCACCAATGTTTTCTCTTTTTTTTCTTTTGTTTTGGCAAGTAAACCACAATAATGTACATTGGTCTTCTAATAAGTAATATTTTTTAACTCTATTATCTTTACAGTTAATTATTCTTTGAGGAGTTAACTTCACTACTTAATTAATAGAAGTTTAAAAGAAGGTGAAACCTAAGATGTAATTATAGCCTTTTTACAATATTTTTGCTTGCTTTCTCAACTTATGTTAGTTTTGTTCTCTCCTTCCCTTAACAAAATTTTAAACTGTGTGACTTGCTTCCACTTTTATTGTTGCGACCATGCTAATGTGTCTGTTTGCATCTATTGAAGCGATCAGGCTCAACTTTGTTCTTTTTGGTAATTTTGCCACCCCCACCCTCATTGAGGTGCACTTTAATTTTTTTTCAAAATTCTTCATTTTGATGTTTATTAATTTGGTGACGTTTTGGGGACTATAAGGGGTGAGCCGTCACTTTGACTCCCAGCCTGCTATGCCACTAATGGGACCATTGTAAAGAGGGAGGTAACATTCACTTTGTGTTGTAGGGCAGCTATCACTAGATGGTTTAATATGTATTCATGTGTATTAAACCTGCAAAAGTGCATGCCCGGTTTTAAGATGGTATGCAACAGGAACTTGGGGCAAAATGTAGTTTCTACAAGTTAGTTTTCTGTTCTTTGGACCATCGGATTGGCTCATTATGGGCTATTGGAGTGATCTAGTTCGCATGCATTGATCAATCCAGCCGTTCAATTGTAGTGTGGTAGCTGTTCACATTAACTACTAAAAGATTGAATTCATCTAACTCTGTAATTGATTTGCAGTTTTTCCTGTTATTTTAAATTTGCATTGTTCACTTTTAATTAGCTATTTATTTGTCAGCATTACCCTGATTGTCTGTCTGTGGTTCATTCATTTATACAATTCAAATAGCTTTATGCAATTTCACCATCTGGCTATGTTCATTAACCTTGATACTGTAAGATGATCATACTTTTGTTTCTAAAAAAGAATATAACTAGGTTCAATTAGTTTGTCAAAAGACATGCCTTGCCTTCCCACCTATTTTTGCAATTTCAACATCTGTCATTTGATATTCCAGCCATTTGTGAAAACCGCGGTCATAGTTCCTAATACTCGAAGGACTTCAAAAACCAAGTTGGTATCTGAAGCTGCTATGTCGTCCAAGATAAAGGAAGAAGTGATGACATCTTCTCTTACTGGAAATATTGCATCAATTGTTCCACATGAACAACCTGCACAAAGAGGGTTTCCTTCTGATGGCAAAAGCAACATTGGTACAGATGTTACAGATATCGTTACCACGAGAAGATCTGCCTGTAGGAAATCTTATACATCTTTATTAATGGCAGGACCAAAGGTTGAGAGGCATACTATATTATTATCATTATTATTTTATTTTATTTTTGCCTTTATTTCCTTTCTTGTCCTTCCCGATAACAGTTTGCATTATTTTGCAGCTATTGGAGGACCATTGTGGAGTTATGAAGCAGGAAAATTTACCCAGTGTTTATGATGATGGCAATCACCTTGAAGTTGCTGAATATGTTGATGACATCTATCAGTATTATTGGGTTATGGAGGTGATTTTATATTCCACTTTAGTTTCATATATTTCTGCCTTGAGGATTTTTTAGGTCCTTTACTTTAGAAATAGCTAGCTTTTGCTCCCTCTAATGCCTATTATCGTCAACTATGTGGAGAATCACAAAATGATGACTGCATTATCTAATGATGCCAACTTGTTTTAAACATACACACAGAACATACATGCTTACAAACACATACCCTTGACATCCCGGAAAGGTACACTGATCCAATTGGCCAGAGTTGTTTTGACAGTAGCACTGAAGAAAATATGGACCTATTCAAAGTACGCGTATAATCCTATTATTCAGAACTGGTTGTCAAAGAATGAAACTAGAGTGTTTGACGACGAAATAGAGGACCGTTCATGCACAATGTGCTTGCTATTACCTTTTATTATCCATCACTTGTTTTCATTGACGCATCTTTCTTATTAGTTGACTCTATATCCCTATGAAAAGTTTGACTGAGCACTGGATGGGTTGGCAAATTATAATTGTTTGAAATTACTGCGGTTTGCCTGCTGCAGTTCCCCTTCTAATAATTCATTTCTAATAATTTGATAATTTTAATAATTTATAAATTTTTGGGGAAACGAATTTAGGTCATAGTGGATTTAATAATTGTATTACCTAATAAATGATAATATATAAAAAAAAAAAAATTAGAGTGGAAGGATATAAAGGTGTACAAACAATCACAAAAAAAGAAAAAATCATACTCTCACAAAAGTCATCTTTAGCTAATGAAATTTTCAAGATTTAAATAAATGGGGTGATTTGTCTATATTAAGTTTTTATTTTTATTTTTATTTTTATTTTTTATCTTAATGCACTAGAGGTTAAATGCATACTATGAAACTATTTAAATATTGTAGAATAGATAAGTATTTTTTGTTTCTTTTATATATTTTAGAAATAGATGATTAATTTCAATTTTAAAAAGTGGATACCTAATAATGCTATTAACTAATTAATTTAATGCCTTCCTTGATTAGTATTCCATCTTCTTTTAAAAAACTACGAATACATGTCACGGGAAGGATTAGTGGCATCTGAGGGCAGAAAGTGAGGACATTAAGTTTAATTTTTTAATAATATAAAGATATGAATTTAAAGCTATAGATGAAAGTTCTTCAAGACTATGCTGGACCTAAACTCTGAAAAAATACTCAAATAGCTTAAAGTGATTTGAGTGCTAACTTCATTATTTTTTCTTTCTTTTCTGTAAGTTCCTATGCATGTAATTTACCTGTACTGTATGTTAATGATTTGATTGTAATGTTACATGGATTTTTTATGATTCCTCTTCTGGAGGTCTGGGTTTTGGAGGCATTGACCATACTGATCATGGTGTTCTACCAGAATGATGCTTCTTTCTTGCCTACCATCATCCCTCACTATATTCAACCTGAATATGTTGTCTTTTAGTTGTTTTCTACAGCAGTACAGTATTTATTTATTTTTGGAAATTAGTCTTCATGACCATCTTGATGTTCACCTTAGCTAATTGGCTTTCAACTGCAGGCACAGAGTCAATCATTGGCTAATTATATGTCAATTCAGACAGGCATTACACCTCAAATGCGGGGCATACTGATCAACTGGCTTATTGAAGTATATATCTATTTTTTTTATTTATATCCTCGCATCCTTTTATTTGTTTTTCCTGGTGGCCTCCATTTCCTAGTTTATACTTTCTCTAAAGTTGTCTACTGCGACGTGCCACAGGTACACTCAAAATTTGATTTGATGCAAGAAACCCTTTATCTCAGTGTCACATTGTTAGATCGATATCTATCCCTGGCTGTAATTAATAAGAATGAAATGCAGTTGGTTGGCCTTACTGCACTGTTGCTGGCGTCAAAATATGAGGACTTTTGGCATCCAAGGGTAAGAATTTACATGTCCAAGTCATATTGTTGCTTATGAATCATCATAATATTCAACATGTTCTTGACAATTATGTGCTCATCTCTCTCTCTGTGCTCATCATGGATCCAGGTTAGAGATCTAATTAGCATCTCTGCAGAGCCTTACACAAGAGACCAGATGCTTTTAATGGTAAGCATATTCAAGTTCTTGAATCTGTTTGGCAGGGATTAAGTTTCTCCATCCTGTCTTGTAAGACGAAAGAGTAGTGAAAATTGGAAGTATAAACAAGCATTGTCTTTAAAGTTGGACTTTCTTGGTCTAAAAAAAGCGGCATATTTTATTTTTTTTCCCCAGGAGAAGGCTATTCTTAAGAAGTTGAAGTTCCGTCTAAATGCACCCACTGCATATGTCTTCATGCTAAGGTTCCTTAAAGCTGCTCAATCGGATGCAAAGGTATCTTTTATAACTTTTTAGTTAGAAACACTCAAAAGGCTAAGCAAATTAATTCTGGGCCTAAAGGGTTGATCTTCGGTATCTGATTGTTCTTTTTCTTTTTGTTATTCTCGGATACCATTTAAATATTTGGATTCAAATTTAGATCCATCATGTCAGAATTAAGATACTGTTTTTCTTATTTTACTGAGCTCATATGTTGCTATCTGATCTGGAGTTCTTTTTCTTTTTTCCTCTGTTAAATACTGCGTTCCTTGTGGTATTTTGTTGTCAGCTTGAACATCTAGCATTCTACCTTATCGAGTTGTGTTTGGTCGAGTACGAAGCTCTGAAGTTCAAGCCATCATTGCTATGTGCATCAGCCATCTATCTTGCACGGTTGACACTGCAGACGATTCCATCGTGGACCCTATTGCTCAGCAAAAACACACGCTATGAAGAATCCCAAATCAGGTGTGTGTGTGTATATATATATATTGCAGATGTATATATAATAGATCAATTCCTTATGTAGTTGTTACCTTATTGGTGAATTACTGTTTTTATCCCATTGTTACAGGGACTGTGCAGAGATGATATTGAGATTTCACAAAGCTGCTGGAACAGCAATGTTGAAAGTCACTTACGAGAAATACAAGGGGCTTGATTACAGTGGAGTCACAGCTATAGAACCTTTGGACAGGCTTCCTCTTTCAACTTAATGATACTCTTTTTGTTTTTCGTTTCCTCTACACAATCAAAACAACTCCCGAATGATGTAAGTTTGACTTAAGCAGTCGTATCTTCCATTTTAGTCTCATACCGAAAATCACATCACCATATGCATCTTTCATTCAAATCTCATGCCCACACTTACGCTCTTGAAACCTTGCAGGAACACACGTTCATGACTACGCGCTATGCGACCCATCTTTAGTGGTCTTACCTCTTCAATTGCATTTAATATACATCTGCTGTGAAGGACCCTCCACTCCAATGTTCAATCTGACATTCAATGTACCTGAATAACTATAAGAAGCTTGGATTTCCAGCTCATGTTGTCACTTGTATAATTAGAAAGTGAAACTTTTTATCAATATATTAGATGACAACTGGTGTCTGTAATTTTAAGAGGATTACAGGTTTTCATTTTGTTGTTTATAGTTTATGTGCCATTTGCTCATTTTTTTTGGTTCTGAATTTTTTTTTGTTATATATTCATGCGTCGAAATCTTGTGAATTTTTTGTTCATATCAATTCCATTACTATTTTAAATTGTTTCTTCTCAATAGCAACACTTACTCTCACACTACAAAACGAACTTTAATCAGTGCACAGAGAATTGACACTGAAAAACAAAGATTCATCGTAATACACGAACAGAGAGCACGCACTGGGTCCTTGGGCCGTGGAATCCCTACTGTACTGCAAGATGGAGGTTGAAATTTTTTTGGGGCTACCTGGAGAATTTTTAGTAATTGTTAGTGGATGTAGGATAAGTGGCTATGTCATAGCCTGTTCAATTCGTGTAAATATTGTCTGTTTTGCACACTATTTATGTTCACGGTTTTCAAAAATTTTATACACAATTAGGAGATATTCACGCATATAAATATCGTAGAGGACCACGTCACAGACTACACGTGCTCGATGGTAAAATTGTGGAGGTGTTTTAAGAGCCTGGACATAGCAGATTGTCGATTTTGAACCAGTGTGGTTTTATATAAATTATGAAAGGTCAATCCAAAGACTGACAACTTCTTGCTTGGTTTCTTCTATATTTTCTTTTATGTTTTTAAAGGATAAAACATTAATTTTGAATGTCTATCAGTGACCATCTAACGAAATATCCCTCGTTGAAAACTAGTTTGGAGAGGTATCTACATACACGCACATGCTTGAGTATTACAAATATATGAACTTTTGAAGTGCTATTTACTTACTATTTTATGGAGTTTCGAAAAAGGGTTGAAAGTATTCCTTCAAACTGTCACTCGTTGAAAGTTGAAACATCCAAATTCGTGGACTTTTGTAATGCTATTTACGATCATTATGACAACACAAACTCCATGAAGAACAGAAAATTTGAAGGAACTATAGTATTTACATGTATTCTGCTTGGTTTGGAAATTAGAGGTCCTTCAGGGAAGGCCAATAATAGCAGACCCCAAACTGAACATTCTTCGGAGAACAAAAGCAGCTTTTCTCAGCTTGCTGACCGTTTCAAATCATCTATTAACTCTCCTTAATTTTTTCTAATTAACATTTTTTAATTCAAATGGCAAATTATATATAGAGTTGCTTCAGTTTCGATTAAAAGAAAATTATGACTTCGTATTTCACACTCTTGAATGGGTCAAGATGAAAGGATTTGCAGGCCATCAATGGATTAAAAAACAAAAACAAAACAAAACGAAAAGAAAAGAAAGAAAGAAAAAAAATCGATCTTTTTTGGCCAACAGTGTTTAAATCCCATCTCATGCATCATGACATTTATATCCAACTCTCCAAGAACTAAGAGGTTGGTTTGATAACAAACATTTGAATTCCAATAACTAAGAGGTTGGTTTGATAACAAACATTTGAATTCCAATGCCGTTTTTTTTATAGCACTTTTCTTCATCACAATAAACCAATTCAGGGGCCATCATTTTGGGATACTGACGTTAACATTCTTTGCAATTCACAGAAATGAAACACTCCCGTAACAAATTTACCTATACAACTTCTTCGTCAGAGTCTCGGATGATTATCGAACAAGGAAAACCTTATCCGTGCATGTTAAGCAGCAAGCTCTGTAGTCAAGACAGGTGTGTCTGATTCCCCTCCCCATTCTGTCCATGACCCATCATAAACTACAGCATCTGTCTTTCCGAGTCGATGCAAACCCTGAAAAAACAAGAAAGATATTTTTATTTCTATCATTTTTTTCCTTTTTTTCTTTTCTTTATTAGGACAATTTGTTACTAAGAAATTATATATTGGCAGAAACAAGCTCCAAGTGTTCGGATGTAGAATTAAGTTCATAATAGTTAAAACCGTATATATTTAAAAAATATATATTCTGATTAATCTCATCTCCCTTCATAATTTTAGTAGAAAATAATATTATTTTTTTTGATAAGTAGAAAATAATATTATAATTTGGGACAAACTGAAAAATTAGTTCATCATGAAGAAACTATTACTATAAGCTCTTCCCCACCCACAGCCGTTCACAGGTTGCTTTGCTTATTTTCCCTTTTTGTTCTTTTTTCCCCTACTAGGTTTTTCATTATTGCAAAACGATTCTCAAAGAACTAAAAAGATGATCTTTAATGTCAATATGAAAATACAATGATGGCAAGGTAAGAAACGAAACAAGAACAGAAGTATCACCAATGCAAGAATGCAAGCAGTCACACCAGTGCCACAAGAAGTTACAACGGGGCTGTCCAAAGATATGCCTGCAGTAAAATATACAGTTGGGTGGTCAGAATTTGTCGAGTGACAGCAAATGATTAAGAATAACAACTCGCAAACAAGAACAACAAACCCAAGGGATAAAATACTGGATAAAAGAAAACAATTTAGACACCTACAACATATTAATGTCTTGACATGCATTGTTGGAATCATAGAAATAATTTGGTACACCACAAAAGAATAATTCTTAATACACACGGGTCTAGTGGAGAAGTATCACTAGAAGTTTAGCTTGGAAGGGTAGAGGAATCTTATGGTCTAACATAAAATATTGTGTGAAAACAATGGCATCTTTTTCTTTGTATTCATATATGTAACTGTAGGACGACATTATGGTTGGCTTATATCCATTTTCTTTTCTATGGCATGGTAACCACTTTAGCAGTTGTTGAATCTTATTACGACTGTCAAAAGAAGATAAAAACAAACTAAACAGATAACTTCATAATGGTAATGAAATTTACCTATAAGGTGGATAACTGAAAAGAATGTATTTAGTGAAGTATCATTCATTCCACTTGATATGGGAATTTTTTTTTTTTTTTTCCTTGCTGATTCAAGGAAATAATGAATATAATTGAATCACAGACCAGAGTTTACATATGCAGGTATCCATCCAGCTCAAACTCCCATAAAAAAGCATGTTACCAATCAGAAGAGAGACGGAAGTTTCTCATCCATTCAATCACTCATTCTAACAAACGAAATTTCAACTTCTCAAGATTGAAATTTTAAAAAGTATAATAGACCAGAAAGCTATAGTGGAAGCATTGGCAAAGACGATGCCGAAATTTCTTGCAGAATTTGGTGGGAAAAAGTTTAAATTTTACAGGCTCTTCCTAAACTAAAAACTTCACTTTTCAATAATTTATTGCTTTTTTTTTAGTTTTTAATAGAAATGATGATCATCACTATTGTGGAACTTACCAGATCTTGCCAATAAGATTTTCTTTCTGAAGTTCTATATATGAACACATACTTCTGTTGGTCATTACATTCATTCATACATACGAGTTTAGGTATACGCTTATATTCTTTTTTAATCCCATGATACTACAAATTCATTGAGTCGGCTTGTTGAAATGAGTCACACGTTGTTTACACATGCATGAAAATTGTCAGAATAGTTAGAACACTTTTTTAAAACATTAGCAAACATATTCAACCAGATCAAGGATTCATTAGATTGCATTTCAGCTGGGATAGGAAAAAATAAAACCCAAAAAATAATAATAATAATAAATACAAAGCATGTGCTACACCATGCACATACAAATCCCTTACCTTCTTGATCAAACTTCTTCTTAAGCTCATCTGCTGATAGGAGTGTCTGTGAGCTATCCAACATCTGCAATGAGCCAACAAACACACACCATGAAGCTGATATGAAAAGCCCTCATAACACCTAAATAAAACCCATTTTCAATCTGTCTGGACCCTGTCATGCTCAGGCACGGATCTATTGTGTGCCCAGTGGGTTTAGTTTTTTTAGTATTATACCCTAATATTTTTAGAATTTTGATATATATATATATATCTATAAAATTATACTATTGCCCCCCTCCCCCCCCCCTTGCTGAAATTAGTAAAAAAATTCACATTGCCCCACCTAACTTATGTTTTTGGATCCGTCCCTGGTCATGCTCGATAAGTTCTACTGGTCGGGTTAAAGACAAAGAACACTGGGTAGATTTCCAAAGAATCAAGGTGATAGTATTTAATTATATTTCCTTTTTTCTTTTTATCACCCTGTTCAGATCCTTCAGACAGCAATGATGACCAAAACCATTCTTTTTTTTATTTGCACACACTTTCCAAATTGTTCTTTTCTATTTCTCGTTTCAATATAACAAAATTTTGAACTCTTCCACCAAATTCTTCATTAAATGACAATTACACAATTCTATCAGAAATTAACTATGCATAAGATTGCAGCTTATTAATTGCATTTCCATAATATCAGCAGAGCACTCTTCAAACTCCTACATCCACTATATTCCTACAAAAACATCACTCAACAGTCCAGTGCCCAATTAGCAAGAGAGAAAGAAACAGAAAGAGAGAGATTCCCAGGCCTCCCTTCCTGCTTGTTCAAAATTATACCAATGAACATTTGACTATTAACATCTGATTTAGTGCCCCAATACATCATAATTCAGGCTGTCCCCCAAGCATCAGATACAATGGACCAAACACAGGGAGCATGGCCGGGTTACTCTGATTAAGAGCACCCTTTCTAGCCTTCCTACTTATTTCATCTCTCTGTTTCAGATTCCTTCTTCAGTGGCTGAGAGAATTGAGAGATTGCAGTGCAACTTTCTTTTGTTGGGGGGGGGGGGGGGGGGGGGGGGTGTTCCATTTCGGTATGGAGGCTTAGGGTTAAGGAGGTTGTTGCCTTTCAATAAAGCTCTCCTTGGTAAATGGCTCTGGAGGTTTGGGATTGAGAGACATTGGCTTTGGAGGAGAGTTATCGCGAGCAAGTTGGGGGAAAGTAGTGGTGGGTGGTGTTCTCTTGCGATGCGTGGTCCAAGGGGGGTGGGGGTTTGGAATTTCATTCGGAGGGGTTGGGATGATTTCTGCAAGCATGTTCGTTTTCGAATCAAGGATGGTAGGAGGATTAATTTTTGGAAGGATCTTTGGTGTGGGGAGCTTCCTCTTGCTCTCGCTTTCCCACGGCTCTATAGGATTGCTTCTCACTGTAAGGCCATGGTAGTTGACTGTTATCACCTTGATAACGGGAGACTGACTTGGAATGTTCAGTTCAGGAGGCAATTTCAGGATTGAGAGATCGAGGATGTTTCTTGTTTTTTGGAGCTTCTGTATAGCCAGGTGATCACTTTTGGGGAGTCGGATTGTTGGTTTTGGGTTCCTAATTCGCAAGGCCGTTTCGAGGTTAGGTCTTTTTTCAGATGCCTTTCGTTTGTTCCCAGAGACCCTTTCCCCTGGAAGTCTATTTGGCGTTCCAAGGCTCCCCGCAAGGTCGCCTTTTTTGCTTGAACCTCCGTCTTGAATAAGATTTTAACCCAGGATAATCTGAGGAGGAGGAATCAAGTGGTGGTCAATCATTGTTATATGTACTTGTGTGATGAGGAGACCATTGATCACCTACTTTTACATTGCAGCATGGCCAGAGACTGTTGGGATTTGATGCTTGGATTATTTGGAGTCCATTGGGCTATGCCTTGTTCCTCTAGAGAGTTGATTGAGGCTTGGAGAGGCGTCTCTGTTGGGACTATCATTCAGGATGCTTGGAGGGCTACGCCTCTTTGTATTTGGTGGTGTATTTGGCTCGAGAGAAATAGGAGATATTTTGATGGAAAAAAGAAGCCTGTTTCTATTCTTAAGTTCTCTATTATTACTACTCTTTTTTGTTGGGTTTCAGGGAGGGATTATAGATCTACGGAGGAGATTATTGTTTTTTTGGCCTCTTTGAAGGTCTAAGGCACCCTTTGGCCTTTTGTTTCTTTGGGTTCCGCACCCCTTTTGAGCGTTTTTAATAAAATCTTACTTATAAAAAAAACAAATTATTTGTGTGCCTAATTCTCAAGTGAGACAAGTTTCATAACAAAACCTAAGCATACTTGAATCTTGTTTCTGAGACATTCTTTGAATGATCTGAAATGTCCAAATGTTCTTAAAAACCCGGTGAACGTTGTTTGAACTTATTTTCAGAAGTGCAGAGATGTTGCACCGGTACCACATAGGTACTAGAACCGACTTGAGAAGCTGTACTACTAAAGTCCATAGTTGGTAAAACTTTATGATAAGACTTAAAAACCAGTACTAAATGGTATTTTTTTTTTGATAAACCAGTATTACTTAGTTTTGTGAGAATAGGAGTCTTCTATTATGAATCATAACAGAATTTTTGTTTTAGTTGTACTTGTCATCAAAATTCAAAATTGAACCAGTATAAGAAAGCATTATGTAGGTGCAATAATTCGCTTGACTAAAAAAAGTAAAAGAATTCCACAACACACTCAGAGAATTATAATTAAGAACAATATGAGCAAATCTCTTTTCTTTGGGGGCCTTTGCCATTTTTTCTGTATATCTCTTTTGGGTGTAGTAATGGCAGAGATTTTGTCGACTATTCCTAGTTCTGCAAATTTTTGCACCTACACATTAGAACCAGTTACTCCAAAGATTTTTGAAAACTTAAAATTGGTACAGTTTGGAACAGAAACATGAAAGCCAGTACTGCAATTTTTATTTTTTGAAAAGTTAACGCCGGTACTGCAATTCCTTGTTGAAAAAGGATTTTAAGTTTGATTAGGACTTCAATTGAATCTGATTGCACGATTTGGGCGCTACTTTTCTAATTAAATTAGGAGTCTTTCAGGTTTATTTGCCCTATAAATACATCGCTATGTTCACATAAATATTTGTTAGAATTCCCTAGTGTGATTTTCTTTATTCACGCACATCACAGTGTCCATTAAGGTATTAACTCTGATCAAATACTGGAGAATGACAACCAGTAGTATCCGTCCATACTCTAGAACAAAGTTGTGGAGGCTTGATCTGAGGAGTCTTGGCATTCATCACTGAAGAATATAAGAAGAAAAGGAGGATTGTTGGGGAGTAATTGCCTTAACAGAGGAAGTGAATCAATGATGCTGAAGGCAATAGATTCTAGACTTGGCGAATGTTGTACGTCAAGGTAAATACAATGGGTGATTCCAAAGGTCCTAAAACTTGGAATTGTCGTTCAAAGTTGTATTCTTTCTCTTGCTTACTGAATTGGTTCGCCTAAGACGAAGGTCTATGTGGGTTTTCCCGTGGTATTTTTCATTTTCATTTTACAAAAAAATAATATATATATATATATATCATTCTCTTTACTGCTTTATTTGTGGTTGTTTGCTTATAGGGTGGTTGATCACAAACTTAAAATTGACCATATTAGTTAAATTTGGTATTCACATGTAAAAGGAATTGAAGGATCTATTCACCACCCTCATATTGTGAATTCTTAATGCAAAAACATGTGACCCATTCATTTTCATAATTTTATTTTCATTAAATACAATGGATCCTAAGAGTACGGACTTATATCTCAGACCAAGGATATATTGAAGTTCTTCCTCGGGTCTTAAAAATAATAATAGGAACTGCTTAACACAGGCAATCTTTTACCTGGGGAAAAGGAATGCACTTGCTTCCTGGTACATGACCACTTCTTATTCCCTTTCGAGGCTCTGGTGCAACCCCATCAAACCTGCAAATTATAAAAATCTCCATTAAATCCAAAAGGGATTATATGAACAAGAAGATACTCTTATTGTTACATATTTGCATGGAAAGGCTTTCTGAACCATTAAAGAAAATCTAGATTTGACCCCCAGTTAACGAGGACTTCTTCAGAAATTTTGGATCATCTCTGCCCTTTGTTTGTTTAGGATTCCAACAAGTTATACCATCAAGAATGTTTCTAAAGATATGGTCGAGTATGTCCCTTATCATAGCATTTCTAAAGATATGGTCAAGTATGTCCCTTATCATAGTCGCCATTAATTAGGTTAAATTCATTTATTGGTTGCAAATCCAATATGAGCAGAAACTGAAACACAGAGTTTAAACCCAAGAATTTGGACCATTTATGTGCTAACTTACCAATCAAAGTAATATTATGTGAATGTAAAATATTAATATTGCCAAGCATATTAGATTTATGACCAAGTCATGGGAAGATGCTAGTTCCATCATGTTTACACACAATTTATTGAAATAATTAATTTTTTATAACAAAGGCTATCTTTTAGAATTTGAGAGGCATTCACTGAATCCTTTTATCATCAGTTCTCATAATTCATCTGAACTGTTGCTTATAAATATATATATAAAGTGCCGCCCTAACAACGTTAAGGTACTAGGTTCAATTCTTCCCGTGAGGTCAACCTCACAGGGATTCATCCTGAATTAAGATTGGGGTGTGGCATTGGGACCCTTCTATGCGTCCTTGGGAGAATAATCCTACCCAAAGGGTGGGGACAACTCTAGTCAACATAAAAATATATATACAACAAAAGTAATTCAAGTGAAATTCCACCTACATCAAATTTGAATTGATTGAATTGGAATTATGATTTTATTATAATTGATGTTGAAGTAGCCTTGAAATCGTCAATATACACGCTTCATGTTATCATCACTTGGTTGCCAATAAAATTACCCGGAATGACATGGAAATTTTGTGTTAGTACCATCTCCACAGTATTCATTCTTTGCAAGTAACTTTATGCCACACCCCTAATTATGTTAATAATCTCTCACCACCTGTAACTTCTCTGCAATCATCCATGCTAAACATATATCAAATTTTCATAGGCATGTTTTATACCCTTTTCTATGCTACAAATGGAAAGGCGAAATGACATACATTGCAGCTACACTGGGCTGAACTCCTGATCAACAAGATTCCAATGCAACCATGACATGCCACCCCCAATGAAAAAAAAACCTTTGATCAAACAATGGATCCATTGAAAAAGTACCTAATGCCTAAAGATTAGCAACATGACAGGATTCTGGATGGAGCATGGGTCCTTTTCAGAATTGTGATTCTAATTCCTATGCCCATCTTTGCCCCCTAACCCAAAATTAGTAGTAAATTAATTAATTAAAACATCAGTACTTGAAGTTCACTGCACTGAACTCTATTTATGACCCCAATTGCAATCTCAAGTCAGCGCTCCAATTGTAGTCTCACAGTAGTCAATTCTTCCAATTTGTTTTTGTAAGAGTGAGGACACAAGTTCCAGTATCGATAGCAGCAACTTCCCAAAATAATGTCAAGGACTCAAAGATTAGGTTTGTCTCCAATCTCTAACACCCTCTGTAAGCGTGACAAACACTGGTAATGCCATATATTGAGTCCATTCATGAATTTGTGCCTTCATATTCTAAGGAGAGGAAAATAGCAATTCAGTAGGGACATTTTTTTTTTTTTTTGATTAGTCAGTAGGGACATCTAAATGCACTCTTAATCTAATTACTCAACAAATCTCACTACTTAGTGACTGGTTATCTAATGTAAAAACGACAAGTTTCAGTTGTGTTACATGTGTCAAAACATAATAACCAGGGAAGATGATGGTTGATACTATAGAGAGAGGACACGAAAACAGTAAACCTCCTAGATGAAGTCAAACAATGTTGCATGGAAGGTTATAATTCAAGAACACATATAAGCAATAAACTGATGGCAAACAAGTCAGTGATAGATATAACAATAATCAAGGACAAATCCAGTTAACCTGGCCTTTGAACGGGCGTCTATGTGTTGATGTGTATTGTCCTCAACATTTTTCTTCACCTGAAAAATAGAGAGAAAATATAACTTGAAATGGAGATTAAAGAGCAGTATTTTAAAATTCAACCAGCAACATGAAAATAAAAATAAAACAGACAGCTTCTTTCTAAATGATTGGTGTCTCAAGACACATGCTAAGACAAACCTTGACCAAATTTGTCCAGCACCGTTGCAGACATTAAAAAATAATTAACCTTCATTTTCTTCGAAGTTGAGCTAAAGAAAAGTATAATTGGGACTTCTATAAAGAAAGAAAATGATTAAAAAATTATACTTTGTGGTAGGATTTGGGTTCTATGAAACCGTGAGGCTTGAGGCATCCAATCTATTAAAAAGGCAGATCTATTCCAGGTTCTACCTGATTATGCCGACGAATTCAGAGATTGCATCAGACACGCAGATCTTACAAATCTCAAGTATGTGGGGTTCATTTTAGTTGAAATACTGGGAGACAACGAGATGAGGCTATCGCTAGCAAACTGGATAGAGTTCTGGTTAATGATGCCTAGTTAAATCGGTATCAATATTCTGAAGTTATTTTTTTTTCCTTAAGGTACGTCTGACCACTCTCCTTGTGTTGTCAGAGTTTTGCCTGAGTTGCCTACAGTTGCTAAACCTTTTAAGTTCTTTGATTTTTGGGCTGAATTTGAGCAGTTTCTGAGTATTGTTGCAGTCTTCTGCAAATTTCAAGTCCCGGTGGGGCTCCTATGTGGGTACGTGAAAAGTTGAAAATGCAATCTAACTGAATTAAAGAGTTTGAATCAGAATATTTCTAAAAGAGTTGTGGATGCTAGATAAAAAATGCAGAACATGAAATTGCAGATGATAGGGGACCCCACCAACAGCCAACTGAAAGTTGAGGCTAAGGATGTTGTGGACTCTGAAGAAAGCTTCTTGATGCAGAAGTCCAGGACCAGTGACTCCAGTAGGGGACCAGAAGTCTAAATTTTTCTTCAAAACTGTTAATCAGAGGAGGAACTTCTAACAGATTGCTTTCTGTCAGCACAGAGGATGGTTCAGTTATTGCCAGGACCCACCCCACACTCTGTAGATATTGTTGGCTTTACACACACTCTATGCTCACGGTTTTCCAAAAGCGCATACAAAGGTAGGAGGCATCCCCCTTATAAGTGCCGGCAACTTCTTATCCCATAGCGACGTGGAACATCACAATCATCCCCTCTTGGGACCCAACGTCCTCCCTAACCTGACCGTTATGGGCCTGTGCACGCTCCACCCATTTCATTCTGGGATTGTCTGCTTTGCACACTCTCAGTGTTCACGGTTTTCAAAACACGCCTACACAGGTAGGAGGCCTCTCCCTGAAAGTAAGTGCCAGCAATTTCTTCCCCCAAGCGATGTGGGACGTTATAGTTCTTTCCAATATTAAGGAAAACATGGATTCCGTAGTGACCCGAGCCTTCCCATTTTAACAGCTGCTTACTTCTCTAATGCTAGTTCTATGACTCGAGATTGAGTGACCCGAGCCTTCCCATTTTGAGAATCAATCATGATCAAGATCAAAGCATTAACAATAAAAAAAAAGACTAAACAAGTTGTGTTTGGTTTAAAGGTCATGAAACCCGGGACCAGATGGGTATCCTGCTCCATTTTTTTAAGAAAGCTTGGATTGTTGTTGGAGATGAAGTCACTGAAACTATCTTTTCCTTTTTCGCTCCTGGTTGTATACTGAAAGAGATTAACAACACTATTGTAGCCTTAATCTCCAAACCAGTAAGCCTTCTTTTTCTACTTTTATTTTTCGACTATTATCATGTTACATACTTTATATAAGATCATCTCCAAAATCATAGTCAATAAAGTTGAGGCCATCTTGCCTACTAGTATATGTCATAACCAGACTGCCTTCATAGAAAGCAGGAAAATCACTGAGAACATTCTTTTAGTGCAAAAGTTGATGAAAGGATATCACAAGGGGGGTAGGTCCCTAGATGCACTCCAAACTCTGAAGATTACATCAAGAAGGTCTACAATACAATGGACTGAAGAATTCTTATTGTTTTATTGAAACAGATGGAATTTCCTGAAAAAGTGGTGCATTGGACCAGACTGTATTTCTACCCAGAAATACTCTATTTCTGTTAACGGAGAGCTTTATGGTTTTCTTTGCCAGTTCCAGGGGCATGAGATAAGGTAACCCCCTTATCCCCCTACCTTTTTGTGATAGGCATGGACGTGTTCACTGGAACAATGAGGGAGGCAACTAACTATCAGGTTCAGAATCCATTAGAGATCCGATATATGTAAACTTGGTTTGTTTGGGATTCAGGGGTTATGCCCAGATCCTCCAGAGGGTTGATTGAGGCTTGGAGAGGTTGTATAGTGGGGGCTCATGTCCGGGATGCTTGGAGGGTTACGCTTCTATGTTTGGTGGTGTATTTGGCTCGAGAGGAATAGGAGATATTTTGAAAGAAAGGAGATGCCTATTTCTATGCTTAAATTCTCTATTATTTCCACTATTTTTTGTTGGGTTTTAGGGAGAAATTATGGATCTTTTAGAGGAGATTGATGATTTTTTGGACTCTGAGATTGCTTAGAGGCCCTTTTTGGCCTTGTGCAGTTCTCTAGGGCTTCTCTCTCCTTTTGAGCACTTTTATACAATTTTACTTATCAAAAAAAAAAAAGTAGTCAATATCATATCCTATCTTAAACCTTATTCACAATTGGCCAAAATTTTCAGAAACGAAAATGAACTCATAATTTAACCAGAAAGCAACATCAATTATAACTCAAGAATCCAACCTGTTCAAGCGTCCAGACAAGATGAGGCTGAAACTTAGTCTGGAATGTAATTGGCCCAACCTGCAAAAGTAGAAATGTTTTGATGGGTAATTGTGGGAATCATATTCAAGTGAAGAAAACTCTAGGAAAAAGAAAAGAATCATAAACAAAATCACATTGAAAATAAAATCACTAAAATTAAAAAAATACATTGTAAGCAACTCTATATATATATATATATATATATATATATATATATATATATATATATATATTAAGCCAAAATATTGACATCTCAATTAGAATTTCTGGTTCCTTTCAATGAATACTAATTGCATTAGGAATTTAGGGTAGGGAAAAAGTATTGGTTTGCCCTAAGTAACTGCACCAACACGGGTATGGACACAGAAGAGAGGAAGAAGAAGAAACAAGGACAGAAGTGATGGAAGAAAAAGAGGGGAAAAAATCTTGCGTACCTCCTCCGATTTGAACAACTCCAATGTTTCTTATGTCAAAGATGCAGTAAAATACACATTCTCTACCAGTTTGATTTGAAATATTCAATTATGAGATGATTCACATTGTCACCAGTATGAAGAAACTATGCCAGAGTGGTTCGCGCAGGTGGAAGAGTCCGTCCATGGTGGCTAGGGTTTCTTTTGTTGATGCAGCTAGGGTGGGTCCCCTTTTGTTGAAGCAGCTAGACTTTCCTCACATTGAAATAGGAATGACCTTAGAATTTTTGAATGCTATAATTTTTTGGGTTTGCATTTAAACCCTGCAACTTCTTATTTTTTTATAGAAGCATAAAGATTTACCCTTCGTTATATCAAAATTACAAAAAGACTTAAATTTATAACGGTAATTTTAATAATTCCAATTTTATTAAAGAATTTAGACATTTACCCTGCCCCTTAATACTGTTTTTTTCATAAGTACCCATACTCAATTTTGGGACACTTTAGCAATGTCTCCATATCCTATTTTTTTGGAAGTTACAAGGATCAGACACTCGGACCAGGCAAAGCACCAACCAGTTTCGGCTCCAGCAGTCCAAGCACAGTCAGTGGAACAAAGAGTGGAAGACAAAGTTAAAGTATATCGCATAGAAGGGCTCTCATGATGATACACTTTAGCAATGTCCCCATATCCTATTTTTTTGGAAGTCAAGGATCAGACACTCAGACACATACCCAAGTTTGAATAACATAGAAGAAATCTAAGCAAATACAATACACCGCGTGGAGACCTGCCTCAATTACATGGAATTTGAAAACAAGGGGAAGAAAAGCGGGAAAAATTCCAAATAGCACAGTCGACATCTCCACGAGATTCTCAGCTGTCAAAAACTAGCAGCTCTACTGAGTACAAACAACATCCTATCAAGTAAATCCATAAGAATCCTTCTTTGAGCAGTCAAGCAGCAGAATAAAGCATACTTAAACAAATTTCGATTGATATGCACCTTAGGCAAAGATAGATCAAATGGAACATGAAGACAATGAAACCTGGAAGTACTCCTTGAATCAATAAATTTTGTTTGCCATCTAGATGAACAACAAACGATAAGGAATAAACGTTTAGAGGGATGAATAATAACTCACTGCTTGTCCGTGGTATACTTTCTCTATTGCCTCACTCGCAGCACTTGCTTTCAAAATTGCATCACTAGAAGCACTAGATTCAACATCAAAACCTGATGCGCGCCATCTCGGCAGGCCTCCATCCAACACCCAGACTCTGTCATGCCCAAAAACACGAAACATCCTGTTTATCCAATTAATGAAGTTAGTAATTAAGTTCAATAAACATGACCGAGGAACATGCTCTGCTAGACTGCTACCATCGGTGAAAATTTGTTGACACGTAATATCACAACCTGCAACTCACCACCAAACACGAGCCGCACTAAAAATTCCCTTTCCATCATAAACAACAACCCCATTTTTGTTCTCAATACCAAGAGCAGATACCGCAGCAGCAAAAGCTTCTTCTGATGGCAACATGTGTGGCAACTGTTACACATCATTTAAGAATGTAAAGTTCCTCACATCATGTATAAAGAGCAATAAAAATCAATTTCTCAAGAACAGGTCTAATGGCCAACAAGTAACTCCAGTATGTAAAATTTAGGAATCTGCAAGGCTAGAATAAAAACAAAATCTTCATTTTTTGGATGCTTAGAATAGAAATATGCAAATATTATACAGAAGGCAAAGGTATTTTAAAAGCAAAGAACAAAAATACAAAGATTTTGTAAACCTTAAATCAAAATGCAAACTCTTTTCCTACTCTACTTATTTTAAAAGGTAAGCAAATTTAGGAGAAACCATCTCACATTAGTTGTGCGGTCCGATATTCCATCTACATCAAAGAAAAGGGCACCAGGAATGTGGGCAACCTGTTTCAACCACGGCCAAACCCCAAAACAAACCAAAAAAAAGAAGTCAGAATTTTACAAACAGAGTAGTAGCTAACACTGAGAGAGAACAATTCTGCAGAAAATAATTTAAATCAATACCACAAACCCAAATGCATAAAATGGACATGGATACAGATGATAAACAAGAAATGGACACAACGAAGACACGGCAATATGTCATCTACTTTTTAATAAAATAATTTAGGTTATGTAACGATTGCTTCATGACAGCTAAATCAAATAGAAGTACAACTAATTTCCTACTTGGAAACTATATAATTAGAATCACCCTTATAAAGGTTAAGTCATAACAAGAACAGTGACATAATCGTGTCTGTACATATGAGAATGAACACAATCTGATTCTTCGATTGTCCTCTTCTACTCATATGTCCAACTTCATAAAATTTTGTATAAACCTTTTGTTAAAGGAATTATTTTAAGGATAGCCTTGTGTTTTGATTTTTGGACAGGTGAATTCAGCACTGCCATAAAAGAGCAACTCTACATGGGTATTTTATATTTAAAACTTTGGGGAGGTCATTCTGGAAATCCTAACAAATGGTAGGCTGACAAATGCTGGAGAAAGTGTGCAGAGTAAACCAAGGGAAATTGTTCTTAGAGAGATATACAATGACAATGAAGTGTTGTCCATGTGTCTAAAATTGAAAAAATTAATTTTAAATTATAGACATCCAAAATGTGTCAGATGCGTGTCCTAAAGTGCCTAGCAAGCGAAAATGCTCACACATGCCAGAGTTCAGCATAGACATAACTCCTTAGAAGTGTGTGTTCTTAGCACCAAATTCCTCGAATTTAAACTAACAATGTAACCATCCAGCTAGTGCCACGTTAAGAAATGATAAATGTTAAATTGCTGGAAATAAAGTCATAAGCAACACCTGATATTCCTGAAGTGGATTTCTCTGCTCATCTGGCATGTACCATGATGCATCCAACACCTGAAAACATAAAGTCACAGAATATTATAATACCAGCATCTAGAATCTAAATTGATATAAATAAAATGCATTCAAGCTCAACATTACACACACGCACACACAGGGAGACAGACAGACAGACAGACAGAGAGATAGTGTGTGTTCCAAAAGAAGCTGCAAAATACCAACAAAGACAAATTTTTTATTATGACAACATAGTGTGGGAAACGGTTATAGTCAACATTGAGGATAATACTAGCGGAAGAGGAAGACCAAAGTAAACATGGGTAGAGTTAGTAAAGAAAGATATGAAAGCATGTGGATTGAATGAGACTATGGCCTTAAATAGAGAGGAATGGAAACATGTGATTCATGCAACCAACCCAAAGTAATTGGGAAAAGTCTTGGTTGTTGTTGTCATGACAACACAGTAAGGGAACGGAAAACCACAATAGGAATTGCCCTGCTTTTGAAGTACGTTTAAAGAACACAATCGCATACTTGGGAACAAAAATGTGACCACAGAAAGACACAATTGTAATCAGCTTAAGTGCATACCTTGATATCAGGCTCTCGCAGGTTAGCATGTAGCCAATCAACTGAAACAACAGGTTCATTAGTCGATATGGACTGTGTTGAGAAAGAAGCTTTTGGCCAATGTCCTGTTGAGGCCATAGCACTAAAAACAGAACCAGATTTCTTATACGCCAAATGGAAGGAAGTGGCTTGCAAATGAAATGGTCTCCTCTGCAAGTAACATAAGAAAGCACTATGAGATCTTCACTGAAAAGAACAGAATAGATTGAAATAAACAAGAGTCTATGGAAAATAAATTCTAGCCCAGTTTGTTACAAAAAAAAAAAAAAAAGACAGTTAAAAATCTACAATTTACCATTACTAGCACTTTGGACAGCGACTTAAAGGAAGAAAGACCGTTTTACATTTAAAGGTGGTGTATACAACCTTCACAACTTAGGGAGACTAATGAATATCAATAATTTGACTGCACCAATTTGCTAGAAAGATAGACCAATTGAATTTTCTTAATCCAATAAGCCTCCACCCAGAGCCTTGCATTTTTTTCCTATATAATGAAAAATAAAATAAAATCTATACTGCTATATCCCAATAATAAAAAAAAATGTTTATGCACGATTCTGATACCAGTAGGTTGATGCACATATTTAGAAATTCAAACCCTTCACCTATTTGCAACAGAAATCAATTAACCCAAAAAAAAAATAGCACAAAAATCACAGAACCCAACAAGTAGATCACTCAACTGTTCAAAACCCTGTTTCTTATTGCACTAAATTTGACAGAAAAAATAAATAAATTACTTAATCACCCCAAAAAAAGAAAAATGACAACCCATTGACGAAAATAATTCAGATTATATGAACAGAGAAAACGAAAATGGGCACAAAACAAAATTAATCATACAAAGGCACAAATCATCGAAACGATCAAAAAAATAATAATTGAATGAAAATCATAACCCAGAGTTAAATAAAAACTCGCATCAACACTTATCTACCAAGACCGATGATAAATGGAAGACCGAAATGAGAGAGATGGAGATCTTACATTGAAGAGAGTCGTGAAAATTTGGGGCTTGTGTGTGAGAAAAAGTGAAGGTTGAATGAGGCGTTGGGCAAACAGAGTTCTTGAGAAGAAGGCTGAGGCCATTTATGTAGTTAGATAGCATAAGAGAGCATAGGAATGGTGAATGTTTCTTGTGTCCGACCTTCAGCAAAAGGCCAAATCGAGGCTGAGTTGATGATATCAACAGCTACTTTGTTTTTCTGCTGATGAGAGATTAGGACTTTGGAGGAGAGTAGTGATAGTCTAAGTAGAAGACTGACGGCCTATATGTTTTACCTCTCCACTCGGAGAGTCCCAGGGTTATGTTTGGACGTGAGAAGGTTGAATTTTTTTTTAGGGTCATTTTTTTCTTTTTCTTTTTTTTTTTTTCTCTTTTTTTTCTTTTTGGAAGTTAAAGCAATTAACGCACGCACCTACTTTCACCGAGATTCGAACCCCGACCTTCCTTTTGAAAAAAAGAAGGGGTGATATTACTGGACCACTTGGTCTTTTGGTTTTTTAGGTTCGTTGTCATTGATAATTTCAGTATTCCTTCACAAGTCAAAGGTCATTAAGGTCATTTTATCATGTATTAGACAAATCAAGGACTGTATTGCATATGGTCGTCATTATGACAAACCTTAGAAGGTGTCCTTGTAATTAACTCTTTTTATTATTATTATTATTATTATTATTATTTGGAAATTTGGACAAATTACAAGCTGTACAGAATTTATTACTTTCACCTTCTCTAAACTCGTTCACCAACTATAAAAAAAGAATTTTGAGCGTAAAAACTTAATAATGTCCTTATATTATTGTAATATATTATATTGTATTTTATTTCAGAAAGTGATAAAATTATTATTTTTAAAAAAATTGGTCAACAAGTCAAATAAAAATAACGCTAAGAGGGTTGTTGAAAATTAAATGTTGAACTATCTAATCATGTATAATTTGCTTAAATTTTAGGAAAGATTAGTATTAACTTACTTTTTTTTTTTTTTTGGGTCTGTGTTCTCTACATGACATGTGCAATTCTTCTATCACACTTGTATTAAGCTATTACATATGAATAAAATTTTTAAAGATGAGCTCAAAGGGCTTTCGAAAATGAGATCTTGTCATTAAGTTATCTCCTTAGAATTGAGGGTTACTTTTGTGAAATGACAAAATTTAGTGTTGGCAGCTTGGTTAAAGAAAATTTGAGAGGATTGTTTTTGCTGTATGAACAAATTTTTAAATAGGAGCTGGTCATTAAACTATCTCCCTGGAATTGAATTGTTTTTGCTTTATGACTAATTTTAGTGTCCATAACTTTGTTTATTTTTTATTTTATTGGTGTTTTTCAATTTGTTTCTTTTAGTCAATAATAATAATAATGGTCGAAGAAAAGAACAAAAGAAAAGGACGGAATATTTACCCCCAAAAAAAAATGACCTAATACTTAGCAAGGTACGATTGATTTAGAATTTGACAACTTTGCCCACTTTTAAAAGCTATAGTGGTTTACCAAACCTGCCCCTTGGTAATAGAACTCGCAAAACAAGGCATTGCTTTCCATCTATATTCATCTATATCTGACATAGACCATGAGCATCAATCTTTCATTGCGAGTCTTTGGAGATTGAAGGTTTCATTTGCTGGGTAAGGGTGTGGTTTGGCACTCGGTGAATACAGGAGGTGGCAAATCATGAGAAAGAGAAATGATTATGCAGCAACCAAATAGTAGCATCCGAATGCTCCCCATTTGCTTGATGGTTGAAATGGGACTCGAACACGGGTCCCATCAAAACAATCAAGTCTGCGAGCTGTTCGGCTCCCATTCGGCTGTTTGTTTCATGGAGCATATCATTGCTCTTGAAACTATAGTCACTAAAAAACGATAAAAATGGTGAAAAGATGGGGAATAAGTAACATGACGTTGTCATTAATTTTTCTGATAACAAAAAGAGCAATGTTAAATTTTGATATGTAACTTAAGCAACAGTTTATTTTAACTAAAATGAGAATAATTTACAGAAGTGTATATATATATATATATATAACATCACAAATCATGCTTTACAGTCCTTCCATTTTCATGCACACGCCAAACAATGAATACATAATACATGCGAAGCTCACACATACAAATTATATATGTATGTGAACTATTGAAATGAAATCTGAATATTATTCACATGCAAATAATCTCCACAGTACAACTGTGAGTGTGACACGCTTTCTCGCTGCTACCTTCCAGACATAAGGTTGAGTAGACCGTGGTTTTCATAGAAAGAGCCAACATCCCAATCTTCTGTGGAGGATGAGAGAGTCATCAGTGCAACCACAATTGATCTCATACTTGGTCGTAGTTGAGGATTCTCTTGTGTACAAGCTTTGGCAAGTTGAGCCACCTGCAACCAAATTGATCACTAAAGCTTGGTATAAATGGAAAACGGGGAACTTGGTACGATAATCAAAAGAAATATGTCACCTTGCGGACTGAATCCATGGGGTAATTATCTCCAAGCCTAGGGTCAACTACTCTGCGAAGATGTTCTGTCGGATCAGGTTGACTAAGAACTTCCTCGAACTGTAAAGAACGAGGGACAACTATTATTAGCTCACTGGGAAATAGGCTGGTTAAGAACTTCAACTATAAAGCCTAAGAGGCAAAGTAACAATTAGCTCATGAATACATATTAAAGTATGTTATAAATGGTCAGAAACGTGCCACAAGCCTGCTGTCATAAAGGTTGATTCGTTACAAACTGGAGAATTTAGAGATACGCAAAACAAGTAATTTGATTTCTCGGCTTAAAACTAATTACTTTGACACATCAAAAGCTCATTAGAACTTCAGGATGTCTGATATCTCATTGCCATTCTTAAATAATTGGTTAAATAGAAGGATGCAAGAAAACTTACCAAAGCAACAAGACCCTTTGACTCCGCAGTAGAATCATTTATCTTCACTATGGCTTCCTTGGCTGAAAGAAGTTCATAAAGGACAACCCCAAAAGCGTAGACATCAACTTTAGGAGAAACATCGCCATACCGAGCATATCTGTAAAGAAGCATTGGTAAACAGTTGATTCAAGTCCTATATGTAGGAAGATATATAGCCAAAATATATTTACTTTTGTACAAGGGACAGCTTGGGATTAGTAAATGCCAACTCATCCTTGGAAAACCGGTTTTCAAGGTGGGCGGCAACCAATTGTTGTTATTTGCACAAAAGTTGGTATTTATACGTGTGGGGGGGTCGGCTTGTACGGGTCTCGTGGATTAGTCGGGGCAAAGCTCCAAACACCCCGATTACCGGGGAAAAAAAAAAAGGATGAAAAGCCATTGTCAAAGTTCATCTCGTTAATTTGGGGTGATAAGAGGGTTGCATTAATCAAACCTCTGGCTTTTATTCGAAAGGAATGGCTGCCCTTTCAATCAGCGTCCTTACTATTGACAGCTACAGATTTTGCATTGAATTGAACAATGGACAATTGCACCAATCAATAGTCTATAAAGAGGCTTACCGAGGTGAGAACAGAAAGTGCCTAAAATTAAAGAAGGTACGGCTATATAAAGAAGAATGTTGAAAAAGAAATGCAATGCTGACGCCAAATAGTTTGAATAAAAGGAAGAATATATCTAGTATTAGTCATATCTTTTTGTGCCTAAATCATACATTTTCATATTTATACCAATCAAGGGCCTTTTTTGTTACTGGTCTACCTTTGTCCTAGTGGATTTGGGTCTAAATTCCTCACCTCGAGGTCAAGGGTTCAAGGTCAGTATAGAGAAAAGAAAAAAAAGGAGGGAAGGGGGGGCTTCATGTTAGCATACCCATGAATTATGCCCATGTCTTTTCTTGTTCACAAAATCGACCCTGTGCTTTGCATGACCAATCTTTCCTTCTACACATTCATTATAAAACCATAGCTAATTTGATCTAGTACAGGTGTACAGCAGTAGAGGTCCTTTAGTTATTAACCCAAATTGTAGTTTCCCCAAAAGATTTTGAACATAAGGCTTCATGTGAGTATTATGGCTATTTTCCAAGTGCCATTTATGCTCCTATATGAAGCTTGACTCACCTAGCAGGTCAGGACAATACTCCCTCCCAGATATATGGATATGCTCAGAAAACAAAATTGTTAAACCAAAGGTTTTGACCTAAGGGCAATCTAGTAATTTTGATGATTACAAACCATTAATGGTGTTTAAGTAATAATGCCTATATTGAGTATTGTGCTAGATGATCATAATTTCAACATGGCATTCAATAAAGCAAGGATGAGCTATGAAACTTGCCAAACATTCCAATACACATGAAGATGGAAATGACTTGAAGATGCAAATGGTCAAAGCTAGAGCATTAAATGATGACAAAGTCAAGAATGCAATTCAAGGAACAAAAAGGAACCTCAAAGCTCAAAGATCAATGACAAGCATGAAAAATGGGGTAGTATAGGTTGGTGAGTGTTTAGTATTCAATGTCAAACTTAATTTGAATCTTTCCTTGAAGCTCACTTCTATAGGATCATGAAACATGCATTAATATCTCATACTTGATCCATAAACAACCTATAAATAGGTCTTGAACTTAATTGAAGCATATATAAAGACCTAGAGTTATTGCCAAGCCTTAGACATGGTCAAATGTCTATTTTTCAAAAAAAAAAAATAGATTATAGTACTTGGTTAACGGATTAAGACTTATCAAAAAAAAAAATGTCTATTTTTCAAGGTTAAAGGCAAACCAGGTAACTGGTTTGTCCTCATGAGGCTGCTGGTAATTCGAGAGAGTTGAGAATTGAAAGAAGCCCTAAACCAAGCGGCTGGTACTATGTACCAGGTGACTGGTAGTCTCCACCAAGCGACTGGTTTGTCTACATTCTTTATATATATGAGGCTGGGGCATTTATAAAGATACATGTGAGGTACATTGAGCATTCAATACATTCTTCTATTCTCTCACTGTCATTGAATAAACTTGAGCTTCAACTTGAGATTCAATTATAACTCTAGTCTTGTGAGCTTTCATTTGAGTCTCAATCTTTGAGAAGATACAACTTTGTACTACATTCTTCCACTCTATTTCTTAAGGGTTGGTTTGACCCAAAGGAATTCTAAGAGAAGGTGTTCTCTTAGCAAGAAGGAAGAAGAAGCTTGTTAGCTTTATTGTAAAGGTTTGCTCTCCACCCGAAAGGAGAAGCTACAGTGGATTTGGAAAGGTCTCAAGAGGGATCTTGAACCGAGAAGTAGGAGTTCCGAACCTTGCTAAATCGCCAAGTCACTTGTGTTTCATTCTCTCTTCCCTTATCTCATTTATAATGTGCTTGCTTTCCCCAGGACAACCCCAATTCCATCATTTACTGCTAATATAAATGTTCCTTGATAAACAAACAAACAAAAAAGATATCTTACTCCGGTGGCATGTATCCAAATGTACCAACAAGACGTGTAGGCAGTGATGTACTCCCAACCTCAGTCAGCTTTGTCAAACCAAAGTCTGCAACCTGCAAATTATATATTTCAGTATGATAATGTGAACAAGCTTTCACATTGTCCACCGTGATGACAGAACAGCATCATAGAGCATAGGTACAACCTTCCCATGGAGATTTTTGTCTATCAGTATATTTGCTGATTTGATATCGCGATGGATGTAGACAGGAACAGTATGTTCATGGATATACTCGAGACCCCTTGCTGAATCAAGGGCAATTTGCACCCTGGTAGACCATGGAAGAGGGTGACTCCCTGCAAACAATAAATATAATCATTACCATGATTATGTATTTATTACCACTAGATAAGGTATACATTATTCACAAGTGATCTCACCTGACCCACGCAAATGTTCGGTTAAGTTGCCATTCTCAATAAATTCATAGACTAGGAAAAGAGAACCTTCAACACAATACCCAATCAAGCGTACCTGCATTTGATGCCAATGAATTAATTATGATGCCTAAGACTTAAAAAGAAAGTCATTCAACGACAAACCAGTTGAAACATAATATACAGATATTTTATAACCTCACAACGAAAATTATAAAAGATAGTTCACCCCTATAAATTTTCCTAAACAATAAACTTTAAAAATTAATCTAAGAAACCTAACCAACCAGAACGCCTTGCAGCAATAAAATTATAAATTTTTTATCTTCTAAATATGTTGAGAAGTCACATCTTTAACTGAAAATAATAAAGCACGTTAATGAACTAGCAATCCGTACCTCAGTTAACTCAACCACAAGACCTTCTCAACAACTAACAATTTTTTTCCGGAAAGGAGTAAATGGCACAGATTGGCGAACATACTATCATAATATGATGTCTGAAATGCACTGGATTAAATGAATACAGAAAAAATGAAAATGATTCCTAGAAACAAGTAAATTTCCACTGAATTTTTCTAGGCTTGGAAGGTCAATTAAATCCCAATCAAGTCAACCAAAATGCACATAGTTCCACCACAACACTTACATATATGACAGTATGTACATGAATCTCTCTCTCCCATACACAAACATAAAAGACTCACATTTATTGATGTAACTAACTTTGCTGCTCCAGCATTTAAATGACATAATTTGTTTCTCTCCATATAAGCTAATGGTCACATTGGCTTTTGGCTAGAGGCAAAAATGCTTAATCCGTTAACCAAGTACTATAATAAATAAATATACAGCAATAGATAATTTGGTAAATTCAATAATTTGAGGCTGTCATCACTAGCATAAAATATAGAAAACGACAAGATTCGAAAAGAAATTTCAATTTCCCAAGAATGACAATGCCAGCATTTTTTAAAACAATAACCTAGATCAAGTTTGATATATGCCTCTACCTAGGAAGCACGGATACGGGCATGGGACACAGGTACAACACGATAGGGATATGACAATACCGTAAATCTAAAAAAAGTAGTACACGGATACGGCATGGATACGTCAAAAAAATTATTATTATTACAAATATAAATAAATTTTTTTTTTTTTTGCCATTTTATCCATATAATCATGAATAAAACCACTAATTTGGAGCTTAGAACTAGATTTTTGTTTTTTTTCTTCTTAAATTTTATATTATTTTCGTAATTAACCCATAATATATTTTAAATTGCATTGAATCCCATTCTTCCAAAAAAAATAATTAGTTACAAAATCAGGCTGCCGTATCTTAAAAATGTGCAAAATATATCCTTGCCGTGTTCCACCTGTGTCCAACCAGAAAATAAAATATTCAATTTTCAGGATACTTCTAGTTGTATTTGATACCACCACGGCAGCCTAAGAGAAGTATCCGTTCTTCATAGGCCTCTACAAAGGCCACCTAGTGTGGTTCCCTATTAATCAAGAGTTTTGGGAGCAACAGATTAGTTACCCAACCTTTGGCATTATTTGCAAAGACTTACTATTCTCGGATCGAAATCTGTGTTCTCACTCTTCACGATTCGATCTTTTATCACCACACTAAGCAATGGCAACCACTCAAGTAAACATATGCCTATGAAAAGAAAAGAACACACAACAGCTACACTAAAAAACCAAGATCATTGGGAAGTGTACTACCAGGTTCAGGTGATGAACATGCGTCAAAACCTTTAATTCAGCAAGAAACTCTCTTGATGCTTGCATATCCATCTTCTTGATTGCAGCTTTCTGCATAAGAGTTCCCCAAAAGGAATTATGAAAGCAATACAGATATTCAACATCAGATAGCAACACAACACTATAAAAGATCAACGATTTGTGATTGGAAATCTATCAACAAAGGGCATTAATGAAAAGACCTCGCATGCAACCAACTGTTATATGCGTGCACAAAGTGAAGAGATATTAGAAAGTGAAATTTATGAAATTCACTAACAGAGGATCATAACAGCTATAAATAAATATGGATGGCTCAAGTCTATTAATCAAAGAGAAGGCAACCATTGCTACCGATTGAGCTTCTATTTGAATTATCAAGTCAAAAAAGGATTTCAAGCAAACCTTTGTTTGAGCGAGTATCATTCAAAGTTGCAAGTAGCATGTTCTCACATAGCCCTGAAGTGCTTATTAGCTTATCTAGCTGAGCTCAATAAATTTAGGAATTTCAAACTATGTTTGAGCGAGCATAGATCATTTATCTCACGAGGATCTCATGTTAGCCTCTACGCAAGCAATCCCAAGCCAGCTTAAGTTGTTTGGTTCATCTTACAGGCCTAAGAATCCCTTCCATCCCATCCTCCCTTGAAGTTGGTCACCTCAAATATTCTCAACTAAGCATTATCCCGAATAAGTGGGTCAACTTCCCGAAATCCTCTATCATTGTTTTCATCCATCTCAATTGTCCAAGATAAATACATCTTGAGTCTCAAGATGAGTGGCTAATGCAATTTGATTCAAAAGTTTTCAATATATAAATTTGCCATCTGGCATTAGCTTTGAATTAACACACCACACATGCAGATCAAAGAAATATCATACAGCATTCTCTTTCTACATTTGGCTATACATGTTGCATTGTAATACTTATCCTGAGCTCTAAACTTTGCTTGTATAAGTTTTTATGGCATTTTGATTATTCATTGTCCCTAATCTAATGGGATCACCAAAGTTAAACCCTCATACATACATGGAATAATAAAGCATAATGCACATTGCACATCACTCTGTATAAGCCTGCATGGCTCTTATTAATGTGAATGAGCACAGCTACTTGACACGGGAACAGCATCCATTTTTTTTCTTTTAGTATCCACATTTTCCTTTTTCTCCTTTTCTCTTATGGGTTTGTTGAGGAAGGGTTAATAGAGGGTGTCCCCAAACCACGGGTATCAGGAAAGCCCACGCGGAGATTTTTAACACCCTAAAATGTTGAAAACCTTTGAGTTTTGTCTGGAGACTCTATGCCAACTCAGCTACCTTGGAAGGGTTGCCTCTTTCCTTTTATTATGGTAAAAAATGACATTAATGGCTACAAACCTCGCCTCGCAGCTCAGCATAATAAACAGCCCCGAAGCCACCTTGACCTATCTTATTAGCAATACTGAAATTGTTGGTAGCCGATGCCAACTCTTCATATGAGAACTCCACAGATTTGTCAATAGTCACGCCTGCAAAGCGTGGAGAGGCACTGACAGCAAGGCCAGTGGAGTCTGCATCTTTATCCAAAGTACTTCCAGGAGCTAAATCACAAAAGAGGGAAAAATCAGTCAGTGAAATCATTTATAATCATTCATTTAGTCCCATTCTTTGAAAAATGCAGAAGAGAGGAAAACTACAAATCTTGATGTTTTTGCTTCAATATAGTACAGCATTTTGCAGAAGGAAAAAACTAAACAGCATTATGGACTTTCAATATGAATGCAAGTTGGTGAATTTCCCTTATAAAATAAAGACAAAAATATCCCATCAAATAATCCAATTAAATACTATTACAATATTTGAGGGGGAAAAACAAAAGAACAGAAGAAGCCAATATCAAGTGTTCGTCCTAACCATCCGGGTGCTTGGAGGAAAAGATCGGGAGGTAAAATAACCTCTACTATTACTTTGCATGATGTGGCAGCCCTCAAATTCAACATTGTACCAAGCAGTAACCCCTACGATGTTTTAAGAAACATATCCACAAAAGAAAAAGAAAAAATATATGTTCCTTCTGTAAATTGAACAATTGCTATAAAACAAGAGGAAAACAAAATGAAAGCTTAATATATAAAAAATGGATATTCAGCTTCCTAAAAAGAGCATTGTGGCCAATGTGTGATTAAGACTTCCAATACGTGAAAATCAGATCTGTATTTCTTCAGCCAAGATAAAAATGAATCTAAAAGGCATTCGCTCATTCAGATATATAAAGAGGCACCATTTTAAATGTAAATGTTGAAAGAAAAAGATAGAAAAGGTAGAGAAAAAGGCTACGACAGGAAAAACCTCGTGTAGCCTGAAAAGATTGATCTTCATATGCTGCAGAAAGCAATTTTGCATCTGGTATCTTTTTCAGTCTGTAAAATCCAATATATATGCAAACTGCCAATAACAGAACACCTGCTACTCCAGCTACCGATATTCCAGCTATGACCCCACCAGACAATCCTGCTTGTATAAAAGCAAAAATAAGTTTGAAAGAGCATTTAGGATCCACATTATCATCTACATTTGTGTCCAACTATCAGAAATTAAGAAAGTCAACTCTGAAACAATAGGCCACACAACCTGTGCTGCAAAAGGGAAAATAATAAAATATGTTTAAAATTTCTTTTAAAAAAATGGGAAAATGAAACAAGTAACATTAACTAAGTTTATAGGCACATGAAAATTAAAGAAGTTACCTTGATTTCAAAGGTAGATAATTTCCATTTTTATCTGCAAGAAATAAATAAAAATTTGGTAAGACATTTCCTAGCCTTTCACAGCATCATAATAACAACCACTCTGATAGTCGGAAGCTTTATAGAAAAATCAATTGTTTGGTGATAATGTATTATTGCCAATGCTGGACATATGGGATAAAGCAAGAAATTGATTCACTTGAGGTTCACCATAACATTTTTAGTAAATGTTGTCATGCAAAAAAGGAGTCATCACAAATACTCCAAAAAAAGGATTATAAGAATTAAAACTGATATCATTTGATGATAATAATATGTTTACTACTTGGGGGACAGTGTTAACATATTGTAATATTATAGTGACCTTGATTCACACAAGTTTCGATGAAAACATATAAATACATAGAAATCCTCTTGAATGAAATGAGCATGCTCCAAATGAAACAAAAATAAAAAATAAAAATAACAGTAAAAAAATGGACAAGTTCAAGCATGCACTAATACCCCCGCCCCCAACTGGCACTCGAGTCAACTGACAGAGACTTAGAGTTGTGTTGTTCAGTCCAATGATAACCCAGTTCAGGCAAAATTGCCTAGACCTCCACTGCCAAAATATCAGCTCAAGAACCCCAAAACATATTCCCATTTTTTCATCCCCCAACACTTCGAAACCAGTAGAAAACCATCAACTGAAATCACGCCATGCAACTAGAATGTCATTGATAAACAAGTATTCCGGATCGTAATTATGTGAAATTATTAAACTCAGTTAAGAACATATACAATATCCCAATAAATTGTTCTTTAGCTGCGAAAATCATTAGATTCAGAATTTGATTTGAGTCCTCTTCAAAGGAAATCATATAATTGCAATTTGGAAACGATTTGTGTGACTCAGAAGCCTGTTGAGCCCAACAACCAAACATAACCCGTTTAATTTTATGCTTTCCCCCCCTCTGAATAAGCTTCCTAAAGCCCTTTTAAGGGCTTTGGTTAATATATTACTCTTTGCCTTTTCTTTCTTTTATATGTTATTAGAGATTTCTATACCCTTCTTTAAAAGACAAAAGTCTATTCTCTGTCTAGAAAGAACTGTTTTTCTACATATGTTCCTAGTCACTGAGATGATGTTCATTTCGGTTAGTGCCAAAATAAAATAATAGACTGAAGCCAACTCTTTTAGATTTTTTTTTTTTTTTAGATGAGTATTTGGGTTTGGGTTTGTGATTAAGAGATGGTTGCTAACAGAAAAGGCAATGATTAGATGGTATGGTTTTCCTTGTGATGATGATTGTAAGGGTGGTGACATTAAATGTTGTTGAACTAGAACAAATGTGAGAATTGATAATGTGCATTATGATGGTTTTTATTTTTGATGAAACATCAATAATTGGAAGTTGTGGAAAGAATTTCCAATTTTTAACAAGTCTGGAAACTCCTTACAAAGTTTCTCTTTTCCTATTAAAAAAATAAATTAAAAAATAAAGCAAAAAGAAAAATGCAGCCAATGGTCACTGAGTACAGTGTTCATGGTAAACATCAAAATGCTGGCACAATGAGAACTACTGATGCATATTTTATGGAACGAGAAGCATTAAGTTCAGCAAAAAAATATTTTAAAACAGATTGGATATTCAAAATGTTTAAAACCTCTTTTATTGTCATGATCTAGCCGTTTATTTGATCAAAAGCTATAATATTAAAGCGATACCAATGTAAGAAAATCAGCTCAAAATTTGATAAAATAAAATGATACAAAGACAGTCAAAGTTGATAACGTAATTTGGTCAAATAAAGTCAAAAGAGTGTATAAAAGTTTGACTTATTCGTGCAATCTACTGTGAATGAATTTTTGTACGAAATGTTGACGGCATAATCTTCGTATAATCCTCTTTCAAACAGTTAGATAGCAAATATTAAAGTGATCTCAATGTAAGAAAATAAGCTCAAATTTTGATAAAATAAAATGATACAACGAAGGCCAAAGTTGATAGCATAATTTGGTAAAATGAAGTCAAAAGAGTGTATAAAAGTTTGACTTAATAAGTGAATTAAAAAACTTGCCATGGGGTAGACCTCATATAGCATTACTCATTTCAATATGCAAAGGTACTAAGCATCTAAAACATCAAAATTCCACACATGACACATAACATAATTTCACCTTTGCCCGGAATATACACCAGACCGTTCCCCGAACTGAAATTCGAATTTCGGTTGTAACTCTGAATTAAATCTGCACTGAGATTAGCTTGGGCCGCAACAGAATCCAAACTCTCGCCCGGCCGGAGCGGGTAGGTCACGAACAGTCCGTACTCTTTGGACACTCCACTATCCCCACAAGAACAATTCACGGTCACGTTGAGCCTGGCATTGGTGTCCGGTATGTGATCCGGGTCGTAACTATTGAACCTCTCCAACCACGCCGTCGTCGTCAAATTCGCATAGTACACATTCGCAACTTTATCATACGTATCACCGGATCGAACGGTGTACTGGAACACATGACCCAAGAATTGGCCACCGATACAGTTGCAAGAGAATGGAATGTTGATTCGAATATCGGATTGGATACTGTCTTGGTTTGGAATTTGAGGGTTGTAACTGAGGATATCATTAATCTGATTGCTTGATACTTCGGAGATGAATGTGAGGTTCGATAGTGGCCACACGTAATATGATCCCAGAGCCAAATCACATCCTTTGGAACATCTTGATTCCACTGGATAACAGGTCGAGATGAATAACAAAAGCCCTATGCCTAACCCTAATTCAGATGGCAGCATGCTTTATTGGAACGTCAAACCCTAGAAATCATCTAGAAATGAAACCGATGATAGAAGAGGGTGGTGAGCGATCAACAGGTTTTGACTTTTTGGTCTGTCGACTTGCCGGACTGAATGAACAAGTGATCAGTTTCTTTTGGAAATTGAATGATTCCATCAGAAATGTGTTTTCTTTTTTCTTCAGAAATGATTGACTAAGTAATATGTATTTGCTTAGTTTTTTTAGATTTTTTTTTTTTAAATTAAAATATTCATTAGAGTTTTGTAAAAGTCCTTTGGCAGATGTTAAACTCTGGCAAAATTGGCTCACCAAAATAACACCTAGCATGATTGTGTTTGTATTTAATTGCGAGTCATACCATCTATTTATTAAACGAATTAAATATGTTATGTTGACGTTATAAATTTTGATATTACTTATACTACCAATATAAATTGTCAATCATATTTTAAAATTTCCAAGCTATATATAAATCTCTAATGTTAAACTTTAGCTTTTTAAGAATCTGAGAATAATGTTTGGGGAGTTTGTGCATTGCATTGATAAGTGTAGTGGAACTCTTATTTCTTGAGATATTGGTTAATTTTATTTTTCTTTTTTTCATAGTTAATTCTATTGTTTATAACCCAGGGGGTCATATATCAAAGATATTTACTCAAATATCAAAGTAAAAGATCAAATTTTTATGTTACTTTCTTATAATAAATTTATATATAAACAATGATATAGATTTGGTACTCAAAAGTGTTCGCATGAGGTGTGAGGGTCACCTTATGAGAAGTGTCTGTAAGTTTTAAATTTTTCACATACATTATTGTTTGTGAGGTATAATTAAGAAATTGCCGGAATTATATATAACTAATAGTTAAAAATTAATTTTTTTTTTTTTTTTTTATATTTAAAAACAGAAATAACACCTTCTAGATTTTATATTAATACGAAAACACCTTTTGAAAGTTATTACTGTTGGAAAGAGGGGCATTAAAAATATAAACTTTGGATGAGATTTGGAATAGATTCCGCTAATAATTTTTTGCGGATCTCTAGACGAGCACATTTCTCTCCATAAGAAAATGAACGTGGTATATTTACTTTCTCAAATTTGTTTCCGGGTGAATGAAAAATTAGCTCCAAAGTGTGGTGTTTTGATAAGCTTAAATGGGTATACAAAATGTGGGAAGTGTTTGTCCCACATGAAAAAAAATATTGAAACAAATTGAAATTTCAATAAGCTGAGTTTAGGATTTGGGCTTGGGCTTGGACTTGGGCCTAATTGTAAAGTCCAGATTATTCTTTTTTGGAATTTTGGATTGGGCCTAATTTTAGGCTGGGCTTATTTAAATAGGTTTCACAAATGGGTGGGTTTTTTGGGTGGTTGGTTTTTTGAATTAAAAAAAAAAAATTACTTTTTAGTTTTTCTAAAAGGTTAACCATATTTTAGTTTTTCTAAAGGGTTACACCTTTTAAATTAAAAAACCACTTTTTAGTTTTTTCAAAGGGTTACACCTTTTTTTCGAACCATCATAACTCATGGTTGCACCCACTCGAAAAGGCACATTGCAACCTATTGGAATGGATGTGTCTATTGGTGAACAGACACCATGTGAACCATTGTAACCTATTGGAATAGATGCGTCTAGTGGTGAACAAACACCATGTGAACCATTGCAACCTATTGCAATGGTTGTGTCCAATAATGAAGAGATACACCAAATCTGGAAAGACATTTCTATTTCTATAAATACCCCCCTTTGGATCATTTGCAAGAGGTTCATTTTCATTTTCTTCTATCTCCCTCTTTAGACTTGAACTCAACCCAAGTGGGTTTAAACCATAGGTTAAGTGGTCCGAACCACTTAGACCCTAATCCAATTTCATCGAGCCATATTAAGATTGGTCCGAACCATTTGATTCGAATTGCACCCAATTCAACATTTATATAGCATAGATGCATTTTTGAGTCAGAGAGTATTACACGGAGAAGGTTCGCCTTATCCACGAGTTTGTAGTGCTGTTACTGGTGGATGTAGATCGTTGTATCCTGGGAAATAGACGCCACTGAGTCCGTTAGCACCATAGCGGGGCGAATCTGTCTTAAGGACATAGTAACCAATACTAGTATATTGTTAATTATCTCATGACATATTAGTATAAGATTTATTATATCTTAAATGTCACATGAAGCATATATTTTACCATCAATTACCACTCAAATCCTAATGTTTTTACCAATGTAATCGTTAAAAATGTGAAGAAAAAAAAAAATTATCCCTATTTTTTTAATATATATATATATTTTTTTCAAAAAATCAATAATTTAAAATGACCACTACTTTTTTAACACGAGTGTCAACTTGTCAATGAAATTAACCATGAAAATTTGCCCAAGGATAAGTAACAGTTCGGGAACGGTAACGTGTCTAATGCTCGTACGCCTATTTCTCTTCTTCAAATAAGTCTCCCAATGATAAACTAACATGAGATTGAGTTTTGAAAAAGCACACAGTTTTCCAAATTGTCCTGAATTATGGCGTTGCTTCAGCTTCATCATCAACCTCAACCACTCCCATTTATTGAAGGCGTCTTCGCTCAGTACCCATCTCTATCTCCACTACTTCACAGACGAAGGAACCTCAGCTTCCGAGCACAAGCCCTCCCTTCAAGAACCCAAGTACCCATTTCTTCAATTCCCTCTTCTCTGTTACACCATTCTTTTTCTTTCAATAATAAATGTTTATGTATTGGATGTATGTATGTGTGTATGCCTTCTTGAGTTTATATACACACACCACATGTTTGTCGTTTGTTCTATTTGTCTAATGCTGCTCACTATGCATGCGCTATAAGCTAAAGAAGTTTAACTTCAATGTTGTAGAGGATAATGGAGTCTCTTCCAGTAAGTGGGGAAGTTGGTGGTGCAGGTGGGTCATACTCGTATAATTCTTTGAAGAGGTTGGACCAATTGTGGTCTTCTCTTTGCTCTGCTCCAAAAGGTACATTTTTCTTTCCCAAATTTTCTCTTTCAAATTCTTTAAGTGGAAGAGGTTGTTTAAATATGTGATGGGACAGTAGGTTCAAGAAATCTGAATTGTGTCCTTTGTTTTCAAAATAGTTGTTCAAGAGCCACAAGAAGTGGTTACGAGGCGTTCAGGTTTGTTTAGCAATTCTGATCTGGCTGAAAAGGCAGTGGAGTGTTTTGATGTGGTAGTATGTGGAGGTACTTTGGGAATCTTCATTGCCACAGCATTGAGTTGCAAAGGCCTTCGAGTTGGCATTGTGGAAAGGAATATATTAAAAGGGGTATTGTAATGTGGAAACAAATCTAGAGATAGTTTTGTGGCATGAAGAACTTCAAAACTGTTGGCTGTGCTATGAGATGATATTTGATATTTTTTTTATAATCAATGATCAGAGGGAACAAGAATGGAATATATCGAGGAAAGAACTCTTGGAACTTGTAGAAGTTGGCATTCTATCAGAAGATGACATTGAACAAGCAACATCTGCAACATTTAATCCTGTACGTTTATGAAATTTATAAATTGATAATAGGGTTTCCGTAAAAAAGGTCATATCGGATCATGTACTGCATCACATTCCTAATTGTAGCAATGAAATGACCTGAGGCCCATTCTAACATTTGGAAGTGCTCCCTAGATATGTAACACCATCAAAGGGCTTTGTATTCTAGGTAAATTCTGTGGGTAGGAATGGCTTTTGTTTCACAATTAAGAGAGTCAAGATGGAAATTTGGTCTTTTAGTATCTTCACAAATTATTTTGGGAGCCAGTTTGAGTAGTACTCATCAAATTCCGGTCACCATACATGTTAATTATGGATTTTTTGTTGACACAATCCCAGGAAGTCTGCACTCCTTCAGAAAAGTGAGTTTTTCCACTAAAAGCTTTTGTGAAGAGCACGACTCACCCATGTTAACAATCACTCTTTTGTGTTTGTAGTTTGTTGTGTTTTTTTCAGTAGTTTGGTAGCTATGGAAAGTGCTACCCAACTTGCCCTTCTATCAACTATTTGTTCTTGACAATCTCAGATTATTTTTATTTCTTTTGACTTGTAATAAACATTGCAGAACAGATGTGGATTTGAGGGAAAGGGTGAAATTTGGGTTGAAGATGTTCTTAATCTTGGTGTCTCGTAAGTTAACTTTTCCTGTTGCTATATTACGTTATACTATCAAGTATTTTTTCTTGGACTAGCAATCCAAGATAGAACAGAATATTCTCCATCGATACATATTGAAGAATTTTATAAATCTTAATCATACCACGTGTATACTGATATATTAAGTGCAAACAGAGCACATATTTTGCCTTATGGCATTTTCTCATTAATCTTGACCTAATGGTTAAAATGTTTGTAGAAGGATTTCCATGTGGCAATTCATTTTGTTTATGTTATGTTTAATAAATAAAAATTGATAAGTTACTACATTCACTATTGTTGTCACACATACATCAGGTTTTCATATGAATAAATCAAACCTTTTAATTAACGCGGATTTATTTATTTTTTGGATAATATTCAGATCTTGCAGATGTAGAAAGTTGTAGAACTTGCTAGTTGCTACTAGCATACCTGTCTCTTCGTTATAGAAGCTGTCCTCTGGCTGCAAATACCAAATTCATAATTGAGTGGAATGATTTTTATCATTATTAGTAAAGCATGATATTGTCCCTAACCATATTTCTAATTGAGTGTGGTGTTGGACACGAGAAAAATTAAAAGTATGATGCTTCAGGTCTTTTGTTTTATTTTCTTTTTATTAAACTATGTTGAGTGATGTTTGTCATGCATGTTACTCTCATCCCATGAATTTCAATTCAGGAAATTCATGCTATATGTTGTATTTTTTTTTAATTTTTTTATATCAGTTTTGGTGATGTGTTTATATAGATATGCACTGAACCAGATAGGAGGTTATCTTGGTTTTCTTAGAGGAAACTCAGGCCTTGCTTCTGCAACTCTATCATGTGTTTCTCTTTGATATTATAGGCCCGTGAAGCTTATAGAGATTATGAAGAAACGTTTCAATTCCTTTGGTGGAGTCATCTTGGAAGGTTACAGCGTGTCTAGCATATGTGTATATGAGGATGCAGCTGTAAGATAGCTTTCACTTTTAAAAAGTATCATGGAACTTGATTTGTTGGTTTTGCAGCAAAAATAAATAAATAATAAAACAATATAAGAAGAAAGTAAAGAATTGGTGCACATAGAAGATTGGCGCCTATTAGCCAGAAAGAAGAGAGAGTAGACTTAGGTGGTATGGACATATTCGACGCCGACCTATAGGTGCACCCTTGAGGAGAGAGAGATTGGTGTGCATAGAAGGTAAGAGACAAAGAGGTAGAGACCAAAACTAACATGGAATGAATGATAAGAAATGATTTTCAAAAATTAAATCTAGTAAGAGATATGGCTTATGATAGGAAAGGGGAAAAGAGATACCATATGACCGACCCTATTTGTACGGGATAAAGGCAAGTATGGTAATGATAATGAAAAAGAAAGAAAATAAATGAAAAGTATTGGTTTGGTTTATACATACGCATACATATAATCACAAAGATTTAGTATTGCAGCAGAAAAGTAATGACAAGTTTATAAGAATGTCTAACAAAGATAAAAACATTGAGATGGATGAGTGGAAGATCTAGGAATTATAAGTTAGGAATAACAACGTCAAGGAAACCTACAATTAATATTAGGGATGACAGAATATAGATGTGCCAATTGTGTCGTAAGAAAAAGGTGATGAATACAAATGCAAGTTTGAATGAGAAGATAAGTAACACAGTTTAAAGGTGTTAAACACATATATTGCCCTTAAAACATGTAAATGCCATGCTCTATCTGCAGATATGGATTCTATCTAAAAAAATAGTTAGTACAAAATTACTCTTTATTCTAAAACATACCAAAGACATAAAAAAAAATTGACTGCAATGTACGTTAACATACACAGATGCATTGTTTAATAACACATATACTTAGGGGAAAAAATAACACATACTTCTTACCCTTTCTTCCACAGGTCTTGCAACTAGCTGGGGGGAACATTTTGTCATCACGTCTCATTATTGATGCAATGGGGAACTTTTCTCCTGTGGTAAAGCAGGTCAGGTTCTTCCAGTTATGCATAATTAATGTATTAATCCTTTCCAAAGAATCAAGTATCCTTCTGAGGTCAAGCATATACTTTCCTAGGTGCAAGATTCATAAATGAGATTGACTGTGATGTTCATAAGCTGGTGGAGCACCAAAAGGATTTTGTTTGATATGAATATTTTTAATATTTTCAAGATAACAAGATTGTAAGAAGCTATATGTAATATTACAATAATATGTCAGTGGAACTTCCTGTTGATAAATTGACAATGAATGGATCAGTCTTTTATAAACCGCCAAAACCTATGTGTGTGTTTTTTTGTTTTTGTTTCAGATCTTCTGTATTGGTTATGAAATCTCATGTGCCGCTCCAATGTCCATTAGCTTGTGTATTTATCTGGCTTAGATTATAAATTCATGCCCACAATCCACTAGCTAATATATTCATCCAGTTTATAAACCTTAGATAATGATGCACACCCACAATCTGGTTGAAACTGCTTTTAGGTGTTGGATGATTTTTACAGATAAGAGGCGGAAGGAAACCAGATGGTGTTTGCCTTGTTGTTGGTTCTTGTTGTCGTGGTTTCAAGGAGAACTCTACAAGTGATGTCATATTTAGTAGTTCCACCGTGAAGACAGTTGGAGAGTCAAAAGTACAATATTTTTGGGAGGTACGAGGATTCTTGAGTCTTGACTGTGCTCATGTGTGTATGTGCATTTCATTTGGTATTTTGTAGTATATACATGACATCCTTAGAAAAGATTTTCATTTTTCAAGAATTGATGTTTCTCTAAATGTTTCACAGGCATTCCCTGCTGGGTCTGGTACCCTGGATCGAACTACTTATATGTTCACTTATGTTGATCCTCAACCAGGATGCCCAAAATTGGAAGAATTACTAGAAGATTACTGGGATCTGATGCCAAATTATCAGGTTATAAATTTTGCTATCTTCTCTTGGGTTTTGGAACTCGTGCTTCAACTTGCTTCATTCTGTTTCCATTTGGCGTTGCATACTTGCAGCTTCATATCAACTATATTATTTTTTTACTGGAACCACATGCTTATCTTCCTATTGGTTATCTGTGTACCTAATCTCCCGCTCTTCTTAGTCTTACACTGGAAAACTTTTTGGAGTTTTTTTCTTATATTTTTACACTACTGTACTTGTAAACTTTATTTCAAAAGGAGCTTCATCACCTTTCAGTAATACATTAATAGTTCTGAAAACCGAGTTTGTTTCCATAGTCCCCAACCAATATAGTTATCAATCAATTATAATATCCCAGTAGTTGACAAATAAAAAATTATTTAATGATGAATGGAGGTGCCTATTCAATCAATTCATTTGGAGACATAACAATTTGGTATAGCATTTGTAAGCAAGAGTTATCAGATGGTATTCAGCAGGCTTTTCGATTTTATGTATATCTCTAAGTGCAATAGGTTACAGTGCAAGGAAATAATCTGGGCTCTTTTGTTACTTTGTCTCTTTCTATGTCAGCAGTTCTCATGTAACAATTCTTGTTCCTCTGTTTCTTTTTCTATTTTTTCAATTATACATCCTCCTTGAAATACGAGTAAGTTAATTTTTTATGTATTATTAATATTCTACAACCGGAAGTTTGTAAAATCCTTTCTGTTGTTGATACAATTACAGTAGTTATGATGGTATGACATTTTTAAATTTCACAGGATGTCTCTCTTGATGATCTGGAGATATTGAGAGTTATCTATGGTATTTTTCCTACTTATCGTGACAGGTAAGATGAATGTACCATTTGAAATTTCTTGGCATATAAACTCTTCCAATCTGACTTATTTCAATTTTTTAATTGGGAGGGTTGACTTGACAGTCCAGTGCCAGCAGCTTTTGATCGTATTCTACAGGTGCTTTACATTACTCCCTTCTAAAACCTACATTATGGTTGCATACCAAAATGGAATGCATGAGTCACAAAAGTTTTTCTGCAGTTTGGCGATGCAAGTGGCATACAGTCGCCAGTTTCGTTTGGTGGTTTTGGCAGCTTGACCAGGCACCTCGGCAGATTATCGACTGGTATATATTTGCATGATATCACTGCAGCACTATATTCTTTTTCTAATCAATGTTGCCAATATTTCAAGAGCAAGTAATGATAAAGAAATAAAGAAGCCTTTGAATTTATAATATTTCATCTTTCTTTATGTGAGAATCAAGGGATATACGAAGCAATCTGTGGCAACTTTCTGGATGCTGACAACTTATCCCTGCTGAATCCATACATGGTTGGTGTTCCCTTGCAATGTGAATAATTACATGGAATTGCTTATGCTGTTATTTCCTTGATCAAATTACATTGTGCAGCCCAACTTAAGCGCATCCTGGTTGTTTCAAAGAGCGATGTCAGCAAAGAAGCAATCTAATGTTTCACCAGATTTCATCAGTGAGCTTCTTTGTGCAAATTTCCTGAGTATGCAGGTGAATTTAGGTTGCTTGAAATGAAGTTCCTACCAGAAATGCCTAAAGAACATCCCCCACCCCCCCCCCCCCCCCCCCCCCCCCCCCCCCCCTCCTTTCTTCTCTACTCAAATGCTCATGTTCCTTTTCTGTCTTTTTTCTCCCCTCAAAATTTATATATCACTTTACCAGCGGCTAGGGGATCCGGTGCTACGGCCATTTCTTCAGGTTACTTGGTCATCTCTTAAGCTTTTTCATCATTAGTTTTTTTTTTTTTTTTTTCCCCTGTTGTGAACTCTTTAATAGGTTGGTTTCCCCCTGTTGTGAGCTCTTTAATAGGTTGGATAGAGATTGTGCAACTAATTTTACTATATACTGATGCAGGATGTAATACAGTTTGGGCCTCTTGTCAAGACATTAGGATTAGTTATGCTAACTAAACCTCAAATTATACCATCAATATTCAAGCAGGTATACATGAGTTATATTTTCCCTTTGCCATCTTTCCCTATTTTATTTTTCAAATTGAGACAGTCTTCCATGCTAATATGTTTCTACTGCTTTGAGATTCTGGATAACTATTTTTGTGCTCTTTTCTGTGAAAGAAACAAGTATAAATTATTAAAAATTGATGTATATTGAGTGAATATGGCAGGAATAATGAGAAATAGTTTCTTGAAAAATATATCTGCTTCATTAAAAGGTTAAAAATGTCGTCCCCTACCAGTTGGGTTTGACTGCATGAAATTAAGAAAAAAAATACCCCTACTAGTTGGGTTTGGCAGCATGAAATTAAGGAAAAAAAAAAACCCAAGTATGCTGCAAAGTTTAGCAAGGTCTCCTCTGGCTGCTTGCCATGCATGACCCTCCTCCCCAATCTGGACTGGCACTATAGCAGACAATAATAGTAATATCATAAATGTATTACTGTATATTGATTGCTTCACTCGAGAATGATAACCGTAAAGATAACTACTTTTGAGAGTTTCTGAGCTAGCGATTTAAGATAGATTCAAGCTTGCAATCTTCTCAACTAGAAGTGTTAAATAAAATGTTTCGTGTTCTCATGAAGGAGAGACCTCATAATCCATTTATTTATCTTTCTCAGGTTGGTGTTTCTGTGCTTCTTGACTGGTCTGGACATTTTGTGATGTTGGGTTACTACACATTTCTTTCAACCTTCATTGATCCTGCAATTAGGTAATAATCTTCTCGTGGTTATGTTTCTTCTTTAAGTTTTATCGAAGTATCAAGAGATTATTAACAATATATTTGGTTATTAATGTGTAATTTGCGTATGTATACATATATACACACATAAATTTCTTGTGTTACTGGAAGAAACACTTGTGTTTGTGCTTTTGTAGTTTTTGCTATTTATTTGTTTCTAATCACTCGTATGTTTTTGCAAGGCCATTGATAAATTCATTTCCAGACAAGATGAGGTACAAATGGAAGCGGCAACTTGAGGCTTGGGAATACGGCGCCGGTCTGGACTTCAGCTTAAACCCTTCTAAACTAACTGAGACAGACAGAAATTGGAAGGGTAGGAAACCCTTGACACAGAGTGATAGTCTTTGATGACCTTGCGAATCCTTCATGGCAACAATTTCAAATATAAACTATTCTATATAACTTAGCTTGAAGATGGTTCTTAAATGACTTTTAACTTACAAGCTTCTGTAAATTGAAACATTTGAATCTCAAGCATATGGTTACAATTTTTTTCTGTTTATGAATTACGCTATAAACAGTTTGATGGGCATATTGTGGTGTAAAGAAATTATTTCAAATATATACATCAACGAACACAGTCTAAATGGAGCTCTTTTTGTGTGTAAGGTTTATGTTTTATTATTTTTATATATCATTCGTTATATTTATATGCTTAGTTCCGCATACCATCTTACAGATAGTCTACACCATTTATTTAACATAGATGGTGGAGAATACACACGTATATATAATAAGAGAAATGGAATAATGCTATGTTTGTGTAATAGCATTCAAGTTGCACTGGAATGAAAGGATCTAATCGTTACACAAAACTTTAGTTTTAGTGGAACATTTTAATAATTTCACACCATGTTTAAGATAATAAGGTTTGTCCATTCTATCAAGGGATTAAAAAATAAATCATTTCACAAAATCCAGTCCAATGCAAGGGTGCAGATCGAATATATCACTCCATATGAGATGGAAGTTCACTCAACCTAGGGGGAACCACACCTCATGTGAGATGATTTCCTCCCTCCGTCATATATTGGACCTATCCAAATATGATCTTAATTAATGTATGGACTGGACATCTTCGGTGCACTTAATTTTACAATACTCATTCAACAATGATACAAACACTAATGCAATATATTACATCGCGTTGCAACACTATAACATTATTAAATAAAAAATGCAACACCTATACGTGACTATTAAGATAAATCTATTTTGAAAAGAGATAACCCAGTGCACAAGAGTTCAGCTATTGATTTAAAGTTGTGTGGCTATTAGTTGCAATTTAAATGCACTGCAAAATTGCGAAGGAGAGGGTCTGATTTGACTATGTAAAGCATTTAAATCTGCCAATCATACTTAACATCACGAAATATTGAAGAGTTGAGAACTGTTATGGACTAATCTTTGGAACATTCCTCCCCCTCAAACAATGCTGAATGATACACCTGCCGAGGCAAAAGCGAAAGGTGAGTCCCTGCATTCTAGACTTCTAGTTGTAAGTATAGAAACCCCAAGTACAAAAGGTCATTTGACGAGTTATTTTGTTAAAAGGGTCCTTTATCATTTCTCAACTTCCACTTCACATCCGATAATGCTTCTCCTGTTTCCTTTCATACCTTTTCCTATATATCTCCTCTGCAACTACACCTATTCTTCACACGAAGTTAGGGTGGCGCGTGCACAAGAAGCAGAAACACACAAGAGTGCAAACACGCGCACATACATACACACTTGAAGCTACAGAATTATTACATTTTCAATGCCAACCAACAAAATCAAACTATCACATGGAAAAGCAATATGTTGTTCCACAAAAGCAATTCAACCATGGGAGGGGTCTCTATATATCCCATCTACTTTCCTCAACCTGCGTGCTACTGTTATAAAACCATTTTCTTCCGTTAGACAATGATGCACCTGAGTGTGTTGCATGCTAAGGCCAATTTCTTTCTAGACCTTTGCCTTCCAAAAGGTATAAAATACCAATCCTGATTTGTAACCAAGGGGACAAATCCACAGACGAATCTGACCCTGGTTTTGGACGTCAACAGGACAGACGGTCCACACCCAAGTTCTTGTCCACAGACGAATCTGACTCTGGTTTTGGATGCCAACAGAACAGATGGTCCACACCTAAGTTCAGCAGGGCAAATCTGCAAGTAAACTGGACAATGGACACCAAGTGCCTAAGCACTCAACCACAAACAGCTCAAATTTTTAGCTTGCAGGTTTCTCAATTGTTGTATCATAAGATTCATAACAAGAACTGCTTCAGCTATGATTAGCATGTCCTCAAATCATCTAGGAAGCATCGATTGCATAACACACCAGGGAGGGAAGGCCAAAATATTCTCCAAAAGAAGTTGAACAATCAAAAGGATCACAGTACTCCTTACCAAGGTACAGTGAGATGCATACCATCGACAAGCATTGTCCCCCAACATCTAAATATACAGTAACAAGCTAGGAAAGATCAATACAGCTTATTAATGAAACAGAATTTAATTGACAATACCTCACTTGCCTCTGGCAATATGTTCGAACAGAAACAAGAACCTTGGAGATAATGCATTTTTTTTGTTTTTGAAAGAAGAGATCATCCCCTATGGTAGTAAAGCTTCTTAACAATGATTTATTAAAAAAAAATGGATGCATCTCAACTTGTTAGTCATGTCAATCCAATCGCATCAGCTAGTGGACCACTTAATTTGGTAGCTAAAGCAAGCAAACCCGTTGGTTTTCCAAATTGGAGGATTGGCAGGTGCAGTAGGTTTCCAGAAAACCCAAAGACCAGTCCGATCCAGGAATCAACTGGCAAATCTCAGTCCTTTAATATAAAACACCACTAAAATCTCCACATCTTACCTGAACTAGAGATCCCACAAGAAGAAAAAAAAAAAAAAAAAAAAAAAAAAAAATTCTACAAAAGAAGTTTTTTTTGTTTGTTTGTTTGTGTGTGTATTTTTTTTTTTCATTTTTTTTTTTTTTTCCTGAGAAGCAGGGTGGGGAGGGTGTTCACGTAGACAACACAAATTAGTCTCACAAGCCTAGCACACACGTACAGACATTTTCAGATAAAAATTAGGAGGAATCTCTGTTTGTGCAAGGCACAGTATATTCTTTGCACTGTACATTTCCACAACACAACAACAATGCCGGACCTAATACAAAGAAATTGAGTACCTCCCTCACAATGTATCACCATCAATCGGTCACCTCTTCCGGCGCTTCGGCTCCACCTAACATCGGGGAACAAAATCAAGATTCAGAAATGGAATAACCACTTTTAATGAAACATAAGCAATATATTGACAAGCATTACTTTGGAATCTGGTGAATTTGTAAACTATAAAAATCTGGTATCACGTTTAATTTCCTGGAAGCAGTCCATGTATAGATAAAAGAAAACCTGAATTAGCATCAAGAGACAATGGAGAACGAAGTTCAGTTGGATCCACATGCTTTTTACCATTCATTATCACCAGCACCTCTAGTGTGCTGTATGGTCAAGAAACTACACCCACCCACAACCCCCAACCCACCCCCCCCCCCCCCCCCCCCCCAAAAAAAAAAAACCTTAAGGGATTGTGTGCAAAATCTCAAGGAGGACATAAATAAAACCAATATATAGCAACATTGAGTTCCCCCATATTGCTTGCAAGACAACAGGGTTTACCCCATTTCATTTGCTATTATCTTTTTAGAGGTCACCAAGTAATTATTAACTTGTACATATACGAATATTTGATTATAAAAGGACAACCTCCACAGATTCGCACTTACATTAAGTACAACTTTCTAACCTTATTACAAAAGCAGAGAACCTTTCTCGTTATAAACTTTTGCAACTAACCTCTGAAACACAAACTATTTCTAAATGATTAGTAAACAACTGATGATAGGATGCAACATCCTGAATACTGAGTTCCACCATCACATTCTCATCAGAATCTTATCATTCATGTGGGCAGATTATAGTTGTTGAATTTAACATCTTTATAGGTATGGAGTTGACAAACAGAATTCCATCTGCATTCAACAGCGTATTGAACCTCACAGTTATTCTGTGATTCTCTCATGACTGGGAATCGTAGCTGATCAACTTAAAGTGCTGGCAAGTCTATGATGTTGAGTAATTTAGCGCATAAATGTTGGAAATTTTCATTCCAAAACAAATTTGAGTTGTATTTTTGTCTTCTCGAGTCTAAGTTGAAGATTGCTCGTATTCAAGCAACTTCAAGATCAACAGGATTGAATTATAAAAATTATTTTGAGCTTATATATATATATACATATTGAAATATTTTGAGAAACAAAAATAACAGTAATTTTTAAGTGTTCTTCAAAATCAAACAGAGAGATCAATTTACCGGTATGTTGTACTTCTGCACACCTGTGCATTTTACTCCAGTGGCCCCTATTCACAGGTACATTAAGAGACAGTGAGCAGAATGTACCAGTACATTGTTTCGCATGCACAGGTGCTTTGACTCCGAATTGGAATTGGATTTTTGTTTTCAAATCAAATTGAACTTGGTTTGCTATGAAACTTTTGCAAATGTATCTCCAAGTTTTTTCCCATCAGAATTTTCAATCGAATACTTATATAAATAAGCTTTTCATTATTGAAAGACATGAGTGTCTTTGTTTAAGACCTGAGTTGTTTACCACACACTTTTGCAGATGGAATGTTAGAATATGTGAGTTCTAAACTGATAGTGGACATCAAATAAATATTGGAGTCAGCATCCCATCAGCAGCAATATACATCATCAAGGTTCAACAAGTTTGCTTGGAGAACACAAGGAAAAAATTGGGCATGAGGGATTGTGCTGATGTGGAACACTGTGATTGGCAAGTCCAAAGGCACTAAAATTAGAGTCCACTAGGCATCAGGGGTAAATCAATGACAAGTGATTTCGAAAGTATTGCTGTCAGATGCTCGAAGCATTCCTAAAACAATTTCAATCCGTTGTACTCTTTTTCAAACACAGTTGATTAATTTGACTTCAAACAGCATAGTCTCCATGGAATCCACAATTTTTTACAGACTTACAAATAACAAGTATGCAGTATCAGGTACAACAATCAATCAGACTTTGCTCATTAAGAAGTTACTGAGATATATTCTCCCTTTGGAGTGATTACGATTGATATAATGAGTAAGATAGTCACTTGTTATGAGTTAATAGTACTCTCTCATGACAAGTCAAGGACAAGTTTGTGATGTAAATCCGTCAGGTCAACAGAAATAAAGCAACTGTCTAGGAGAGGAACAAGGATATTGCCAACAAGAGTATGGTGAAAGAGATGCAGCAGCAAACTAAACCTCAGCTATACATCATCAAACTCACGCTCAGTTTATAAAGTACTGCAAAGGGTGGCCACGTGACCATGATGGCAGTGGACAAGAAACTGCCCCTGGTGCATGATAACTAGATTCAGTATGAAAGCTTCCAAAACTAGTCACTTGATGATATTGCAACTTATAACCAACTAGGCCCTATGATTTCATGCGACAACATTAGGTATATAACCATGTTTATGGACTTAGGTACAGGGGTTGAGTGCCCGATGTGCCTAAGAGAAATTCGTTTAATCCTAAATTGTAAGACAGGATCAGATCTGAATTATCACCATATGGATTTTTTTTCATCTTTTAATACGGTTAAATGAAGTGTGATGGCAAAATTGCTGAACATCCGCACTTAAATTCATTTAGAAGCATGAATGACATGTAGGAACATAGCTGAAAGGTATTCTTCAAAACTTTACGCAAAAGTTTTTTTATTCCTTTGTAAGACACTCCTGTTGGTAAGTATCCGAGTAGCAGATGTTTTGCCATCCCATATGATGTCAGAACTGACACAAGTACTCGTACACAAACTGAAGCATCCATGTGGAAAGATGTGTATACTCCATTTCTACTGATCTTATTGGATTCAGGTGCTTATTATTAGGAATTTAGGATGACCTAGTGAACAGCAAAGTCCATCTATATGGTCAATCAACATGAGCAATTGTGTGTGCTGCAGTACATATCACAGGAATAACTACACCATTATTATTTTAAAGGATGAAAGAACATTGCAGTCCTATTATCTTAAACCGGAAGTAAAAAAAGTATTCTCACCTTAGCCTCAACGGATGGTGATACTGGAAATGAGTTTGGAGATCTTTTGGTATCATCGTCAGATGAGCAGTCAGAACACAAGAAGCGCTCCAATTTCTTTGCTTCTTCAATGGTCATACCCATACAAGAAGGATGGAACCTGTAAAATTTTGGTTTAAGTATCAAATAAATATATATCCCCACTTATAGATATGATCATGACTGCACATCAGTTAAAGATAAGAGGATAGAAGCCAGAGAATGCAGAGATATCTCCCTTAGTAGGAACATGTTTACAATAAGCATTAAATTGAAAAGTGTCCCCCTTCAAACTCAAGGAGCAAACTACATTCACCCATTAACCTGTGTATTTGATGGCCACCCTAACCCCACTTTTGCTAGGATCATTAATTCCACAAGAGTTTTAAACCTCCAACCTCATTGCGGTAAAGTCCTTGAGCACTCCGATTTACTTTTGTCTTGCCCCAGTTAGTTCCATTTCCAATTTCTCACAATGGTTTTTTTTTTTGATAAGTAAACAATGGTTTTCATTTCTAACCGTAACTTTTTTCCTCTTGCCATTCATCTATATGGACATTCACATCAGCCAAACTCAGTTTAAGGCATTCAATTGTAGATTATCACTTATCCAAAAAAAAAAAATGTATATTATCATGGAAAAGTATCTGCCCAAGTCACACACACATAGATTCTGCATCTATGTTTCTCTCTACAACGCACCAACTATTTTGGTCATGATGTGCCCATGAATTCCCATCACAACTGAGAAACATGGTAAACATTTCCCACTTCATTTGTCTAAAACTTACTAAAATTAGAACTTCATAACTATAAAATTCAATACAAGTGTCAGAAATAAATGAGAAGAATCCTTTTAATGAGCATCTTGAGACAAATCAAGGTCTTTGGCCAACGAAACAGTTGCTCTTGACCATAGTTCTTTGTATCAGCCAAGTCCAAGTTCAGCACTCACTGGTAAGAATTGGAATGACACGACACTCAAACAAGTCCCTAGGAAAACGACCGGATGAAAAACAACTAAAACAGGAAACACCATAAAAATTGGTTATGGCACCAGTGACACCACAAATTTAGTTTTTAATGTTTCTAATAATCTTCTTTTTTTGGTATGCTATTTTCAATAATCACCTAAAAGAGCTTCTTCCACAGTTAATTTCAACACACTGAATATTTAGAAAAATAACTTCAACAAACCCATCCAAAGCAAGTTATCAGATCAAAACTAAACTAGGTGCTTTATCTCAAATTCCAAGTATGAATTCACCAGAATGCAATATGGACAGTGATCCAACATAGAACGTGATGGTATACTAATCATACTAAACCACATTAATCTTATCATCATCATTCTTGCCTTTATCACCTATGGATGGGATCGGCCACGTGAATTCTCTTTTTCCATTCTTTCCTATCGTATACCATGTCTTCTCTTAGATTTTTTTTTTTTAAATTGTTTTTAATTACTTCCTCCCATGTAAGTTTTGGTCGGTCTCTTTGTCGCTTACCTTCTAGGGAAACAACTTTTCCTCTTCTAAACACTGCATCATCGGTCTACAATGAATGTGACCACACCAACTAAGTCTACTTTCTCTAATTTTATTGTTTATAGGCGCTATAACTAGTGTTCCCCTCACGCGTTCATTATTGATGTTATCTTTTCTGGGTTTGATTCCCACAGACAGCGTCTTAAATAAACTATTTTACTTATAAAAAAAAAAATGGATGTTATCTTTTCTAGTTATTCCAATCATCCAACGTAGCATCCTCATTTCTGCAACATGAATGCTTTGCTCTTGTGTCTTTTTCAACACCTAACACTCCGCTTCATACAATATAGCTAGTCTAATAATCGTTCTATAGAATTTTGTTTTTAATTTATTTGGTATTCTTTTGTCACAAAGTATACCACTAGCTTGCCTCCATTTTGTCCATCCCGCTCCAATTCTACTCACTACATCAGTATCTATCTCCCCATATTTTTGTAGTACTGGTCCTAAGTAACAAAAATAATTATTTTGAGTAACTCTTTGATCCTCAATTGTAATATTTATCAAACCACATTCATCCTATCTATAGCTCTAATGCATGAAAAAAAAAAATTTCTCGCAACCATCATTCAAATTAATATTCAGTACTCACCGGTAAGAATCTAGTTTTTAATGTTTTTCTCTCAACCATCATTCAGTACTCACTGGTAAGAATCGGAATCACACGAGACTCAACCAAGTCCATAGGAAATCAACCGGATAAAAAACAACTAAAACAAGAAACACCATAAAAATGGTTAGGGCACCACAAATCTAGTTTTTAATGTTTCTAATAATCCTCTTTTTTGATAATCACCTAAAAGAGTTTTTTCCACAGTAAATTTCCACGCACTAAATATTAAATATTTAGAAAGATAAATTCAACTAACCCATCTGAAGCAAGTTATCAGATTAAAACTAAACTAGGTGCTCTGTCTCAAATTCCAAGTATGAATTCGCCGGAATACATTATGGACAGTGATACCAAACCACATTGATCCTATCTATAGCAAATTTATTTTTTTCCTCGCAGCCATTATTCAAATTGCATAACAGCTTGAGAATTCAAATGCATATATATACAACAACATATGCAAACACAAATAAATGCACATAACGAATTATACCAGTCCTTGCACCCCTCGCATTGCACCATAAGGTCATCCGGGTTATAAGGCATCTCACACTTGCAATACCTTTAAAATAAAAAAAGACAAAACTTTCAAACATCAGCAGCAAGTACAATGTATAGCAACTTCAAGACCATTCAAATAAAAAAGAACTCAAAACTCACACAGCAACACGATCTGGCGTAAATCCTCCGGTGGCAGCCTTGTACTCGAATCGGCAGAAGTAATCCTCGGCACCAACATTCTCAAGCTTGGTGTAATTCTTGAAGGAGTGAACAATGCACTTCCCTTCTATAGTGTGAGCACTCTGCACATCAAAGTGGTCGGACAAGAACAACTCTTTGGCTCCATGGAACTGTCTCCGACCTCCGATCGACTCCTCGGGTCTGTAATACCATCGCACCCGGACCTTAATGTTGTTCCGATGATCGGCCTCGATCTTCTCCACTCGCGCCACGTACGGTGGCTTGCCGGAGTCCGACGGCCGCATCAGCACACAGTCTCCAGCTGCCAAACACCATCGGTCAGCGAAGCACAATTAAAATCAAGAGATTTAGAGAGAGAGAGAGAGAAAGAGAGTGAATGTGGGGGAGGAGAGAGAAAGAGAGAGAGATTACGTCTGACGACTTTGTCGGCGCCTTTGATAGTGTAAGAATCCAAGTCTTTTTTGCCAGGTTTGGTCTTCGCCATCAATGGTTGAGCTCCGATTATAAATTCAGTTGCAGTACAGGGAGAGAAAGGGAGATGGATTATGGAGAATTTGTTGGTAGAGAGAGAAAGTGGATTTGAAAACGACCTTTATTTTAGGGGGCAAAAGTATCAGAACTTTGTGTGTGATTTTATGGGTTTTGAATTTAAGGTAATTGATGGATTACACTAGAAATGGTACTTCGAAGAGTAGAGAAGCAGAAGACCTAGCGGCTTAGAGAGAGAGAATGGGGCAGAGGGGTCGCAGGAGGGTTTTATTCACATGCGGGCATGGACAGAGAATGAAGTAGGGTGCTTTTTGGATTGAACGCTCTAATTGGCTGGAAGTAACGCTTTTTTATTGTGCCACACGACTGTAAGTAACCCCGATATTACGGATAGACCTCATTTGACCGTTAACGGTGGTGTTTTCGGAGGGAGAAAAATGACAACTTCAATAACTTTTGCTTTACACTTGGTTTTATTAGAAGAAAAAATATATACGGAGTATATAAAAGTGAAAGTAATTGAAAATCAAATGAAATAAAAGATAATAAATATTTTAACAAGTATTTGTTTAAACTGAAAACTTTGCATAAAACTAGAAAGTTGTTAAAAGTTTTTATTTCATAATTTGAAAGTTACAAAAACTAAATTGTCTTTCAATAATATATATATATATATATATATATATATATATATATATTAAAGCGTAATTGTAAATTTCCATAACGTTTTCAAGAAATCAAAGGTAAAAAATCTTTAAGAAAAATTGTTCTTCGAAAAATTTCTTTTGATGCTAAACAAAAAACTCTTAAATGTTTATATATATATCTCATTGCCTGTTTAGAATTATTGTTGTTCAAGTTCAACGACACCTTCCAAATAATTTTCGAATTATTTCAAGATAAAAGTCTGATGTTGTTGACTTTTTGGCACATATTCATGTGATGTAATAGCAACAGCTAAAAATAAGGAAATATATATGGAAATTATTTGGAAGGTGCCGTTGAACTTGAACAACAATAATTCTAAACACGCAATGAGATTTTGACTTGTCTCCGAATATTGATGCTTTTCCAGCGTAAAAGAACAAATGAATGAACTATAAAAATAAAAAATAAAAAATAAAAATCAATTTGGAGTACTTCAAATCAATATACGAAAATTCTTTCCAAAAAAATGATTTACATATATACTAAACGTATATACAGGTATTTAGCATATATCTACCTTTGAGATTTGTTAACAGGCAGCAATATTTTGGAAATTTAGAACTAGACCAAAGAATTAGTACAGGGGCATATTATTCGACAATCAAGAACTTCCATTTGGTAAGAAATAAGAAACAATCAAACAAAATAAACAATAAAGTCTTCGACTTGGATGTTCATGTCTTGAACAAGAAAAAAAGTATTGGAGCCAGTGGTCGGTCTTGCATTTGGTGCTTGCAGCAGATCCAATCTTCAACTGGTAGCCCAGAAGCGAAGGCTTCGACTGTCTCAAATTCCTCCCTGCATAAAAAGAGGGAATGATGATTCCTTTATCACGTGTTTTTAAATAAGCAAGGAGGAAAGGAAATGGAAAATAATACAAGTTGGCGAGAGAAGTCAGATGTGGTTTTAAACACAAACCGGATTTTTTTCTTTTAGGGCAAGAATGTTAGATTAGAAGTTAGAGATGCAAATACTCAAAACCGGGCTCCCAAGGACAACGGGAAGCAACCCAATCACTGGGCTACAAAGGTGTTCACAACTCACACCAATTTGGATAACAAAGAAAGGGGGTAGAGAGAGAAGCACCAACTCCCTGATGTCTCCTCCTCCTTTTTCCCCCCCTCCCCCACTTACGGAACTAAAACTCTCCTCTCTCCTCTCTCCTCTTTCCTTTCCTTTCCTTTCCTTTCCTTTCCTTTCCTCGTTTTTCAATACCAAACATAACACAATCTCTCCCTCCTTTTGGGGCTTTTCCTTTCCTTCCAACTCCCTCAAGATAGAGGCACTCCTTATCTCTGTAATACAAATCATAAAAATAAAAAACCACACACTTCTTACCAATCCACCATTAATAATCAATAGAACAAGATAGCAGATAAGAAAATGCAGCATCCAACTTTATAAGGAATTTAACTGGTTCCGTAAAAGTAAAACCATTTTGGGAGAGAGGGGTGAGGGACCGAGGGTAGGGGTTGAGAAGGAGGCTGATGTTTAAGCCTCCATAACACTTAAACTTCACAAGCAAAATGGTTCAATCTAAATGCTTGGATCCTTTTACACCATGTCAAAATAATTAAACTTCACCAGCCTTTTCCTTTGCTCCTAATCTTTTATCACCAAACATAATTCAACCTCTCCCTCCCTTTCCTTTCCTTCCAACCACTCAAAATAAAAGCACTCCCCATCTATCTGTAATACAAATCCACCTCCCACTAATAATTAGAACAGTGTTAACAGAGAAGAAAATGGACCACCTAATATTTTATGGAATTTTGCTCGCTCCATAAGACCATTTTGGGAGAGTTGGGGTGAGGATTGGGGTTGAGTAGGACAGTATCATTATGCCTACCAAACCTCTAAACTTCCAAACACAAACTTCAGGAGCACAACCTTGAACCAATTCAAATGCTCAAATCCTTTTACACCATGTCAAAGTAATTAAAGGTGATCCCCAATGGAAAATGGAAAAGAAATATAAAGATGTGATACCAGAAACAACTGACTTTGGAACAATTCAGCAAAGCAAAAGTATCACCTTCCGCCTGGATGCCCCACATAGACTACCATGCTAATGAGCCCTCCAGGTGCTAATATTCTCTTTGCAGCCTCCAATGCAAGTCGTGTTGTCTCCGATCTTGTTATTATTGCTTTGTCACCTCCTGGAAGGTAACCCAAGTTGAATGCAACTAACCTAAGAATAAACAGGAGAAAAATAGAGAGGGTGGAGTGGGGGAGATGTAAACTTTAGTCCAAATCATGAAAATGCACACAATTTCACAGCTAACTTCTCAATGATTATAAGACTCTGATGACATTGAGAAATGGTGAGTACCTCACAGAGACACCCTTTGGAACAACATCCTCCATTTTACTGTGACAGATGGAGAACAGCTCAACAAGTTCTTTCTGCATATTTCATACATCTTTGTTATATTAAAAATATATTTAACCAAAAAATGTGAAGCAATTGAAACATCATAAAATTTAAAAGATATAAAAGCATACATCTCTGTTGTCTCAAATCAGATATTATAACACGCTTCAAGACACAGGGTTACATGGTTTGAATTACATTGAAAACACAGTAAAACTATAATACATCATTACCATGGAAATTGATACTGGCCAATTACAATACTAACTTTTTTATTAGGTCTTGTGATACTATTTAAATTTGATTCTGTATTGAGATTCAATCCAGAACAAATTAGATCCACCATTTATAAATTCTTACACAACTGAAAAATCATCATAAAAAGTCCTCCTTTATGTTTAAAAAAACGGCCGTCTGGTCCAAATATTTAAATGGATGCCCAGGCAAGAACCCAATAAGCTAGACAGCAGCATAGCTCACCATCTCAGGAAGTATTTGCCCAGGCGAATTAGGTAGCCGTAAGCACCCAAGCAGTCATTTACACCTGAGGAAATTCCTATGACAACTATTTATATTACTATCACTTGAGTTAGCAAGTTCACACTGTTTTTATCTTCCTTGAACAGTTTAATAATAGAAAATTGCATAAAAGTAGCACCTCATCTGGATTCAACGATTCGTCTAGCAGAGACAAAGTATTCTCTAAAGCAGCTTTTTGGATATCCATTGCATAAACACGACCCTTAGGTGGCTTACCAGCAACCATTTTGACCATTGCTAAGGTATCATAACCATTGCCACAAGTTGCATCAACAAGTATGCCCCCTTTCTGGATTACATGTCTCCATACCCTAGTAAGAAAAAGGGAAATACTGAACATTTAAAGAATAATGTTGTCAAGTAACAAATAGGTGCATCACTCATGTAGTACCATATCCAGAATCTAGTGTTATTTGCTCATTAAGGGGTAACTGGAAGATGGCATCAAAAGATGGTGCAACTGTATTTGCGAGATATTTGATTGTCAAAAGGGATGACAATAATTGCTTCGAGTAATTATTGTCTTCATTGTTGATATCACGAGTGGGAGCTAATGAGCTAATTGCCACTAATAACCATAAAATTATGTTTTCCACTATTATTCTAACAACAAATTATCAATGTACAGAAGGTTGCAAATCAACCGAGTCAAGTTGAATATCAGCTCGCTCGAGCTCGGCCCAGCTGAGGGCGATGTGAGCCACCACTCCCCATCACTCCTAAAGACTACTTCGAGGTGCAACTATGTTTGCAAGGTATTTGATTGTCAAAAGAAGGGACGACAATAATCGCTTCGAGTAAATATTGTCTTCCATGTTGACAGCACGAGTGGGAGCTAACGAACTAATTGCTACTAATAACCTTAAAATTATGTTTTCCACTATTATTGTAACAACCAACTATCAATGTACATAAGGTTGCAAATCAACCGAGTCAAGTTGAATATCAGCTTGCTCGAGTTCGGCTAGCTGAGGGCGATGTGTGTCATCACTCCTCATCACTTCTAAAGACTACTTCTGCATCTTACCTCATGGGAGATGTGCGTCATCCCATCAAGATAGCATGAGACCCATGGCTTCCCCCTTCTGATCACCAATCCCTAGTATCTCACCATTATATAAGATCAACTTTAAGGGGAAAATCATAACTCCCAACAGAAAATCTAGGAAATATTCTTCATAATTCCCTTACCCTCTCAAAGAAATTCCCAAGTGCCCTTTTTTGCCCATCACACCCCCTCCATAAATAATAGTCAGATATCCCAACTGGCATTGCTCTCTCTTCCATTCGAACCAGCCTAAGTTCCACCTAAGCCAGCTCACATTAGATCATCCTTGTATCTCGAAGTGACACCTCCACAATAAGGATGCCAACAGAGCAACGGAGCACCCCTATCTTAAACCCGTCCCATAAAGAAAAAGCACTTCCCAAACCAACCAACATTGCATCAGGATTGGGACAAGTTCCCCGTGATTTTTGAAGAAAAAAATCAATCTTGAGCAAATATAAAATGTAATCTTTAAAATTATCATGAAAGGAATGAAAATTAAAGGGGAAAAAATATAGTTAACAATAAAATATTTCTTAATATAGAGACATGTCAACCCTGAACCCTCAAACCCAAAGAGCAAACTATAGAGACATCGATGCACATAATGTTCTTCAAAATGCATTTCATTAACGATTTAAAAATAAATAAATAAAATGGGCGACAAGGGTTAAGACATGGGTTTTGAAGATACCTACGAGTGAGCAACTTCTGTGGCCTTTTTCTTGCCAAAATTATAGCCCATCATTACATCCTCAAGCCCTGAAAATCAGACCATGAACATGAAGACGAAAAAAAAAAACTGAAATTTCAATACCCATATATCATAATTATAATAATTTTTGTATATGTTGGTTAAAGAATGGACACCACCTGAAACTGGAGAGACTTTTGAAACGGAGGTCGATGGAAGATTGGAAAGTGCTGAATTGCTCACCCCATTTTGTTCAACCGAATTCGCAAATGAGCATAGAGTTCTAGGGTTTATATTCCTATGGAATTTAATAGAACTATGAGTGAAGAAATAATACGTTGATTGTGGAACTCTCAAGGTTATCATTGTGGACTGGTCACATACGAGCAGTACAGATTGCGCAGCTGTGACTGTGGGGGAGTAAGCGACTCAGAAGAACTCCATCCCTTCCGACCCTCGAAATGTCGCCGTCTATGCCGACAGCTCTCTCTCTCTCTCCCCTATCTCTATACTTTCCGGTTAGGATCTAAGTCACGTAAAGTGAGAGGGCTGAGCGAATTCAGGAGCGACAGCGGCGTAATTAAATGATAAGCAGTAAGAATTTAAACCATAAAACCCTCAGAATGTGAGAGTCCACACTCACTAAAAAAGATTACGTACTTAGTTAAGATGTGAAAATTTTATCTATTAAAAAACAAAAACAAAAAAACCATTAAGCCTTGCCTCATTAGTAATAAATATGTAAATAAATATTATTTATTAATAATAATAATTATTTTTCCTTCATTCCTTCTCATAATTTTAAATTTTAACAACTTTTTGTTATTATAACTGTCAAATATTTTTTTAAAAATACTAAAATATATGAATAAATTCTACTCACACCCAAGCTTGGGTTAAAGACAGGTATCTACAACTTAAGTATTTTTTTGGACAATGACAATCCTAAATTTGATAAATTGAACAATAACACCCAAATTAAGGTAAAGTACTTTATTATCCTTTAACTTATGAATTGACATATTTAAATTATAAATTTACTTTTTTAACCTTCTCAAAACATTATAATCTTCTCAAACCTTAATTTAATCTATCAATCTCCAATTTATTATCAATAGTTCAATAGTTTAGATCTATTTGGTTTTACAAACTTGATCTGCTTCACTAATTAGGTTTAACGTGTAATCAAGTCCAAGTGAAAAATTAATTAGTCTAATTATTGATTGCAATCCTAATATGATTAATAATTAATATGGCCGCAATTGTTATTAACACTCTGCTTCCCTTGAATTGTTTTTTTTATTTTCCTTTTTAGTAAAAAATAAAATAATTAACTTTTATAAAACACACTCGTGTTTTATTTATTTATTATTAATTCAAAAGTATTTGTGCGATCATATTTTTAATTATTATTAATTTTTAATAATAAGATAAACATTCACATACTCACATTTTAATGGTGTCCATTAAAATACTTTGAAAAAAGGTTAAAATGGTAAATTCATAATTTAAATAAGTTAATTCATAAGTCAAATGGTAATAAAATACTTTTTCCTTGATTATGGTGTCATTGTTCAATTTACAAAGTTTGGGGGTGTCATTGTCCAAAAAGTGTTTAATTTGTAATCAACAATTTTTAACCCAAACTTGGGGGTGTGAGTGCAATTTATTCAAAATATTTTAAATTTGTTTGAACTTTAATTATTTTGTAAATATATATATATATGTAGATAGAAACGCCTCAAACTTGTCCCGACTCTAATTCAATTTAGAGCGAACAATTTGAAAAAATATTTTTATTTATGGATCGAGTTTGAAAAATAGTACTTCGTCACGAGCCGATTGACATTTCTATCATCTTATTAATCTCTAATTAAGGAAAGTAAGTTTTGACAATATGAAAGCAAGTTTTAATAGTAAAAATTTATTCACTTGGCCAATGTCACCTCTAGTTCATTTTACTTAACATAATTTTATTTGACTGCAAATTATAAGATAACAACACTTGAATAATAAAGTTATATATAATTTTGAAGGAGTGGAGTTGAGCTCTCTCTCTCTTTTATTTTATTGTCAAGAAAGATGCATTTGGGATTGATAATCCATACACATTATCGTGGTTAGAAAAGTACGTTATACCACTTCTCTATAATTATTTTCTGACAAAAAATTCACTCTTCCACTTAAATTAATGCTTTGTTTAGTTGGAGGAATCGAAAAATGGATGGAAGAGAATGGAGGGATGAATGAAGAATCCTAGGAAGGGCAAGTGTCTCTCCCATTTTTGATTTGGTTGAATGGAATGGATAATAGAAATGATAGATATGTTTTTTTTTTTTTTTTTTTTTTTTCGGGGGCAAGAAAGGAAAAAAAAGTTTTTATATATTTTTTTACCAATATACCCTTATATATTTGTAGGTAATTATTCATTTTCTCCTTCCTTCTCCCAAAAATTTGGGGGATAGAAAAACGTGAAAAGATCTCTCCTTGCTTCCTCCATCTTTTTCCTTTCCTCTAACCAAACACGAAGGACTTCATCCATCCCTTCTCAATCCCTCCCTTCAATCAAACATAACAAAAAACAACTCCTAAATAAAGGTGTAACCAAAATTCTCCCTCTCTCAATTAGATTTAAATTTTAGATTTATTTCAAGATTGATAATTTATGCTGTTGAGAGAAGCAAATTTTGATTAATTTTACAACCATTAGAATTGAACCAATAACACGCGTGACAATGATTTTTTAAAACCGAAGTCTCCATAGCACTTTGAGTCAATGCTCCTTTGTCAAAAAAATTAACAAGACTGCAAATACAATAACAAGAAGTCATAAATAATGGCATTACCATGTTTGTACGATTTTAAAGAACAAATTCCTTTCATCATTTGACCTGAACTCTCTCCCACTGTCTCTCCCTCTAATATTATTTTATAGGGTTAATTCAAAGTTGTTTCAATCAAAATTACCTATAATTAGATTTGAACCAATGACACTGGTGACAAGGAAGTTCAAAGTCTGAAAACCACTATTTTAGATCCAATCATTGTTCTCTGGCATAAATTTTTCTAAGATTATAAATTCAAAATAACGACTCTTATTGGAGGTATAATCAAGTTTCATATCATTTCAAAGAAAGAATTTCTTCAGATGCTTGTTTAAGAACTCCGCTGTTGAAAATGTAAGCTGAAAATTTTTAACCTTCCAATTCTGCTTGTTTAAGACAGAACTGCAATATAACAGATACCAAATCTTCCGTATTCTTCATATGGTTTAAGAATTCTTAAGTATAAGCTGAGGAAAAAAAGAAAAAGAAAAAGAAAAAGAAAAAGAAAAAAGAAAAATTCAGCAAGTAAAACTAGGGACGACCAAAAGTAAAAAATAAATTTATTGAAAACTCGGAAATATCAAGTTTTCTCTTCCAACATTTCCTAGTCTTTTTATGGTGAAATGAACAAGAGGGTAGATAGACAAAGACCAAAGGACCTTACATTGATGGCTATGGTGAAGATCTACAAATGAACTCATATATGCCCAAATTTCTCGTTTACAAACCTTAATTGAAACATCGCCAAGGCAAGGGCTGAGAAAAGGAAACAAATAAACAAACAAACCGAACTTTGTCTTAGACAGCAACCACTACGACTTCATCAAGAGCTAGAACACCAGGGAGCTGTTTCCCTTCCAACAACTCCAAACTGGCACCACCACCTGTTGATATGTGACTCATCACTTCAGCAACTCCTACTTTTTCTACAGCTGCAACAGAATCTCCACCTCCAATGATTGTTGTAACTCCCTTCCCACTAAGTTCAGCTAACTTTTTCGCAATTGCCTGCAGGCACAATTACCACTTCAATTTACCATCTCTTAATTCAGAGACAAATTTAGATATTGTAAAGGCCAAATAAATCAGGTGACATTCCTATTTTAACCTTTTTATGACGGGTTTAGTCGTATCAATCAGTATGAGTCGGGTTGGACTGGTATCAATCCCCCAATTACTGACCGAAGAAGGGATAGCACAAAGAAAAGAAATAGGCACTAAAAACAAGTACATGTTGGAGAATCATTAACCAACTCCTTATCGAATTCATTCTATGTGGCTAGAGCGATAGGGCTAAAAGAGGCTGTCTGTACAAAGGATGACGGCTCAAGACTCACATACACATAGAACGGTCAAATAAAGTGGAAAGTGCCCAAATCTGCTGCAAGAATCATCATAAAAAGAAAAAAAGCAGTCAAAGGAATGGCGTTATTAGCCAACGTCCTGGTTGATCACCCTTTTTGTCGGTTTATGACACCCAGTCAGTGTACATTTGAGTATGTTTGTATGACGACCAAATTTCCAATGTCGAACAAAGTCTCAGTCTCTCCCAAAGTTCCTTATTGACGTATGCCTTCGGTAACAAAGGTAGCTTCTTTCAGTCCATACAAGCAATGGAGATTTACCATGACCGTTCATAAAACTTTATCCAATACGACTCATTTTTGGTACAAGAAAACAAAAATGTGTGAAGAGCGAGTCACTCTGTTACTTCCAGTCTAGAGTTTATTAGGTTAGGCTGGTACAGAGATAATTGGACAAAGATCTGGGTAGTGCATATAGATCAATTGCATTGATCTATGAGGATATGTATGAAGTTGGCACTAAATCATCCCAAACTCAATCCAGTTGCGATAAGAAAAACCTCATCACATTTAACATGATATGCATTTGTAGAAAGCGGAAATGAAAATATGATGTCTGCGTATCCATGAACAAATTAAACAAACGCCATGGGCAATTTTTTTTGCGCACCTCTGTTCCAGCTGCAAACTTGTCAAACTCAAACACTCCCATTGGTCCATTCCAGATAACAGTTTTGGTAGTATCTAAAGCATCATTGAATGTCTTTATAGATTCAGGTCCAATATCCAAGCCCATCCAGCCGTCCGGAATGGCAGATGCTGGCACAATCTGTAATAACCAAAATAAATATAACATTATCTTGCTAGCTTAGTAAAAGAAACTCATACAGGTTAAAAGCAAAATGATAGTCCACATTGGTTTCTATTGAACAAATTTAGTCTTCCATGCCAGAGCATTTCTGGTACTCGAACATCAAGAGTAAAAGGGGTCAAATAATGAAGAATTTCGTGGGAAGCCAAGTAACAAACCTTGCTGTTTGCATCAGGAGCAAACTTGTCAGCAATAACTACATCAGTGGGTAACAAAAGAGATACTCCTTTGGCCTTGGCCTTCTCAAGGAGTGTTGTTGCAAGATCAAGCTTGTCTTCCTCTACCAGGGACGATCCTACAGAAAGACCTTGTGCCTTGTAAAATGTAAAGATCATTCCTCCACCAAGAAGCAGGATATCACACTTTTCGAGAAGCGACTCAATCACTCCAATCTTAGATGAGACCTTTGAACCGCCCACAATAGCAGCAAATGGCCTCTTTGGGCTTGAAACTGCTCCAACAAGGTAGTCCAGTTCCTAATATAAGAGAAGACAATTTGTGGTGAATAGATAGATAAATAAACATAATACAGAAAGGATGGAGACGTTCATCCATGAAAACTCTATATAATAAAAATATGATCCCTCCCACCACAATTACATGGAGGGTGCAGGCAAATGGTTTCTCATCTACCACTTTAACTCAAAATTTGCTCCATTGTTTCCATGGTGACAATTCAAGCCTAGGAATTTTTTCTGGTCAGAAAATCATCATAAGAAGCAAGATTACAAAAACACGTCAAGCGGGGTGGGGGGGAGGTGGGGAATGATAATTTTAATTTTTCTCTGAAATTGTAGGTCCATGTGCTCAAACTTTTTAACCTATAGACTGGTGGGGCCCTTTTTCCTTGTAGGCAATACTGTCCGGGTTTGAAAAAATAAAATTTTGATCGAATTACAAATGAAAAAACAATTTTACGAATGCTTATCAAAACTTTATCATTTAACTTAGGCTTCTGCAATCATGGTCACTGGTGCACACCAAGGACAAGGAGAAAAGTCAGTTATCCAACCTTCTGCAAAAGGAAACCAGCAACAGATGGCTTCAAAAATTTTGTAACACCCTCAGTTGAGGCGTGGGCTCTATGTGCAGTACCAAATGCATCATTCACATAAAGATCTGCCAACGAAGCAAGCTTCTTTGCAAACTCAGGTTCATTTTTTTCTTCCTCCTTGTAAAACCTCACATTCTCAAGAAGAAGAACACCACCATCAGGAAGTGAAGCCACGAGTTTTTCAACTTCTGGACCGATGCAGTCATCAGCCTTCACAACCTGTTTCACCCCATATTAAGTGTAAAGTGAGAAAACCCCACATTTATGTTACTACATCTATCACTTTTGGTAAACACAAAATCAGCTAAATTTCTCTTTGTTTGTTCATTACTTATTTTTATTTACTTCTGATTCTGAGAAAATGTACCTGAATGCCAAGTAATTCAGATAATCTGGGCACAAGGGGTGCCAAGCTGAATTTTGGTGTAACACCTTTTGGTCGTCCCTAAAAATTCAATGAACAAAATAATTCAGCTTGAACTGTCAAAATCTATATGAAATAAACACTTTTTATATAGCAGCAAAAAAGAAAGCTACATATAACCAAGTTCATGCAGTTGGATAAGCCACGTAATATTATAACCACAAAGGTAGTACCGTGCATAACATGTTTATATTTGCAGAAGATATGATAGACAAATACCCTAAATACAGCCTAATTTCCCAAATATTGGTATTTGAAAAAATGTGTGAAAGGGAAAAACAAACAAGAACAAAAAGGCACTTTTCTCATCCATAAAAATCATACAAACCCAAATTTCAATCATTGGAAAAGGCAATAATAGTGTTATGGTAGACTTATCAAAAAAATAATAATAGTGTTATGGTGGGAATTATTTGGAACCCTTTAATTAGTTGCATTAGTAAAAGTATAAAGAAAGAGAGTAGAATATGCAAAAATTTACAATGATGAGTGAAACTTACGAGTTTCTGTGACTCCATTACATCAGTTAGAAACCAATTTTTCAATCATGATAAATACTACTGTATCAGTACTCAAAGAACACAAACTCACAATTGATCTTGTTTCTTAAATAGACTACATTCACATAACATGGCATGAAATACGAAAATGATCAAACTTGTAGAAATAGAAGCTTGGTAATTATTCATAATAAGATCAACATAAGAATTCACAAATGAAACCGTTTGATTCCTACACCCACTTACCAAGTGACTGGAGAGAATGACTTTAGCCCCATTTGAGATCAAGTGCTTGATGGTGGGCACAGCAGCTCGAATTCTGGTATCGTCAGTGATTTTCTGGGTATCATCCAAAGGGACATTCAAATCAGCCCTAACGAAGACCTTCTTGCCCTTCAATTCCGCCGCCGTGAGGTCTCCGACGCTCTTCTTGGCCATCGACGCCACCCCTCTGGAGGATTTTCCGCTCGCTTTGAGGGACCTGAGTCTGGCAGCTACGTGGAGGCTGAGAAGAGGGTCGACGGCGGCGCCGGCGAAGCCCAGACGGCGTAGAGGGTTGCGAAGAAAGCGGGTGGTGGGGACATTGAGAGTTGAACGGTTTTGGGTGGTGGAAGAAGTGGAGGGAATGATTTTGGGAGAGAGGGAAGTAGCTGATGTCGCAGTAGCCATTGCTAAATTTTTTCTAATTGCTATGGAGAGAGAATTTTAGAGAGAGAAAGGAAGAGTGTGAGAAGTAACAGAGAAGGTGAGTGAGGGGCGGAGAAGTTTATGTGGACGTGAAGAGCGAGAGGGGATGGATCATGGAGTGATTGGATATATCTCTTATCGTGGAGGAGAGGTTGAAGATGTTCGATGATTTTCTGGTTTTTTTCTTTTTCTTTTAATTTTAATTTTAATTTTCTGGTTTTCGGTTTTATTTTGTTTTTTTATTTCTTTCTGAATTTTATACGCCAAAAATAATTTATTTAAAGAGAAATTGGACTGAGGCCACACGAAAATGTTCCTAGGATTCAATCTTTTATTAAAAAAAAACAAAAAAACAAAAAAATAATTGGCGATGGTTGTTGATTGACAACTCCTAAAGTGCATATGAATGGACACCTCCTCAAGACTATGTGTGCAGTGTGGAGTAATTTCATCAACACCTCTCGTAATGTTTGCCAAGAGTGGGGTGAGAAATACAATTTGCCAATAGCGATGAGAAATACAATTAACTCAAATTGGAACTCATTTTAGAAGAAGAAAAGTTTTCTTCTTTATTTAAAATCAAAAATTTGTTGTACATATTATTGTAATATTAAGAATTTAGGACTCCCAAGAGTTCAAAACAAAAAAAGACAAAAGAAAAAAAAGAAAAAAATAGTATCCAATTACGTTTAGAATAGTGAGTTGATCCTTAATTTCCAGAATTTAAGTATGATTTTAAGCTGATTTATTTATTTTAAGTAGGCTTAAAAAACTTTCAATCCATTTGACTACACTCTTCAAGTTTTAAAATTTTCATTTATAAAGAGAGGTACTATTTGTTTATTATTTAAATTAATATTATAAAAAAGACTAATGATTAATTGAAATGAAACATACCAAAATTATATTATGTAGATAAATAAATAACTTGTAAAAAAAAAAATTATAATAACGAAGTTCTTGATAAATAAATGGAATAATTATATCTACCTCGATTGTCTAAATAATATGTATTTTTCATTTAATTTCAAATATAACACTAATTGATTTAGGTATGAGTAAATATAGCACTTTTGTTTGAAATGGTTATTTTGTCTATATGTTTAATTAATAAAAGTACAAGGAATGTAATTGTCATATAATACAATTGAGGCAAATCCGTGTTATATTTTAAACTATATGAGAGGTAAATATAATTATTCCTAAATACTCCGTAAATTGTTAGCGTGAATTTAATGTCATGGGCTCCATTCTGGACATCTGGGCTTAACTGCTGGGCTGATAATGGTTTGGCCCATATGCAGCCCGAATTCATCACAAAACATTTCCCATTTAATGCTTCTTTTCTACCCCGCCCTCTCCAATGGCGATGGCACTCTGTTTTTCGCCTTCGCACACCACAATTTTCCCTCAAATTTTATCATCCAATAGAAGTGGTCGCCAATCTAACTTTGCTCCCTTACGGACACAACCTTTTCCAAAACACCCACTTGGAGACACCAATCCCTTTAGCCCGAAAGTACAACGACACATAACAACCAGAGCTCTGAGAGAGTGGCAAGATTACGAGGACGCAGTGAAGGACAAGGACCTCGCTCGAGCTCTTCGGTTCTTGCAAGATGTCGAACCAGAGGATTCTTCAATTGGGCCATCTGGGTCTCTGGGTGGTGGTGGTGGTGGTGGTGGTGAATTGGAATTGTTTAGGTTGAAGAGGGATTGGGAAGTTTTAGATACTTGCTTGAATGCTGATGATATGAGGCTTGTTGGGAGTGCCTACACGTTTCTCAAAGACAGAGGGTTTTTGCCCAATTTTGGGAAATGCCGGAGTATTGGTAATCTCTTGTCATATTCTTGGGGTGAAATTTATTTAATTTGCTGCAAATTTATTCAATCTCTTTTTCTTTTTTTTTTTCCCAATCAATTGTGAATACTTAGGAGAGTAGTGCAATAAATTTGTAGTTGAGAACTTCTTTATTTTGTTCCTTTTTGGCAACTTTTTTAGTACCAGTTGAAACAATTATTTCATCAAGTGAGCAGGGCACCCAACCAATACACACATGTATGAAATATTATTTTATATATGGGATTTAGTTCAGGATGATTTTTTAGCCATTCCTAAGTAGTTGATATCACAATTTTTTTTTTTTTGAGATGGGAAGGATATCAAAAATATTATGATTGTAATTTATTTTGTATTATCATTGTAGTGGTATGGTCATACTTGTATATAACAGGAGCAAGAGCAAGAGAGCTGCAATTTTAAAATTCCTTTAGGGAAAAAATATATTTCTAGGTGTTTGTGTAAGATATTTTAATTTTGTTATTTTTATTACTTATAGACTAGTGCAAGAATTTACAACAGCATGATGCTGTCTCTGCGGCTTGCTACTTTGTAAGTTCTAAAATGAGGTAACACTAACAAAAGGATAACTAGGAACACAACCGAGCAATAACATTTTGTGATCTAACAATTATCAATTATCAATCCATGGGTTTCCCGTGGATATAAGTTGAAAGCACCAATCAATGGAGCAGCCCCTTGTTACAAGAATTAGGTCATAGGTCATAAATTTATTGTTAATATCATCATATTTAATTGTTACTGTCACAGTTGTCAAAAAGTATTATTGTTACTGTCATTGAATTTCCTAGTGCTTTCCCTATCAGACAGACTCAGTTTCTCACCACTTTTGGTTTCTATATATGATTTTTAACTCAGTTTCTCACCACTTTTGGTTTCTATATATGATTTTTAAAAGTTTGCTTTTCATAAACGCGTATTTATGTCAAGCTCATATTAATGTAAGTAAATTGTATTTATAATTTTTAGCTACTGTGAGTGAGTTTGCATGTCGTTTTTCCATTATGGCATTCTATAATGTTCTTGTTGAAGCATGCCGATTTTCAATGTCAATTGTACAACATGTCACATTTCCTTTCCATGAATTTTCTACTTTTGCAGTTCTTGAGGGACCAAGAGATGTTACACCATCTGTTTTGAAGTCTTCAACTGGTTTGGAAGGTGTGGTATCTTTGGCAAAGTTATTCCAATGCTCTAAAGTAATGGAACTTATCCTTTGTTTGAGAGCATTAGTTGTCATGTGTTATAATATTTCCTGTTGAAATGAAGTAATTTCTAATACTGTTTCAATTCTATTATGTTTCAAGTTAATATCATTTCTATTTAAAACTATATTTTGATTGAGTTATCATTTGGATTTTCTTTTTTCCTAATCCAGTGTCTAAACTTTCGCCAAAGAAATGGGGTCTCTCTGGAAGTTCTAGTGTTCTTTTAATTGCTTTACTTGGCGGGGTATCCTTTCTGCTAAATCAAGGAATAGATATCAGACCTAACCTTGCAGCCATATTAGGATTAGGCATGATGGACTCTATCTTCCTTGGCGGTACTTGTTTAGCTCAAATCTCAAGTTATTGGCCTCCATATAGACGTCGAATCCTAGTTCATGAAGCAGGGCATCTCCTTGCAGGTAAGTCATGTTTCTCTCAGATGCAAATTTTATAGTTGGAGGACTTTGATTAGATTATGATCCTTTGTTTTTTAAAACCTTAATCTTTATTCTGTAAGTGTGAAAGAGTGTAAAAGCTACAGACTACACAGCTATTTTTAGTTTTCTACATTTTAAGCATTGATGACAAACTTGGGGCTTGCTTAGTTTGTAACTCTAAAAACAATTCTCAAAAATTTAGGGAACTGAAAATTGTTCTCAGAGGACAATCTTTTATTGTACTCTGAAAACAAACATTTTTATTTTTCTTAAAACTGAACCAAGCAGAGATTTTTGTATTGTTTTTTGTTTTTAGTTTTCTGATAATAGAAAACTGTTTTCATATTTACAAACCAAGTAGGCCCTTGATAACTCTTACTCTGACCTTTGCTAATAATTGATTTTCCTATGTGAGTTTGCAGCATACCTGATGGGCTGTCCAATTCGTGGGGTAATTTTAGACCCGATCATTGCGATGCAAATGGGCATTCAAGGGCAGGTATTCTTGATCTTTTTTGGGTCTATTGTATGATGCCATATTCTCACTTTCAACCTAGGCCATTGTGGCATTTAAGTTGTTCCCCATGTTTCATAAACCTATCTTTACGTTTGTCTAGTGTGGAGATGTTATTAAGCATTGGATTTATCAAATCCCAAAACCCAAGAATACGGGGATATAGCTAGTTTTTTCTTATTTTTTTATATTTTCTATTCAGAGTGAAATTTATATTTTTATACAGCATAGTGTGTCCAACATAGGCACTTCACTTGTTTGAAGCATTATTGTAATAGAATGAACCAAGTGAGAGAGTTTTATGTACAGTTATATAATAAACTTGGACTGTTGGACGTACTTGTTAAGTGCATGGCTAACTAGAAGTCTGCTGTCGCAGGTCCAACACATATACTTCACCTATATAGCATACATGTTTAGTCTTTTTCCCCTAGATGGTAGGTTTTCCACTATTAGCGATGCGTGCTTATGTAAATTCTCTCTCTCTCTCTCGCAACCCTAAATGGATTAATCACCTATTAAATGGAACTTAAGAACTCATAGCCACCTAACATACCTAAATGTAATAAATTCATTTGTTTGTTGTTTTATTTTTCACTGTGGCCCTCATATGAGATGCTTTATCTATGCGTCATAAATAATCATAATCATTTTTATCAAAGAATAAGTAAATAGTCTTAAATGACTATAACAAGATATACTTTCTTCTTTCTACCCACCTGCAGAAGGATGCAGTTCCTATAGATTGTTCTTCTTTTATCTACTGTTTGAGCTCAGTTAATTACCGCTAAGATAGTGGCCAAATTTTAGAATTTGTTTCTTCTGTGTTTTTTAGCTACCATAACAAAATTCATTTTATGCCTTAATTCCAAAGCCATTTGCCAAATCAGTAGTGGAACTTAACCAAAGCTGTTAGTTTCTATAAAACAAGGAATGCTGATTTTTCTCATCCAAACAATCAATATTTATCTACTTGGTTCTCACGTTCTGAAGTCAACTAAATTTTGCTTCACTTTGTTTTACTATTATCGGTGGCAGCATTACTTCCAACTCGCATCATTTTTCTTGCAGGCAGGAACACAATTTTGGGATGAGAAACTGCAAAAAGAGCTTGCTGAAGGCCGGTTGAGCAGTACTGCATTTGACAGGTGGGCATTCAGGCCTGCGTTTTGCTTTTCTTACAGTGGTGCTTTGCTACTTAGTTTACTAAATATCTTCTTAAGGAAAAGGTATTTGCTGTGGGATCTGTTACTGTTTTTGGGCATGTGGATCAGCATAAAACCTTTTTTTAACATTTATTTTATTTTATTTTAACAGCATAAATCCTGTTAAGATACATATCTCAAATATCTAAAAGAATAGGAAGGACATATTATATGATACCCCAGGTACCATAAATGTAGGCAATTAGATGGCAAATGAACTAAAGTCCTCCATTTAGTCAAATATATGTTTAATGTCCCAAAACCAACTTGATCAAGGAGTGGGACTGTTTTGCAACTTCAAAAGAAGCTTCTTTATTTTATAATCAGTTATGCTCTGCGCTATTAATAATGGTCAGGTACTGCATGGTGCTTTTTGCTGGGATTGCGGCTGAAGCACTTGTCTATGGAGAGGCTGAGGGTGGAGAAAATGATGAAAATCTGTTCAGGAGTATCTGTGTTCTTCTCGAACCACCACTGTCTGTCGCACAGGTCACTTTAGTCTCTCTCTGATCAATGTTCTTTGTTTATGAACGTAGCTTAAAAGATTCTGACCTTCGTCCTTTTCCCATTATTTAAATAGATGTCAAATCGAGCAAGATGGTCAGTTTTGCAGTCTTATAATCTTCTCAAATGGCATAAAGATGCCCATCGAGCTGCTGTCAAAGCTCTGGAAAGGGGAGGTAGTCTAAGTGTAGTCATCAGGAGAATTGAGGAGACCATGACCAGATGAACTGTCTTAAGTGTAAAATTCGAGATTTTTCCTGGGTTGCTGACTGAGGAATTGATATGAATGCAGCTAATACATAGGCTTCCAACTTTAGCAGAATAGAATGGAACAACAGACATACGAAAGACGACCAGAGTATAAATGCTGTGGGATGGGCATCAATCAGTATGCTGCGCGTAATCTGATTCTGATCTCTTATTACCTTGAAAAAATGCCTTGTATGTACATTTGATAGAGAAATATCATACAGTGGGGAATTCATCCATAGAGGATGCAGGGCCTCGAGTTCTTTCTTGCCTCGGTGAATTACTCTGGATTGTGTAGCAATGGAACCTCGGACACAACACCTTCCGGGAGCCTAGGACACCGAAAGGCAACGAGTGATTGTCAAGTGAAAGAAAGAAGAGAGAGTTTTAGGAAAAGCTTCTTCCTCTCTAAACCGTTTGCAGTGCATGGCTTTTTAAGTTTTTAATTTTTCTCGTAAATATGCATTTGATTATTCGTCCAGGGAAGTAATATACAACAATTGTCACCTTCATAAAATGTATTGTGTTGGCTTTGAAATATGTATGATTTTCAACATATTCCGAAGAGTCTATATTGGGTTTTCTTATATGGTTGGGTCTACTTTTGATTATGAGCCTTGTTAGGACCCGTTTGACAACTACAGTTGCTTTATGCTTTTATTTTGACCCGAAATATAAACAATGTTTCCGGATTAGTATTTTGAATTTGCTTCAACAAGACAAATCCGATGATGACTTTTATAATGAAAAATAAGATTGAAAGTGTAACATTAATGATAACAAAATGAATCAATTTCTTTACTTTCTGTATGTTTAGTACCCATCATAGGCTATGGACTGACTGTTATACCATTATCAATAACTAAAATATATGTGTTTTTTATTTCTCCCCTGAATAAAATGCATATAGTTTTAAAGGACCTAGGCATTCAATAAAAGGCATAGATCGCAATGTATCACAAATGGATACACATTCAGCCAAATAATTTTACTGTTGGACAAGCTGACAATTAAATCTCTTTATAGATGGATGTTGAATGGTCTAAAGCATCCAACACTCGGGAGTTTTTCATTCCAAAAGAAAAGATAAAAAAAATTTAAAAGGTAAAGAAGAAGTAAAATTAAAAAGAAAATAAAAGAATTTAGAATTTATAGACATTATTTTTAATAAAAAAACTACTTGTAGCAGTAAAATTATATTTTAAATTACTCTGACCAGAGCAAAAGTATACAATAGTATTTCTTAAATCTAGTCACTCAGTCTTTGTTGAGTGTCAAAATTATTAGGTAAATGTTAATTTTTATGTAGCCTTTCTATTTTAACTAACGAATGAAAAATGTATTAAATAATTTTTTTATTATATATTTTAAATAAATTATTTAAATTTAGTAATTAAATATGGAGAACTCTGAGGATGGAGATAGAATTAATCTGCTATTTATTAAAAAAATTAATTTGAAAATAATTTGTGCTATATAGCACCAAGTAAAAGTTGTGTGTCACACTAGTCTTTCTCTACGTATGCTCGATTATGAGTGGGACCGTGGGATCATTATACTGGGACACAGGACAAGTTTAGAGAGGAGGTAACATTTCTCTCTAGGGTTTATTAGTGGTTTTTTTTGGTTGAATTAGGGTTTATTAGTGGTTTTTTTTGGTTGAATTAGGGTTTATTAGCTACTTCTCTCAATTTCAAGGAATACTAACAAAAGTCTTTCAAAATTCCGGTTGAAGTATGGATGAGGAAACCCCAGTGGATGAAAATTTCCCTTTATTTTCCCACCGGAAAATCACACCCACAGTAGCAAAACCCTCCTCCACAACCCCCGCACTCGCACCACCCACCACCACCCAGAACCCTAGTTCTCCAGGACTCCAGAAAGAATCAAACCATAACCCCAATAGCCAAGTCGTCTCTTTCTCCGAACTCGGCCTTGCCCAATGGGCAGTCCAAACCTGCAAAGAACTTGGAATGAACAAACCAACTCCGGTCCAACACCACTGCATTCCCCGAATCCTCGCCGGCGAGGACGTGTTGGGGTTAGCTCAGACCGGCAGCGGCAAAACGGCGGCGTTTGCTCTGCCTATACTCCACCGCCTCGCAGAGGACCCATATGGGGTGTTTGCGCTGGTGGTGACGCCAACCCGAGAGCTGGCATACCAGCTGGCCGAGCAGTTTCGGGCTCTTGGATCGTGCTTGAATTTGAGGTGCGCGGTTGTGGTTGGTGGGATGGATATGATTACCCAGGCTCAGACCCTGATGAAACGCCCTCATGTGGTTATCGCAACTCCGGGGAGGATCAAGGTTCTCATTGAACAGAATTCTCCTGATATTCCTGCTATCTTCTCAAAAACAAAGGTATTATATCAATAAGTGTGTCTAAGGGGCATGTTTGTTTTTATTTTGTTTGACCATTGTAATTTCTATGTTAACTTTCTGCAAGCGAATCATGTTTAGAGTGCATTGTCGAGGATTTTTCGGGTCTTTCAAAATTTTCTAAATTCAGGATTCATTTTGGATAATTATTAGATTTTAAATAATTAATTTTTTGGGCGAGAAAACAGAGTGCTTGTTTAAAGAATCTAGAAGGATGTGTTGCCATTTCACAACTGTTTGGAATGATTTTAGAAGTTCATAAATGAATCAGGAATTAATCATAATATCTTTGATACAGTGGAATGATGAGGAAATAGCTATAAGATTTACAGTATGAATGATGATTATCTGTTTGAATTTGACAGGAATGTTAATTTGGAAAAGATTTGGGAGTAATTGAGAAATTCAGTAACAACCAGTCGAATATAGCCGTTGTTGGAATTCACTAGTTGAAGAAGTTGACATGATCAAATACCTCTTTGCATATAAAATGACTTTTTTATTTCATCCCACTTCATGGAACTTCCCTCCTCTATCAAAGTTTCTTTGTACATGAAAGAGTTTTCACTATGATTTATAATCGGCAACACATTGCTCGGTGCAATGTCGTCATCATACAAATTTCTATCTAATGTAGTTCCATTTTTTTGGTTAATGATGTTTTCTGAATTTTGTTTTTTACTTTTCAAAAATAAGCACAAAAAGTATGACTATTCTTTGCGTGGCATTGTACTTTTTTTTTTTCCTAGTTGATACCCCAACCCCCTCCCCCTCCCCCTCCCCCAAGGAATTGTTTGCACCCAAGAGGATTTGAACCATATAATCAATGCTTCCTGAGGCACCGAGGCCAAGTTCTTACCCACTTGACCCATCCCCTTGGGTTTGTGCATGGCATTGTACTTCTTCCTTGATAATTAGTTTAGACTTAATATATTGGGCTGTTCTTTTGATTTGAATACCTTATGCTATTAAAGTCAAATGTTATTGTTAATTGTTGGAATTGAAGCTTTAATTACTATGTTGCCATATGTTATGTTGTGGTGGGTTAATTTTTAACCAAGGTCCCACTGCTGTTTGCCACCTATGTTTGTTATATTGTGCTCTATTACTTACTAGTTCTCATTGTAGACCACTGAGATGTTTCCTTCAGTTCATGAACTGTCATATGCGTTTCTTCCTTTTATTTTGTTTCAGTTCCTAGTCTTGGATGAAGCAGATAGGGTTTTGGATGTGGGCTTTGAAGAAGAACTGAGAGTAGTTTTCCAATGCCTGCCAAAAAATCGGCAAACTTTATTATTCTCTGCAACAATGACAAAAGACCTACAAACATTACTTGAGCTGTCTGCAAATAAAGCATACTTCTATGAAGCATATGTAGGTTTCAAGACAGTTGAGTCTCTTAGACAGCAGTATGTTTTAGTCCCAAAAATGGTGAAGGATGTTTATCTGCTACACATTTTGTCCAGAATGGAAGACATGGGTATTCGATCTGCCATCATTTTTGTTTCCACCTGCAGGTGCAGTTTTATTCAAGTCTCTATCTTGTCTCCCCATGTTAAAATTCTATCACATATGCGTCCTTCAAATTCATTTGGTCGTCTGTAATTTGAAAACATTGTAGAAACATTAGTTATTTATCACTGATTTTCTATCCACCTTGATGTATTTTCATTGAAAGAGTCAACACCTAGTACATAATATTACAATATTATGCCAAATTGATTCTCGATTTATCATGATGCTCATGTGAGGATTACATATCATATGGAGCATCTAGAAACTATCACTCGGGCTTGCATAACAATAGGATGAAAAACAAGGGATTTCTTGGCTCAAAACAACTGAAATTAAGAAGGAAAAAAAAAATGTGATCATCCCACATCAATTGTATGTATCCTTTTGGCTCTACAATCATTTAGTTGACTAATATTGACTGCATGTGTCTTTCTTTAAACACATGGTTAGATCCATTGGCTGCTGCATTGTAATAAGACTTGCGTTTTATGTGGGAAGTAATTGTATTTCAGAAAATTGCTTAACTTATGAATCTGAAATTATGTTATATTTAAGTAGATGTTTATGTGTTTGAGCAGTAATTGTCATCTCCTAAGCTTATTACTGGAAGAGCTTGATCTGGAAGCAGCAGCATTACATTCATTTAAATCCCAGTCTCTGAGGCTTGCTGCACTACATAGATTCAAATCCGGACAGGTTCCTATATTGATTGCAACTGATGTTGCCAGTCGTGGTTTGGATATTCCTACTGTTGATATTGTTATCAACTATGATATTCCGAGGTTATACTTCTTAACAATCTTTATAAACCTGAAGATTCTGAATGTTTTTGAGCCTTACATTTCTTTTCAATTTTCTGTCAAATGTAATTGCTGAACCACGGCAGGTACCCAAGGGACTATGTCCATCGTGTTGGTCGTACTGCTAGAGCAGGCAGAGGGGGGCTGGCTTTGAGCATTGTTACAGAGGTAAGAACTGAGAAGTAGAAACATGCTTTTTTGTAAGTTTCAACCTGTTTATGCTTTTGGAATGTCATTTGGTAATAACTCAATCAAGAAAAGGTTCTTCTGTAGAAATTAATCTTACAAGGGGAGATTTGTCCCACATTGGATCCGGATGGCAGAGTGATTGGGTATATATGGGTTGGGTGTTAGCCTCACCCGTTACAGCTGGTATCAGAGTCAGACCTAGTCCTTGATTTGGTGCCACGCAAAGTGCCCAGCCCGGAAGGCGTCTGGGTATGCCATCCGGGTAGGCAAGGTGATCGATCGCAATGAGGGCGTTGTGAGTTCAGGTGGAGGAGAATGTTACATAGGGAGATTTGTCCCACGTTGGATCCGGATGGGAGAGTGATTGGGTATATATGGGTTGGATGTTTGCCCCACTTAATAACTTAAGCTTTTGAGTATATTAGATTCTGTCAATATTTCCTTTTTTTGTATAAAAAAATGAGAATATTATTAAAATATGAAAAGAGAGAATTTATCAGAAGAGTAAAGTATCCTTATTGGAGATACAAAGAATAACCACCCCCCACCACACACAAACCACCACCCAAAAAAAAAAAAAAAATAAGGCAACCCGGGAGGATCTAGCATGTGTGTGCATAAGCTCTCGAGAAACAACTGAAAACGTTCCATGAGAATGTCAAGTCGCAATGATTTTCTTCATTTATGTGAGAGTAGCGAGTATGCATCTAATCTCATGACATCTTTACCTTGTGAAGTGGTTTCCATGTTTCTTTAGTCAGCAAAAAGAAAATGATCAGACCTGGATATTTTTCCATTCTGTTTAACCTCTGAAACCGTACTACTTGAAGTTAAAGCTTATTACATCTGCGACTGGCTAACAATTGGAGTTTCCTTGATTCAATAATCAGGCAATGCATTTCATCATCCAAAATTTGAGAACTTGGACTCTAAAAGACTAAACCTATTGGGTGTCATCCCTTAGGTCAACTGCATCTGAGGCTATTTTAGATCTTCTTCCATATTGCATGACATATTTTTTCGACCACTGTAATGCTTCATCTGTTTGACGTTGAATTTTTCCTGAGCTTTAATTGTGACAGCTACCGATACATTGCAGGCATCACAAATTTGGTATCTTCATCTTCCTTTTCTATAATTTCCATCCACAGAAATATTGTATTTATGAAAGGATGGGCTAGTACTGCTTCTCCTGAAATTTCCTTCCATCCTTGCTAGATGGCACTGAATGTCTTCCCTGCACCTTCATATCTTCTTGCTTCAATAAAGGCAGTGTGATATTCTGGCAAGGATACTACTCAGTAGATTGTAGAGGCTTGTAAAAATAAAATAAAGTAAAATAAAAATGGAAACAAGAGCTAGGGCAGAGGCAAGACACGATAACAGCTATTGTAGAGTCACCAGAGAATCTGTTGATGATATAAGTAGCATTTTCTCTATCGAAGCTTATGTATTTAGAGCATCTGTTCTTAACAGATTCCATGTCAGCTTCAATTTCACGTGTATATGAGATCTGGAAATATAACTTACATAATTTGAAAGTGTAACAAGGGAGTTCATTTGGGGGTTAAGTCACATCTAGTTGGTCTTTTTCTTGACTCTCAAGTCTCTGCAACAGCGAAAATCTACCTTTTTTCCATCAATAATGGGTGTTTGGAACAGCCTAATGCACACTTTAGGATGACTAGGTTCATGGATTGGGCAGATTTCACTCCAAATATTCGAGCCCTAGGAAGAGAGTAAATCTGCCGCTCATTATCATTATCTTACATTATATTGTTTGTTGTCATATGTTTTATCCCATGAAACTGACTGTTTAAGGCATATCTGGGCTGCTGCTTCATATAAATATTCCACAACAATCGAGGAATTAGGTTTAACTGGAACTCTTTCATCTCAAATTGTTGTGTAGCATCACAAGAATCTCTTTTTTTACCTCTTGCACATTTTAGTGATCCTTCTTCTATTTGGTGTGCATGTAGTGGGTGTATGCTAGTAAAGCAGAATGTTTAGTATGTTTTTATGACATTCATTTTATATTCCAAATAAATGGAGCAATTCCTAGGAATTTGAACTCTATAATTCTTTGTTTCACTTATTTTACTTGCTTTTGGGACTTGCTTTGCAGAATGATGAAGATCTTGTTAAAGCAATAGAAGCTGATCTTGGGAAACAATTGGACCAATTTGACTGTAAAAAGAAAGAGGTAGAGGTGCCTACTGATGTCACAAAGGTGAGATATTCTTGGGATACTAACTTATCAAAAATATTAACTCTGGTTGGGATACTTGATCATGTCAACAATGAATTACTGGATGATATATAGTCATTGTTGGTTGCTAGTTTTTATACTCCATCTCCAGAGCCATTCATCACCTTAGATGTAATTATATTTTTTAAAGGAAGGCAGATGTTTTATCTGCATATTTCAGTTATTGTCCATCGGTCTCTTGTATTAGATGGCTGAAGAAATGTTAGGAATGTTATTTTCATCGAGTGTTCAATTCTCTGCCAATTCCACAAGTGGTGAAACATTTATGTTGTTTAAGAAAATGAAAAATATAATTTTTCTTTCTAAGTCCTCAAGTGGTGAAACACTTCTGTTTAAGAAAGTGAAAAATATAATGGTGCTGATTGAAAAACTAGTGCCGATGATTAACTACGGACTCTTACATGCATATTGACTGTCATAAATTTATGAATCTTATATATTTGCTTGATGAGATACTTTTTAGTCCCTATTTGAGTAATAAATAGATCCAGTGTTTAGGTATCAGCCCCACTAAACAGGAACGGGTGTTTGGTAATCAAGTAATGGTGATGGAATTTTTAATACAGCGATCCCTAATCCTAAATTTGTCAGATAACTATGTTTTCATTTCTTTTCTAAATTTGTGACTTTTACCTTACGCCCAATTTTTAGATTATTGTTGGTGCCATATAGTTTTTGAATCCCAAATGTCACCACACCTCAATCAAATATTTGAATTCCCCGTTTTAGAGTTTCTATTCTAGACTCTAGTAGTATATGTGGAACTTTAGGTGAGGGGTGAAAGAGTAGTTATACTTCTTTATTGATTAATGGAGCAACATATAATATGTCAGATATACTTCTTTATCATCAGGTATGTTTGTGAAAGACAATATTATCTACAGGTGTGTTTGTGTATGGGTTTTGTTAGCTGGTTGTCAGCATTTAACATGTTAAGATCCTCTCTCTAAGTTTGTACTATGCTCCACCCAAATTTGCAGGTTTTCAAGGCCAGACGTGTGGCAGAAATGAAGAAGAAAGATGGTGGCTTTGAGGAGAAAGTGAAGGCGCGGAAAGAACAGAAACTGAAGACATTATCAGAGAAAGGACTACTGAAGAAAAGGAGTAGAAAGAGAAAAAGGAAAACATAGTGAATGGTGGGACGTTGAAGTCTCTCTCTCCCTCTGCCCCTCTCTCTCTCCAGATGGGAATCAACCCTGTACTGGCGGTATCAGAGGTAGGGGATTCTACAAAAATGTAGTTTGAAGGAGCCGCCTTGTGACATTTGGCTGTGGTAATATTTATTAGTTGTTACTAAATTTTTTTTTTTTTTTTTTTCCCTAAAAGAATGGTCCTTACAAACAGTCAAGAGAGATGCGCCTGTATTTCGTTGTGGGCTACGCAATTGTAATAAGTATTTTTTTGTAGGAATGAAATGGAATGGAAGTGGGAAGGAAAGGGGACGAGAATAGAATGGTCATTCGTATATTCGTATTTTATTGTTTGGTTGCAAATATAAAATGTGTAGGAATGAAATGATAATAATTATTCTAGTGTTTGGTTGGATCAATTTAAAATTTAAAATAAAATAAATTTAACTTCAATTTTTCAAAATATCTTTCTTAGTGACAAATAAATTAAATTAATAAAATAAGATTATTTTATATTTTTTTTAAAAGAAATGGTAGTGGAAATGGTGGTGAAAAGTGGCAGTGGTGTAGGTGGAGGTGTTGGAAGGTAGCAATGGTGGAAGGTGGCGGCGAAAGTGATTGTGCATGGTACTGGTGTTGGTTGAAGGCGGTGGAAGTGGCGGTGATGGTGATGGTAGTGGTGGAAGATATCAGTGGGGCAGGTGATGGTGGTGGTGAAAGGCAATGGAGGTGATGGTCAAAGCGGAAGGCAGTGAAGATGGCGGAGGTAGTGGTGGAAGGCGGTTTGTGGTGGCAATGATGGTGGTGAAAGGCAATGGAGGTTGCAGTGGTGGAAGGTGGCAGTGATGGAAGTTGATTGTGTCGGCGCGATGGTGGTGGCTAAAGCAACAACAATGGTGGTGTTAGCAATGACGGTGATGAAAGGTAATGAAGGTGGTTGTGGTGAAAGGCGGTGATAGTGATAATAGTTTTTAGACTTAGAATATGAGTTTTATTATTATTATTATTATTATTTTAACTTAATTTTCTTTTTTATTTATTTATTTGGGAATGGAATGACTATTCTATAGGTTTAGTTGTGAAATAGATTTTCATTTTCATAAATGAATTTTCACTTCAATAGAATGGTCATTCTTGATTTAAATTGCATACCGAACAAGAAATAGTTAAAATGGACATTTTATTTTATTTCTGTCCTCTGCACAATTGTCCATTCACTAGAGAGAGTAATGAATGGATGATATTTTAAAATAAATGGTATTAAAAAATTAAGATTAAATTGTCATTTCACACAATTTTAACAGTGCAGTGACAAAAAAGTAAAATTAGACTTAAAGTGATATTCAAAAAAGTAAAAATAGACTTAATTGGCACTACTTTACTTCCATATTAGATAAGTAAAATTAAACTTAAAGTGATATTAAAAAAAGTAAAAATAGACTTAATTGATTCTCCCATACTTCCATATTAGATAAGTAACATTAGACTTAAAGTGATATTCAAAAAAGTAAAAATAGACTTAATTGATACTTCCATACTTCCATATTAGATGTATGTTTAGAAATTAGAGTTTTTAAGGGACATGCAATTAATTCATGATTATCTTTTAAAATTATAATATGCAATTAATGTATTTTTTTTTAAAAATTACCCACTTGTTCTTTTTAGTGTAGATATATATAGTTATCAAATTATTATTATTATTTTTTAAATATAAAGGATAATGATGGAAAAATAAGTTTTATTTGTTTTCACTTTTTAAAATTGAGAATTTAAAAATGAAATAGTGGATTACTAACATAGGATATAAGATAATAATAATTTTTAAAAAATATTTTAATATAATATTCAGCTAAATATGAAGTGTAAATGAAATTAACCCATAATAATAAATAAATTATTTACGACTTGGGAATTAGGATGAAGGTAAAATTGGACTTCCTGGTTAAATCTCTCCCTCCCTGTCTCGACGGGGTTGTGTTCTGTTTCCAGAGCTTCAAAGAAACTGAAATTAAGAGGCGAGAGAGTAATGGGCAGCGAGAGGAAGTCGAAGGAGGAGAAGAAGAAGAGAAGGAGAAGTCCTTCTTATGACTCTGACGGTCCTGAATTTTCTCTCTCTAAATTCTCACTCTATATCTATATCTGTATCTATTTTCTATAATACTGTATGTTGGTTTCTTCATTAACCTTTAATTTTGGCTTCTTGTAACTCTTCAGCGGAAGGAAAAGGAAAAAGGGTTAGGACTGTCGAGGATCGGAAATCAAAGAGTAGTAAGGGAGATGAGAAAGACAAGTCCCTCCACAAGAAGAAAAGCAAATCTCATAAATCCTCCAAACACCGTTCTGATAAAGGTACACTTGTTTATGTGTCTTTTAGTTTTATGTTTTTCAATTTTTTTCTTTTATAGTTACTATTATACAATTTATTTTCAGATTTCTTGTATGTTCTCCAACCTTTTTTAGAGATTAAATAGACAATTTTCAGATCAAAATATGTACTTTTTCCTTTTTTGTAGTTGTAAATTTTGCAATTCAAACTGGGTCTTGTCCCCCTTCAAAAATTAGATGGATTATTTATTATCAGAGTTTGTTATATTTCAGATAGTCTCCATTGAGTATAACTATTATGGTTATTTGACTCTCTCGTTACCCGGTACTCAAGGTTGGATACAAAAAGAGGTGGGTTGGTATTTGGTAGATAGTTCGCCCTTTAAGATGAATTCTCATTTTAGTAGAAATGTAAACATTGAAATATATATATATATATATATATATATATATATATATATATATATATGTATAAAAATAAAAATTACACTTGTAAAATGGAATATAGGTTCACTAACTAGCAAGTGTAATGTACTTATGGACATACTAAAAAAAGAAAAAAAGAAACAGAATTGAAAGTAGAAAAGGGTAGAGAGATTGAAGAAGAATATTACATCTTCTATTAGAATGGAATGGACATCCATAGGCAATCGTTAGGTTCTTCCTTAACATGTCGCCTAATACACAAAGTGTTAAAAGTGATTGCTTCGTTTTGTACAAAGGATATAAAAGTGGTGGAAGGAAGGCTAGGAAGGATGGAGAATGCATCCCTAGGGAAGGGAAGGTGTTCTTCATCCTTTCAATTTGGTTGAGTGGAAGGTAGTAGGTGGTGATACCTTCCGCTGTTTAGTGTTTAGTAAGAGAGATGAGGAGAGATTTAATATTCTTTCTACAATTATACCCTCATTGTATAAATTGACAAAATTATGTAAAATGATGGGCCAGGATGGAGGGTTCATCCTTCCTTTCCTTCCAACTCTACTTAGTACCAAACAATGAAGAGTTTTTCTATCCCTTCTTTCTACCTTCACTTACCAAACAAAATGTAAGTGACAAGTATTTGGCAAAGCAAGGGTACAAGTTCTTTGTCACCTTGTTTTGTTAGGACTTCTATTATATTAATCTAACAGAGGTCATCTGTTAGTATCGGCAAAGGTTCCGACTAACTAGTTGTGATTTTTCTCATCTTGGTATTTGTATTTCAGTGTGCTTTCATCTCAAGGACTAGACTAAAAGTTTCATAATAACCTAATGAATATAATGCAGTTGAAGTATGAAGTGGCAACTTCTACAATTTTTTATAAATATTTAGAAAAAAATGAAACAGTTGTGACCATGACTTTTTCTTGTACGTGTTATGTGGCTTGGGTCTTTGGTATGTACCAAATATTAGTTTATCCTTTCTAGTTCTTTCTTTATCTAACTTTTTGGGGGTTCCAAAGGTTTCTTCTTGGGTTCTTGAGGGATGTGGTATGGAGATCCTCTCACCCCTTTTGTCTTCTACATTGAAAAAGCGCCTAAAGATGGTTGGGAAACATCCAGTACAGAACCATTAACATGGCTGGTTTAATTGTGTGTGTGGAAAATATTGCTATATATCCAACACAGAAATGGAAAAATAAGGGCCCATACAGCAGGTCTAAAATAATTTTTTCTTCATTTTAATAAGAGTTTGCTTGCTTTATCATGAACTTAGATGCTTGCATAAATATCTAAATGGTTGAATCTTCATTTGTTAATGGAAATCATTCTTCTTAAGTTGAGAAAGTGGACTGCTTTCCTTGTTTGTATGCCTGTTCGGGTGTCAAGGACCGATTTTTAATATTTTTCTCTTCTGCATTATGTTTTATTTTGAGAGTTGTAGCATTAAGTTATATGATGAATTATCTACTAATCTTACTAGAATAAGGATTTGAGAAAGGTTGATCACTCTGACCTGATAATATTGCTTCAGAAAAGAAGTTGGAGGAGAAGCGCCGCAAAGATAAAGGTCATAAGCATGATCGACACTCAGTGAGTTCTCTTTTTTAGCTCCGTTACCTGGGTTGTTCATAGTCTTGTTATTCTCCCTTTTTCTGTGAACAATATTTTTGCATGTTAAAGTTAGATTATATTTTCTTTCATTGGCTCCCCATCCTCTGATGTCCATCCATTTAGAATAGCCCCTCCTGGACATGTTTGATGTTACTGCATAGAAAAATAATACAAAAGCCAGAAATGGGATATCTGAACCTTCTGTAGCCATGCCACACACACTTCTGAGTATGCTTTGAGAGCCTTAAAAAATATATATAGGCCAGACTCAGTCAGCTGAGTCAATTAATCTACAAAACTCAAAATCACCATCACCAAATTAATTCTGGTAAAGTGTTTGATTCAGAAGGGGAAACGTGAATTAGGGTATGGTTGGGACCTCAACAAGAAGAGTTCCATGACAGACTAATTTTCCATATTTGTAAGCGTACTGATATGTTGGTGTTGGAGATTGATTCTACATTTTGTTCTTGCACTCAGATGTTTAGTAGTTACTAAGCTAAGGTTCAAGTAAGGGAGTGTTTACTTGCACTGTGATAGTTAAAGTGCTACGTACTGGCCCAAGAACCAGATGTAGCATGTGTAAATAAAGCACATATATGTGCGGTCCCATATATTAAGAATAGGCATCCTCTATAGATATGCATTTTGTGAATGTTACATGAAGGATTATGTAATTGACATGTTGAGGAAGCTAGTCTTACATAGAAGCTCGGCGTTGCATGGATGTAATCTATCTCACACATTGATGACGAATTGTGGCTTGACCCTACCACTAAAGTTGGTCTAGAAGGGTGCCTTGGAAGGAAGGCACCATAGGTCCATACCAACATTAGTGTCTTGATTTTCAAGATGCCTTGGAAGTAGTTAGGGTTAATTGTCTTGTCTTCAGAATGCTGTGATTTCTGCATTTTGGATTCATTTCATTAGTTGTAAGAGTTTGTCGATTAAGATTTGGAATCAACTTAGCTCTGCTGATCAGTTGATTGAGCAAAATAAAGTTGTGGAGCAATTATAGCTGAACCTGTAGGTGCTTGATCGATTGAATGGGAAACTTGACTGTTCAAATAGTAATCAATAATGAATAGGTCGATCAATATAGTTAGTTCAATCGAGCCTGGAAATGTCAGTTCCTAGCTTATATCCCATTGCTACTAGGAATCCTGTTGAACCTTGTTGAGTGATAAAGACATAACATTAAGAAAATAGAGATTTCAGGGTCTTTCAGAGAGTTAAGAGAGTAGTTTTGAGTAATTAATTGCTCTTGTAACATCAATCCATTTCTTAGTCGATTAAGAAGCCTGTAAATTGTCCTAAAAGAGGAAATGGGCATCTTTTCGAACAAATTAAATCTTGTGTTCTTATGCATGTTTGCATGATTCCTTTGATTGTTTACAGTGATTGCAAGATCTTGTGGTTGCATGTATATAAACAAGAATTTGAATTATTGAGGTATTGTTTAAATAATCCTCTTAGTTGGTATGCTGAAAAATCTATTTTTCATAAAATTTTGACTATTCTTGTGAACTATTTTGAAATGCTAGACTTTACATTGATTTAATGGTATTCAGATGAGTTGCTATGTTGAAAAAAACTCTTGCAGTTTATGTTGCATTTTTTTTCCCTATATAACTAAATTTAATATTCATTTATATTAAACATGTGTCTTACTTCAAAGTTCAATCAAACTTGCGCCTTAATTACGCCTTGCTCTTAGTCTTAGAATCCCCTAGACCTTGTAGCTTGAGCCTTTAACAACTACATTGCGATTGATGATTTTCTTCACATTGAGAATTGGAGAGGTCTTTCTTTGTTGAAACATAAAATGGTTTACTAGACACGGCATGTCTTCTGTTGTTTCTCTCTTATTTTATTATTCCACTTGTAGCATTGGTGGTGGTGTTAATTTTGTTTTATGTTTTTGGTACATCTATTGTCTTTTTAAATCTCTCTTCTTTTTTTTTATGTTTATTTTTGTCCCAGAAACTTAAGATCCAGGAGATTTCTGATGATGACTACTTCTCTAAGAACAATGAATTTGCAACGTGGCTGAAAGAAGAGAAAAAGATTTTCTTCTCAGATCTTTCGTCTAACTCTGCACGCGACTTGTTTTCACAGTTTATCAAGGACTGGAACAACCAGAAGCTTGAATCTCGATACTATGAGGGCATTGTTACTGGGCCACGGACAGCCCATAACTGGAAAATTAAATAGTAGTAGAATTGTTACTCTATGATATGCTTTGTTTTGGCTTTGTGCATTTACTTAATTTGCATGTTTACTAGTAAGAGGAATTGGGTGTTTGATCGGTATGAATGAGAATTTAAGTTTACTGGGTTTTGTTGGATCATTTCTTTAGCTTTGCAAGTTATTGTGCAGATTGTTCACGTACAGAATAGAACTCACAAGGCTTGTTTTAGATCTGATCTGATTTTGTGGATGGAGATATAAACTGTACTACTGTATAATGGTATAAGCAGGTTGCAGTCAAGCAGCTGACAGGGCTATTCAATTGCATGCTAACGGCGGATTTCAGTAATTCTAAACTGGCCCTGTTTGTCAACTACCTTGGCGAGGACTTGCTAGAGTTTTTTAAAATTGAAAAATGGACAAATGGAAAATTGTCCATGGATGTCCAATCCGATAAAATATCTCCATACACGCAGATGTAGAACAGTTACGATCAATTGTGGGATTTGTATGATGTAAAGACCGAGAGGAAGAGGGAAGGATACCAATTGGTGCCAGCTGGACACATAGCAGATGAATACTTGTACGTCGAAGGTATATGGCCATGGAGGTTTCTAAATCCCTCTCAATTTTTGTTCAGTGATTTTTGGACCGAGAAGTTTCATTCTTGTTTTTCTGGTAAAGTTTCCTTCTTATTGCTATTAAACTTCAATCTAGTTTCACAGATTGTAAATTACCTCATTATATATCCTTGTCATACTCTATAAATCACTACTCTGTTGTTGTTCTTTTTCGGCTACATAGAAAACCTGGAGTTGGTTAACCTGCTCATGGTCTGCATTTAGAGAGATGTATTGCTTCTGGAGCTTGATTATTCATACGTACAGGTGGGGACGATCAGACAATGGCAGCTATGGCCCTCGATACAGTCTATCATGTTGGTTTTGTTACACGACTCCTGTGCAACCACTGCAGCATCCTGATTCCTGAGGATGTATGTTTTTCTGATATATCTGCTTGCGAAGCTGGCTGCGCTCCTTTTCCATCTCGCATAACAATCCCATGACCCTTCTTGGTTTTTGATCTTAAAATGTATGTGCAGCAAGCAATACTAATGTTTTAAGAATGATAATTGAAAAGAAATAGCTGCAAATTTGTGAAGTTGGCATAACATTGCCTTCAGCATTTGGTGAACATATTTCATATGGATTTTCACAGCGAACGCTCATACGACATTCCTAACTAATCTGACTATAATGGATTAAAATTCTATTCAGTATATTTCAACACATTTACATACGTCTTTTCAAAACATTGTCGATAAGCGTATATAAAACTGGTGTAAAGAAGATGTAATGTGTTGAAAGGTGTACAACACGAGCAATATAAAAATGGTGAAAAGTTGTAATGTGTTGAATGGTGTACAATATGAACAATTACGAAAAAGGATCTGGCTCTAACTGCGAGTGATTACAGCCTTATAATATTATACTGCCGTAAGGATTCTGTACACCTCATGCTAGACCCACAACATTGTTTACCGTAAGGATTCTGAACAACTCATTTTAGACCCACAACATTTGTTTCTGAAACTTGAACTTATGAATTCTTTGAGAACAAGATATTATACCATTCGAACCAATGTTGTCAAATACTTTTAGAATGATTATTTTTATTTTTTGACAATAGATATTCGAATTTGAATTACTTAAAAGTGATTAAATCAATAATCAATAACATCACTCGATAATAATACCAACTCGATTTTTTTTTTCTTTAAAATTAATTATCAATGCATCATTAGGTAATAATAGCAATAGAGTTTTCTTTCTTTCTTTTTTAAAGATAAAAAATAAAAAATTTGTTTTATTTTATTGAACTTACCCGCTGAAAATACTACTAAAATTCTCTCTCTCTCACGCGCGCGCGCAGACTCACTGACAAAAACTGCTTGTCACAAATGCCCAAAACCCACACCCAGAAGCTTTAGACAGAATTTAACCGTTTCGCCATATTTCTTTGTTTTTTACTTAGCTGCAATATTAACAAGAAACAAAACTAGAACTGGCTGGGCACTGTAAGAGAAAGCTCTTGGCTTTCAAATTCGAATCCCCATTTAAATTCTCCACTGCTTCTTCTTCAATATATCCTCTCCCAAACCACTTTAATCCACAGCCCATTCCATTCCCACGCAGAGAAGAAAAAGAACCCTCAAGCTCTGGAATTCAATGCCTTCTCAACCACCACCCCAACCCCGAAATCTCAGGCTTTCTCCAAAAGGGTTTCTCAGAAATTACCAACGACAGTGTTGGGAGAGCACTACATGCATTTTGCTTAAAGGGTGTGAACCATTTGGACATATTCCATACCAACACCTTAATAAATATGTACTCGAAGTTTGGCAAAATTGAAGTTGCCCGGTCGGTGTTCGATAGAATGCCTGACAGAAATGGAGCTTCTTGGAATAACATGATGTCCGGTGTTGTTCGTGCGGGTTTATATCATGATGCAATTAAGCTGTTTGGTGAAATGCGGCGTCAGGAAGTTGCACCAAATGGGTTTGTAATTGCGAGTTTGGTGACAGCATGCAATAGGTCGGGTAATATGTTTGATGATGGATTTCAAATTCATGGTTTTGTACTTAAAATTGGTTTGTTATTTGACGTGTTCGTGGGCACTGCGCTTCTGCATTTTTATGGTACATATGGCTATGCTTATTGTGCTCAGAGGCTCTTTGAAGAGATGCCTGAACGAAATGTTGTATCTTGGACTTCCTTGATGGTTGGGCATTCAGACAATGGAGATCCCATGCAGGTCATAAATATATATAAGCAAATGAGTCGCGAAGGAGTTTGTTGTAACCAAAACACTTTCACTACAGTCATTAGCTCTTGTGGATTTCTTGAGGATGAACTGTTGGGTCATCAAGTTCTTGGACATATCATAAAGTCTGGATTTGAGACTAATGTTTCTGTGGTAAATTCTCTCATTTCGATGTTCGGTAATTTTAGATTCATTGAAGAGGCCTGCTATGTCTTTGATCTCTTGAACGAACGCGACACAATTTCGTGGAATTCAATGATTTCTGCGTATGCACACAATGGGCTTTGCAAGGAATCACTTGGTTGTTTTCACTCGATGCGCCATGCTCATAATGAATTAGATTCAACTGCACTTTCCTCTTTGTTATCAGTTTGTAGTTCTGTGGAGAATTTGAAGTGGGGCAGAGGAATTCATGGACTGGTTGTTAAATTGGGGTTGGATTCAAATATTTGTGTATGTAATACTCTTCTGACTATGTATTCTGAGGCTGGAAGGCTTAAGGATGCAGAAGATCTGTTCCGACATATGTCAGAGAGGGATTTAATTTCATGGAATTGCATGATGGCTAGCTATGTTCAGTGTGGGAAGAGCCTAGGCGCCTTGAAAATTTTGTCTGAACTGCTTAAGCTGGGAAAATTTAATAGCCACGTGACTTGTGCAAGTGCATTGGCTGCATGTTCAAACCCCGAGTTTGTTGTTGAAGGCAAGATTGTCCATGCACTTGTCATCATCACTGGCCTTCACAACAATTTGATTGTTGGAAATGCACTAGTAACCATGTATGGTAAGTGCGGCGTGATGTGGGAAGCTAATCGGGTATTCCAGAAAATGCCCGAGCAAGACTTGGTAACTTGGAATGCACTCATTGGTGGCTATGCTGAAAATGAAGAATCGGACAAGGCATTGAGGTGTTTTAAGTTGATGAGAGAAGAAGGTCCACCTGCAAACTATATAACCATGGTTAATGTTCTTAGTGGTTGCTCCACTCCCAATGCCCTACTGATACAGGGGATGCCCATACATGCACATATAGTTCTGACTGGATTTGAATCAGATGAGTACGTTAAAAATTCCCTTATCACAATGTATGCCAAGTGTGGTGATCTCAGTTCGAGTGTCTGTATCTTTAATGGATTGGTTAACAAGAACCCTGTAACATGGAACGCCATGGTAGCTGCAAATGCTCATCATGGACATGGGGAAGAGGCCTTAAAACTCTTTCTTGAGATGCAAAGAGCTGGAGTAGAATTAGATCAATTCAGCTTCTCTGCAGCCCTTGCTGCCTCTGCAAACTTGGCTATTCTGGAGGAAGGCCAACAGCTTCACAGTTTGTCTATTAAACTTGGCTTTGACTCATATCTTTACGTTTTAAATTCTACGATGGATATGTATGGGAAATCTGGGGAAATGAATGATGTACTGAAAATGATTCCAGAACCAAACTTGCGTTCACGATTATCATGGAACATATTGATTTCAGCATTTGCAAGACATGGCTTTTTCCAAAAAGCTAGAGAAACTTTCCATGAGATGCTCGGACAGGGGTCAACACCAGACCATGTCACATTTGTCTCCCTTCTATCAGCTTGCAGTCATGGGGGTCTAGTGGATGTGGGTCTTGCATACTTTGCTTCAATGACTAAGGACTTCGGGGTCCCTGCTGCAATTGAGCATTGTGTATGCATTATTGATCTTCTCGGACGATCAGGGAGACTTTCAGAGGCTGAAGCTTTTATTCAAAAAATGCCAGTCCCCCCAAATGATTACATCTGGCGGAGCCTGTTGGCAGCATGTAGAATTCATGGAGATCGGGAGCTAGGAAAGAAAGCCGCTGAACGTCTTCTAGAGTCAAATCCATCAGATGACTCCGCCTATGTTCTTTATTCAAATGTCTGCGCGACAACTGGGAGATGGGACCATGTAGAGAATGTCAGGGGCCAAATGGAATCTAAAAATATAAGGAAGAAACCCGCGTGCAGTTGGATGACATTGAAAAACCAAGTGAGCTCGTTTGGGATTGGAGACCAATCCCACCCACAGGCTGTGCAGATATATACGAAATTGGGAGAGCTTAGGAAAATGATTAAAGAAGCAGGTTATGTAGCTGATGTAACTTTTGCCTTGCATGACACTGATGAAGAACAGAAGGAGCATGATCTCTGGAACCACAGCGAGAGACTTGCACTCGCATATGGTTTGATCAATACACCAGAATATTCAACTCTTCGCATTTTCAAGAACCTTCGTGTTTGTGGTGATTGCCACTCTGTTTACAAGTTTGTCAGTGGAATTATTAAGCGGGAAATCATACTGAGGGATCCATATCGGTTTCACCACTTTAGTAGTGGCAAGTGTTCTTGCGGTGACTATTGGTAGCATAATTATTGACTAGTGTATCAAATAATAGACTCGTCTGCCTCCTGCAATTCACTGCATCCCTCCGAATCCAACCATGGAAGCTGAGTTCTCTTTGCTGTCTTAATGTGATGTCTGATTTGGTACAAGTTGTTGCTGAATGTGATCAATTATCGATCATTTGGGGTAAGCAAAATACTTAAAACACACCAATTTCTTACTCTGTCCTTTTGAACTAATTTTTCATGGTGATATTAACTCTAGTATTGAAATACTATAAGATTACAAGGTCCATAATCACATTGATTTGGATCTCACTATTAGGAGTTGTACTTGATTATTTGCATAATAGATGATTTAATTCAATGGCAATTTGACACAAAGAACCGAAAGATGACCCTGTAATTTTATTTTTATTTTCCGAATTCTAGTTACTTAAAATAAAACAATCATGATCTCTGATGGATTTTAAGTGAAGATATTCTGAAATCAGAAATGAATCATTCAAAAGAAGTTCTAATAAGAACACAGTGAACCAAAAACAGGTCAAGGAGAAACCACAATCATCTGCCAGTCTAATAAAAATTGTGTTTTTCCTTTGGATGCAGAAGAGAGCATAAAAGGAACAATTGACAAAATGCAACGAACAATACTAATGAGTGTGTCAAAACCCTGCAAAAATGCTCCATTTATAGAGGTTCTAGAGACTGAAGTAACTGAAGTCCATGTCCATTATTAACATGTGCGTCTACACTATGAACATCACTGCTGGCTCTGAGATAACATATACTACATTGACATCAAAAACAGCCTTCACTTCTAACACCTCGAACATAAACTTTCTTTGACAGTTCAGATACAAACATCAAATACTTACAACCCAAACCAGGGTTTCCATATTTGGGTCTTTTTCGAGGCCGAAAAAAAAAAAAATACATGATCAGAATCAGATACAGACACAACACAAATAGTTAATACCATAACAACGTACATAAACTATATATGAACTATGGTAGCACAAAGTGATCGGCACATTGGGCATGAATTGTTTTTTGGCAACCAGGTGCGCAAACAATCATGATGAAATATATGTGAACATGGCGTGGTTGCGATCTCTGTCCCCGTCAAGAACCCTTGCAGGCATATTGAACAATGATCTACTGATGGTGAGGTATGATCATCATTCAATCTGTTGACTTTCACTGCGGTCTCAATTTCTTTGAAAAAAAATATTGGTTCGTCTCCAGGAATTGATTCACCGACGTCAGACCTTAATATCCTTAGAATTTTCAAATGATCATTCCTTGGTACCTCCGCAAAGTAACTCTCCTCATCAACTATGTTTGAAACACTATTGTTATAATCCATTAAGTCCTCATCCTCAGTTTCTTGTTCTAAATCATCAACACAGTCAACTTCATGTTCTTCAACATTTAAATCCGTTGAATCATTGTCCATGTCCTCATCTTCTTCGTGATCTTGATTTTCCTCCATTGATAAAGTAGTTGAGGAAACCATCTCTTGTTCTTCATCTTCAACATTGCCATATTCCCATTCTTCTTCTTCTTCTTCTTCATTAGGAAAATCTTGGCAAGAACCGGTGTTGAAAACAGAAGTACTCTCCGCAGAAATGTCTACGACGACAACGATCTTGGACTTTCTTGAAGAAAACGAGTTTACTGTGGCGGTAAACTGAAAATGACTTACAAGGTACTTAATTATATGTGCTGATAGAATGCGATCATTACTATCCAGCAAGAAAACATTCTGGGATTGGGTGGACAAATCGAACAACGATTCTAAGGATTCTCGAGGAACTAGGTTGTCGAGACGGAATGGAAAAAGATGAACCTTAATTGTTCTGAAATCAATATTGACTTCCCCAACAACATCAGTTGATACACGGAGCATCAACATTCCTTCTTCAAATTCCGAATCCTCATTATTGAAAATCCTTTCGTTCCACTCGAATACACGAATTTCTGCTTTACGAATTCTTTCAACTACTGCCATCTCTCTCTCTCTCTCTCTCTCTACAAAAAAAAAAATTTAACCTCTTGCATCAAGTCTACTCAATGATGAGATTTATAGTCATATGTTTCTTTGCTTGCAAGTTTCTTGTATATATAAGCCGACCTGATTTTGGGATCGGCTTATATTCACCGCCTCTCTTTTCTTTACTTGCGAACTTCTTGTCCTTGTTGGACTCTAATTGATGCGCGTCAGCGTGTGTATAAAAAAGACTTTGGAGTAAAAACACAAAATAGGAAATGTTTTTGAAAATGGAAACTTTTTTTTTTAGTTCACACGTCATAATATAATTGGATTACATGGTTTTAAATATTAAATTTACAAAATAATTAATATATTTTTTATATGGTCAATTAATTTAATTCAAATGAATTGGTCTATTTATGATCAATCAAATTTGAAATTTCCTCCGTCTTAAAATAGTTGTCCATCTTTTTATTTTGGGATGTCCCAAAAAAACATGTCACATTTCAAAATTAAAAGTACTATTTTTTATAACATTCTCAAGCTATCATTTTAACTAAACAACTACACCAATTACGATCCATTATTTTATCTTTTAACAAGGCCATATTTGAAACTTCGTTCTTATCAATACAATAAAAACTATTAAAACTCCACTACCATAAAAAGTTAGATTACCCATAGAAGACATGTATATTGGGACAGTACATTAATTGTGAGATAAACTTTTGTACATGTAAAAGTCATGTATTCTTTGAGTGCTTTTTTGAAGAGAATAAAAACTCTGCTATAAGAAAAAATTTAATATCCTGATCTGAGCATATATTTGGAATGGCGCTTTGTAAGTATACAGGTCCTATTATTCCACCGGAAAGAATTCAGGGGTCCCTTCCATGTTCGTTTGGGTCCTTCAAGCAATGCTTGTACAGAGGTCTCCCAAGCACCATCATCGTCATAGCACATTGTGTTATTTTCATTCATTATGGACTTTTTCGCTCTTGATGCACAAGGAGTCAATGCTGTTAGTGGGACAACTGCCCATTGCTAAATTGTTTCTTTGATCTACATAGGTGATTGTTCTTTTACATCAAAATAAATGGAATCTTAACCCTTTACGTCCTTTTTGAATTTGTAAAAATGAGATATTTTAATGTCGGACTTGGACTTCTAAAGATGACCACTTACAATCTTATTAATGTTATTAAAGGTAACGTCTAGGCTCGGTGCCCAAGTCTAGCGCCTGCTGTAATATCAGGAGTATTGATGTTTACTAGGCGCGTGCCTTGATTGTTCCTCATCCTATTTGTCAGATGCGCTTCATTGTTAACATTTATATATATATAATGATTATTCTATTTCTTGAGTCAAATAGGATACTTTTGGCAACTTAATAACCAAATAAGAAAGCCTAATTGTACGAAAGAATGAACTTTTGTTCAAAAAATAAATAAATAAGAAAACGCAAAAATCAAAGTGTCAATCGAATATAAAAAAAGTGAGATTGTGAGGCCCTAATTGCAGACCAAACGACGAAGTCATATCAATTCTTTCTTCTCTCTCTTCCCATCTACTCCTCTTTTCTCATCTATGTTTACTTGTCTCCATTCATCTTCTTTTTTTTCTTTTCTTTTTTTCTTTTTTTTTTCTCTTTTTTTTTTTTTTTTTTTTTTTTTTGGCTCAAAAAGCTTTTTTGCCATTACTCTAATGTTATGCTCGGGAACAAGAGCTTTAATGGCGAACCCATATCGTTCTCTTTTAAGACCTGTAGTTATGTATATGCTTTTGCCTTAACTCTAATAAACTAATTTTCAGGAACATCTGTTCAAATAATAATAATATAATAAAAATAAAAAATTGCAAAACACCCCAATATTGAAATAGTATTCCCATCTATCATTACCTTGTCACACCATATCACTTGCTCCTAAAACTCAAATCACTTTCTACTCATAAACTCCAAAAAGCTTTGCTGCTGCCATTACTCTAATGTTATGCTCAGTTGTATGAAATTGGTGTCTTGTAATTATAATTGAAAGAAATTTTTAGTTTATTTCAATTCCAGGATACCAATTCCATCCAACCTCACATAATAGCAATTCTAAAGGGTTTATATGCTCTAGAAATTATGCAATTACATTACAGCTTTCTTTAAGTTCCACATGTCAAAAAATAACAATAATGAAACTCCAGCATCACAAAATCACTGATGTAACCAAAACCAAAAGGCACCCTGAACAGAAAAGGACCAGTCCAAATTTTGCTCATAATGGGAAAAAGGGGCAATAGTATTATTTGAAAATTAAGATATATTAAAACATGTTACGATCACAAGTTTTCTGGTTTCTCCAGACAGCACATGCAACTCAATCATTTCATCAAATACTCAATTAAAGCTGAAGAAGTAGAATATCACGGGCACTACTACTTAAAGACTACCACCCCTAAGAGCAAGCACTAGATGGAGCACGGAGCCACCCTCAATATTATAATCTTTCGCAGTTTTGTCATCTCCAAGCTGCTTACCGGCATAAATGAGCCTGAAAAACAGTGAATATAACGGTAAGTGATATATTATTTTCACAGTTACAATAAAAAAGAAAAAGAGGAGCACGTTCTATATTAAAATTGGAAGGTCGTCCTCGACATAGCAGGAACCACAGAACCCCCCTATTAACCAAATCTTCGTAAGACAAATATGTCCAGGGTAAAAATATAATAATAAAAACAATGTATTGAGGAAAAGGTAGAATATCTAGGCCAACAACTTGTTTAGTAAGGTACTAAGGTCGTAACTAAAAAAATAACTAAGATGTCTCATGAGTGATAAAAAATAATAATCTAGTATCAACACAAAAACAAGTTGAATATTCGAAATTGCATTATTAGATTAATGAATCAAGCCATTAAATTATGCAATAACTTATATTAACTAGATTCAATTATCCATGAGGGGAAGAGATTTAAAGATGTCGCAAAATATAAACGACGTGGATCAAGTAGGGTAGCCCTTCAGCGTAATGTATGATACAGATACCCAAATAAAACTGAAAGATGAATCATAAAGCCATACTTTATAAGATGGAATGTTTTGGCAGCTAAAAAAAAATGCTCATAAAACGAACAAGACAAATGTTAAGATGGGTGTGAGACAAGATATGAAAGGATAAGATTAAAAACGAAAACATGTGTACAAAATGGTAGTAGCACTCATCAAGAAAGCAAGGTCTATAACCATATCATAAAAGAAGAATGACATGGTCAACTTCGACCCTTAACCTCATTAAACACCTTAACCTCGATAAAGTAAATGGTATCCACACTATCATGGGGGAAAAAAAACGACTGCTTGAGTTGATATGTGAATAGAAAATCCAGACACAAACTCTAATGTAACCAAACATAACACGAGTTGCAGCAAGTTCTTGTGCAATATTGGACTTCAAGGTCGCCAGTGGTATCATTTCAAATCCATTCAGATCATCGAAGAATCTCCCTAAATTGAATGTCATTCATATTGAGACATCCTAGAAGAAAAATCCGGTAAAGAGAACACTACAATAAATCATCTAAGAAACATATTAGCATCAAGTCCTATGCAAAATATAATGGACCTATTTTGAATTCCATGGGACATGAAATAAATCTTAAATTGATAAACTTGAAATCATTTAGTTTGAAACAAGTCCAGTAGTAGCGGGGTTGGGGGGACCTAGCATATTAAAAAAGGCATGAATAACCATTTTGAGGATGCTAATTTATGTGAATCATTCAACCAATATATATGTACAAAAACCAAACAGGAACACTAAGTTAGACAAAGAAGAGGTATAGGCAAATAATTATTCAAATTTTAAGATTAAGAATACAAGGCATATAACTTAAACAGCTCTAAGTAGAGTAATAAAATCAACATCGAAGTCAAATAAGCACAAAATGAGAAAAACACGAACCTTTGCTGCACTGGAGGAATTCCTTCTTTCTCCTCAACCCGTTCTTTGATCCTGTCAATGGTGTCAGTTGGTTCAATATCAATTTCGATTTCTTTTCCTGTCAGGGTCTTCACTTTAATCATAGTTCCTCCCCTGAGCCTCAGAACCAGATGAAGTGTTGACTCTTTCTGGATGTTGTAATCTGCAAGAGTTCGGCCATCTTCCAATTGTTTACCAGCAAAAATCAATCTCTGCTGATCAGGTGGGATACCTTCCTTGTCCTGGTAAACAATCATAAACCTTTAGCGAAACATGAATGAATACTGCAACTTATGGAAAACAAGGAACGTTGCACAATCCCAGACATAACCCCTCCCCTCATCCCAAAGAGAAATATATATATATATATATGTAGAGAGAGAGAGAGGAGGACGAGATACAGTGAAAAATAAGAACTTATGTCAAATTAGATAGTTCATTCTCATTCAATCCCTAAATGTTAAAAAATTCAGACTGTCGTCGGTAATTGAATATAAATTTTAGTACTACACAAGCCTACGCATTAAGCAAAGGGAAATATTAAGTATGCTATGTAAATTTTCTTTCTTTCTTTCTTTCTTTTTCCTGTACCAAAACAGCAAGAATTATTCATGAAAATAATAACACTGTGAAAAGTCATCATCTACTAGTGACCCATTTACATAGTGAAACAAGTAATAGCAAGCACAGCGGAAATAGCCTTATCGTCCATGGTCACCTTTTTTGCTCCGTAAATCTTACATGCGGAGCATTTACGTGCACGCAATTTTGGTTGAAATGTGACAATTGGATAAGCTGCTCGATTCTGTACATCCTCTGGATGAATCAACCTCATGTCTCTTATTACAATTAAATGCCTGCAATCTCCCTGGTGAAAGTAAAGATAACCAGCACCAAGTCAAAATTTTAAGTCTCAAAAGCGGGTCCTGTGCATGTCAACTGTCTTGAAGTGAGGCATTACCACATTGCCTAAAAGTTCTTTTTGCTTCTGCTGTAATTCACCAGAAATGATACATTCCCACTTTTCAAGTGCCTCATTCTTCGAAATTCTAAGCCAAACAAATATAGGTTCACTGTAGTCTATAGCAGAAGGATCCCTCAAGTCATTGCAAAATATATTTTTAAGGAAATATCCAGATGTATAGTACTGCCCTGCTTCTTTCATAACCCCATCTGTCAAGCAATATATCTTGTCCTGCAGTTCTTGCCGTCCTAAAACCAAGAATTCTTTGGTCTCTACCCATGTTTGTTTGTTATGGTAAACCTCAATGCAAAGAACAACTTCTGGATAAGGCACTGGTGCATGTTCACATGCATTTGATGACTTGACATTTGTCGTCAAACTAGTTCTCAGGGATGTCATCCTCTCGTTTTTCTTTGAGAATATAACTACTCCGCAACTACCATTGAATGAATGCAGCCTTGCTGCTGCTTTATCTTCATCTTGCTTTTGTTTAATCCACCAAAGGGAATTGTAACATACGGATCTTCTTGATCCTCAACGCAAGACACCATCATCTCTCTGTCTTCCACCACAATTAGGGGTTTTTTTTCTTTTTTTTTTTTCGTCACGGCTTAAGAGTTAAGACCCAAAGGCGAATAGGACAAAGGAAGACAGACCAGTATCAATTAGGGTTTTGTGTTGCCTGAATATGACTGCCGGAAGAAAAAAAAAGCAGTAGGGATACTACTTGGACAGATCAACCCGCACCCAATTCGGTTTTTCACAGGCTTGGCGTCACAAGGCCGATCGGGTTAAAGGTCATGTTTTGAATGTGTAATAATCTATGTACCTTATGTTGTATACCATGTGTGTTCATCATGCAAGAGTAGGCAAAAGATATGACCAACAACAATATTATCCCCAACAAAACATACAAAGAAACAACCAAAAACTAAAATTCTATTGGAAACCCTAAAATCAGCAAACTCACAAATCATCCATGAATAATAACATATTGACTGCTTGAAAAAGAAAAAAATCAACGAAACCAATCATAATCGTAATCATAATCCAAATCAAAATAATCAAAGCGCAAAAGAGCAACAAAAAATTGCGCTTTAATCGGTCGATGTATTTAAGTTTATACATATATACATATAGAGAGAGAAGGAGAAGGACCTGAATCTTGGCCTTGACATTATCGATTGTATCGCTGCTCTCGACTTCGAGAGTGATGGTCTTTCCAGTTAGGGTTTTTACGAAGATCTGCATGTTGTTAACGCAAAGTCGCAAGAGAGAGGAGACGGAGCTGCTTATTTTTTATCAAATAAAAGTCAATTACGCTATTTATAGGCGTTATTCGAATATAAGACCTCTCCGAATTGTTTATGGAAAAGTAATTGTGTAATTTTTCATTATTTATTGGGATATATATTTCGTGCCACAAAGATATAATACTCTCCTAGCGAAGTTTTAATAATTTTTTTTATTATATTGATAAAAATGAAGTTTCAAATATGTTCTTATTAAAAGATAAAATAGTGATTCGTAATTAAAATAGTTATTTAGTTAAAAGGATAGTTTGAAAATGTTATAAAAAAAAATTACATTCAATTTTAGAATGGAACATATTTTCTAGGACATTTTAAAATAAAAAGGTGTATAATTATTTTGAAACAAAGAAAGTAATATTTGAATTGTTTATGAAAAAGGAATTGTGGAATTTTTCATTATTTATTGGGATATATATTTCGTGCCACAAATATATAATAATAGTTGTGATGGTGGTAACACACTCTAGATATGTTAGTGGTGGGACTTGGACAAAAAATAAAATCACTAGTTGGGCTAGGAAAAAAATTTTGATAAGTAGGGTTTTCTAATTTTGGATGATTAAAACATGTGGGTTCCTATTAGAATTTGGAAGGAAGTCGACTTCTTCCTTTTAAAATAAAAAACTCATTTATATTTTTTATTTTGTTTTAAATTATAATTCAATTATTTTAAATTTCTTTAATTGTTTATGATATTATTTTTATATATGCCATGTGACGTTTCCTAATTGGCTAACTTCCTAATTCCTCTTATACATGTGATTTTAAAAAAAAATAATAATAAAAATAAAAAAAATAAAAAAAAAATTTATTAGCAAAAAATATACTGACACTAAGTTTATCTCTTTGACTACTCGAACTTTAGACCTTGTAGGAGTAACTTTTACCGTAGCAATGGTAATAAGGACAACATTAATAACAAGTAAACTTTGATTATACAATTTTTTTTAAGTCAAGCAAACGCATACACCCTCGATCTATTGCTTTAGAACACCCATGGTTTGAAATTTCATAATTTCATGGGAATTAAATTTCAGAAATAATTTCACTTGTTTGGAACCATAAAATTTTTAAAACGGAATGGAATTTGAAGGGATTTCAAATGACATTTTGTAAGGTTGAAAATTTCAAGAAAAAGTGAAGAAACTAGCAAAAAATGCACATAATGGAAAAAATCGTAATTTTTTTTTTTTTAAGCTACTTTGGTTATAAAATGCACACAATGAAAAGGTCACTTGGGTGCCTTCTCAAATTCAATCATTGAAATGAAAAAATAAATAAATAAAAATCGATAGTTTACTAAATTGACAATTATTTATTTGTTAACTCATTTATATATTAATAGTTACAAATAAATTTTAAAAAATCAATTAAAAAGGTCATTTGGGTGCTTTTTCAAATTCATAACTGAAATTAAAACATTAAGTAATGCACTAAACAAATAATAATATGAAAAACATTTTAAAGTATATGAAAAACATTTGGAAATAATAAAAACCCTAGACTTTTATAATAGTATATATAGATTTTAACTAGCTATTAAAAATAATGACTAATGCTCCGTTTGGTTGGAGGGATGGAAGGGAGAGGGGGAGGGATGAATGAGTAATCCTTAGGGAAGGGAAAGTGTCTCCTTCATTTTTTGTTTAGTTGAATGGAAGGGATGACAAAAAGGATTGATAGAAGGGTAGTTTTTTTTTGTTTGGTTGGAAGGAATGAAATGATAGTTTTAATACACTTTTTACTAATATACCCTTACTATATAAAGTTATAAAATTAATTAATTTAAAATTATTTAATAATATTGAGCTCTAGTAACAAGTTGTCTAAAATGAATGTTTTATACGTACCAAACAAATTTTTTTTTTTTTTTAAATGAATACTTCAAAATTCAGATGCTGTACTGTTAATGGGTTATTTGATTGGCAAATTCAACATTTCATACTTCTCACAATATACTTCAAAATTCAGATGGTGTTAAATAGGTTTTTCTAATTAGCAAATTCAACAATTCATACTTCTCGCAATATTCAATCACTGGAAAATGCCCAGCGCGCAATTACTAATTTTTAAGACAGAGTAAAACATTTCATAAGATATGTTTGAACCTTTTGCTATCATTAGAAAAATCACTCATATACTTTATATTCACTAATATTTTCATGCCACAAAAATGAAAGAGAACAATGTAAGAACATCTTGAATAAAATTTAATGAGTCCTAAAAGAGCAACCAGTTTATTTTATTTATGTAAATGAAGAAACCAAATCTTCAACCAAAATAAACAAATAAAGTATATAACAATAATTGAAATGCAGTGCAAGAAAAAAAAAAAAAAAAAAACAGCATGAACAAAAAATTATTGACTCTTCAAGAGTCATTTCCTCTATCCATCACCATATTAAGCAATTCAAGACGCCTCTCAGTTGGAACAGCAAAAAATGCGCTTTTGTGCTGAGGGTATTTGATAAGGAATATAAATGCATCCAACTGTTTATTATCAGGAACTCCAATTCTCATTAGTTCAGCAAATAATTCTTCATCTGGATGATAATTAGTTTGTGTTTTCTCAACTATTGCAACTCTCTTTGCTGCAATTTCGAGTCCCTTCTCAGCAACAAGATTTCCTTTTTCAATTGCCTCGGCTACTTTGTTAATTCCAGATCCAATAACTTCAATCTCTCTCTCAAACACATCAGCCATTACATCCTTTCTTTTTGAACCCTTTGAAGACCCCCCACATTGTGAATTTGACTCATGGTTGTTGTTTTGAGTACTACTTGAGGTACCATTCTCTGTTCCCCATTTGCTAACTTTTTCCTTTGCACTTATAGCACCTTGACCAGTAGCTCTATCTTTTACAAAAAGTTCAAACAACTTCTCATAATGGTTGATTTTGGTGTGCCTCCATTTTGAAGATGATGGTTTTGCCTAAAAGTAAGAAACATATATCATGCATTATTCAAATATATATATACATGATTAAATAAACTAAAAGTAAAATAATTAAAATAAATAATAAAATGACTGCATACCTCTATGAGGGCCTTCCATACTTCTGGTTCAGCTTTAAAGAGTTTTGTTTCTGGACTCCATGATATCCCACTTAAATTTTTGAACAAGTCATAACATGTGTTAAAATTATTTTTCATTGTTTTCATACGATTTTTCACGTGATCTTTATCAAACGGATAGCCAAGTTTTTGAGAGCATATCTTCACAACATTTGAATATGCAGTAGATGTGAAAGTTCCATCAACTCTGTTCCCATTTTCTTGTTGCTCCAATAATGCATCAAGTAATATACCATCCACTTCTTCAGTCCACTTTATTGCATCTTTCTTAATATCATTCATATTCACATTGTTATTTGATTTCTTCATTTCCACGACCTGTAATTTTTTTTATGTCATATAAAAATAAATTCTCTACAGCACATATTTAAAAAAAAAAAAAGTAAAAATATAAAACCACAAATGACAAATTTTAATGTGAAATAGGCATCTAACATAACAAGATATAGTAATTAGAAATAAAATGTCATCATGATTCAATAAATTAAAGACATGAAAATGCTGTAACAAATATAAAAAAAAAATAGAAACATCATAGTTCGTAGTCCTCCCACATGTTAGCTGCTATGGCATTCCTTATAATTGATCCTTGCTTAGCTTCGTCATCATTAATGAGTGTGTATCTCTCCCCATCATTATGTACATCCATGTTCATGAGGTCTCGTTCAACTTCTTCAATCAATCTTTCATCAGGATCTACACCCATTAGATAATTATGTAGGATACAATATGCTAAAACAATCTCTGTAACTGTATCAACTGGGTAATGAGCCTCTGCACCCGTTGAAATAATTGGAAATCGTTTTTTAAGCACTCCAAATACTCTTTCAATTACATTGCGCAAGGAAGAATGTCGAAGACTAAATAATTCTTGAGCATTTTCTGGTGCACGTGATGAGTATTCTTTCAAATGATACCGAACACCTCTATATGGAGTTATTAGTCCACTCGTTAACATATAACCTCCATCCACTAAATAATATTTACCTAGAAGAAATAAAAACATTATAAGTTACTATTTTTAACTTATGTCATCATAAATCATAAATTTGATACAAATGACTATAAGTTACCTTCAGGGATTATTAATTTTTCTTCTCGTTCTGAAAGGGCATTTTTTATGACCCTTGAATCAGATGCCGTTCCTTCCCACCCAGGCAAAACATATGTAAATTTCATGTCAAACGAGCATGCCGCTAGGACATTTTGTGTTGGATAGTCTTTTCTTCCCCGATATCTTGGTGCATCTTTTTTAGATACTTTCACACGAATATGAGTCCCATCTATGGCTCCTACACAATCCTGAAATTTTTAAAAAGTTATTATTATTATTCTATATGTCATAAATATTTGAAAGATAATATTAATCATATAAATTAAATTTTTTACCTTGAAATAGAGATAAAATCTACTACTATGGCGTATTTCTGGAGGGACTTCGGAACCTCTTGGTGGTTGTAGGTATAAATCTTCTAAACTGATTATTGCTTTTAGTACATCATGAAAATGACGACTAATGGTCTCGCCAGATCGAATAAAGAAGAATTGAATGGCACGATTCTTCACATTATGCGACAAGATATAAAGAAACTTTGCTACTTTCTCCTCAACCAAAACATTTCTATTGTCCTTGAGACGACCAGTGGAACGAAGTATGTTACACAATTTAGTAAATGCATATGGTCCCATACGTAATATATCTCGACAATTCTCATTAGAAGCAAGTTTTTTCATTAGTTGTTCACGCATACTAAGTTTTTCCCCATCAATATCATTTATTGCCCTATTCACATGGTGTGAATGGAATGTCATTCCCATCATGTAAAGGATGCGAACAACATAACAAATAAGTTGAACCACCTGTATCTTTCGTCTCCATTCCCAGCTACTTAAAGATTCTACAACATTATCACCAAAAGTTTCTTCTTCACAGTCTTGCAGTTCATGTGTCTCATTCTTATCCCCACTCTCATATAAATCTCCTTCTATTTCCATCTAGTAAATGTATGTAATCAATAGATAATTAGTAAGACAAATGAATTAAAATTTAAAATAATTTTATCATTAATAAACAAATAAAACCATTAACTAGTCATGAGAAATTTTTTCTAATTAGTTAATCCTCATAGAAGATAAAATATAAACAACAGAGACGATCAAACAAAGCAACAAATATAAATGTATGTATGCAGTGAAATAAAAGTATTAAGTGTGTATATATATCACATATAGTTGCAAATACATTTCCTCTGGCTTGTGAGATTAAATTTATAATAATGGCATGTCCATCAGGTATATATATATATTGCATGGTAGGAAATTAAAACAAACAAAATGTCTGTAACACAATATCAGTGTGCTAATCGATTAATGTACATATTCTTAGCCTTAATACAAATGAATAAACATGGTAGGAAATTAATACAAATGAATAAACTTTAGCATAAGAGTATCAAATGAATTGGGTGCGGGGCGACCTCAAGCAGCTCGATCGGCAGTGGGTGTTGCAATATTAATGGTTGCTACAGAAAGCATTTTGGTTGTTGGTATAATGATATTGGGGCGTAAAATATGGGGGTATTGTATAGTAAGGAAGAGAAGGTAGCTTTAACTATAAAAAAAAAAAACAAAAAAAAGGAAGAGAATATAGAACAGACCAAAATGATCAAGATGAATATCAGAAAACGTGTGTAGAGAAAAATTTTAGTAAAAAATGATTTATTTATGGAGAGATTTATTTTAATAAAGTTTCTATATTGACGAAACTCTACTGAGTAATTAATAATTGACAATACTTTATCTGCAAAAGAAATAACTGTATGAAGTTTCTATATTGATGAAACTCTACTGGGTAATTAATAAATCTTGTGCTTGGGGTTGGTTGTTACAGAAAATATATATATATATATATATATATATATATATATATATATATATACAAAATTAAAAGCAAAACAGAAAAGGTACCTGAGTTGTGCTTTTCACGAATCTATGTTCAACAAAGTTTATCAGCTTCAATGAAGTTTGCCGGCAAAATAATCAGTATAGCGGCAAAATAATCAGTATAGTTGTATAACGCAGTGGGGTTTTAACAATTTTTAGGAAGGACAAAAATGGAAATTACAACCAAAATTGGTAGTTATCCTTTTTTCTCTCCACTCTTCCCCCAAATTTGGGCGGATAGGAAAATGTATAGCAAGGAGGGATAAAGCATCCCTCCTTGCTTCCTCCCTCTCTTCCCTTCCCTCCAACCAAACATAAAAACATTGATCCATCCCTCCTCCTATCCATCCCTCCCCAATCAATCCCTCCAACCAAACATAGCATAAAGGACTTTTTGCTTGTAGTCAGGAAAAAAAAAAAAAAAAAAACTACTAAATTTACCAAAATTGCCCTTCTACAAACTACTTTATAGTATGTTTAGTTGGAGGGGAATGATGGAGGGAAATATATGAGATCGTGGTTAGAAGATTCTTTTCAAATTTGGTTGGAGAGAGTGAAGAGAGTGAGGAAGCAATAGTGATAGGAAAATGATAAGAGAACCGAATCAAACAACCGAATAAAAGGTCGAATTTAACGTGGCTCAGCCACGTCAGATTATTTTCTAAAAAGATATCTCCTACCTCTTCCCTTCTCTCTCCTTTCTTCCTTTAATTCTTGATTTTTCTTTTGTATTCAATCTTATCTTTGATTTTGATTTTGTCTCTCTTTCGATTTCGTAAAATTGAAGATAAAATAAAAAATAAATAAATTTCTTCATGTTTTGCAAATACAAAATCACAAAACCAAAACAGAACAAAAAAGAAAAAGAAAAAGAAAATAAAAGTTACAACTGTTGTTTCTCTCCTTCAGATTTTGTATCCATAAAAATCAAATAAAAATTTTGAGAAGATTCATCCGTTTCTCTTCTCTGGATTAATAACAACTCTTGTGTGGATATTTACTTACAAAAAAAAAAAATTTGCATAGTTTTCATCTTGAATTGGAAAGATTTATTCTTGGAAGATTTATGAATAGAGAAAAGTAGGTAATCTTAAAAAATGAGCTGAAGATAAAGAATTTTGGATCTTGTATCTAGAATACTTCCGATATATGTATCTCAAAAGAGGAAATGTATAAGAAGAATTGGTGAAGAACCAGACACAGAGAGAAGAAAGAACGAAGAGGAAGGGAGAGAAAAAATAAAAAACTGGGAAAGAAAAGATCAATGATAAGGAATTAGGTAATGAAATTATTTGACGCGGACAAAGCCAATAAAATTTGATATTTATTTCGGTAGAAACCTTCAGTTTCTCTATCACTGCACATAGTGATAAAGCATCCATCCTTTCTTTGTATTTTTCTATTCACCTAGAATTAGGGGAAGAGATGAAAGAAAAAAAGTGATAACTACCGACAAATATGTAATTTTTATTTTTAATATTCTTAAAATTTTGAAATAAATATTTACTTTTTTGTAAAAGCTTAAAATTATAGTATATTAGTAAAACAACTATAAATACTATCTTTTCCTGCATTCTAACTAAATAAGAAAACAGTGGTACCATGTCTATCATTTTTAATATCCATTCCATTCAACTAAACAAAAAGTGAGACGATTTCCATTTTCAGGATGCCTCATCCATCCCTCCCATTTTCCTTCCATCTATTTTTCTATCCTTCTACCCAAATATATCTCATTATACAAGTCTCTTTGATTTATTTAACACCTCATGTCCTAACATGATAAATATATATATATATATATATATATATATATATTATTTATTTGTTCAAATTCAAAATTTTCCAGACGTGCAAATAAAATCTTATTTGAATTGCAATCTAGTTATTTTTCTAACTCCAATTTCAATTCCAAATTATATCATAATAACCATTAATTGCAAAATACTTAGGAAAATAAATGAAATGAAATGATAACAATAATCTTTATTTATGTTTGGATAGATAGAAGAGAAAATAAAATAAAAGATAGTAATTTTATTTTAATATGATAAAGTGGAGAAAAGAAGAGAAATGATAACAAAATTACTATCATATCCTTTTAAATAAAAGGGATATGAATGGAATAATAAATTTTTTTTTTTAATTGTTTAGGGCAGTTTTGAAATTATACTTAAACACTATCATTTATTTCCCTGTCTTCTCATTTTCGAAGAGATAAAAAATGACGGATAAGGAAGAGTTATCCTTCCCTATCCTTTCTTAAGCCCTATTATTTCTTTTATTTTCTTTCCTTATCCCTCCAAATCATCCCATCTAAACACACTTTGTTATTATGGTTTTTTGTTAGTTTTTTTATACAAGACAAAAAGAGTTACAAATTAAATTAGTAAATGCAGGGAGTCAAAATATAGCACTCCAAAATTTGCTGAAATCAATAACCAACCGAACTATCTTATTGTCATTATGGTTAGAACTATGAATCCTTTAATAATATAATGAAAAAGTTTGATTGTACATTGACCTATCCCTTTAATTTGTACGAGTAATTTGATGTCTATAATTTTCGTTGAGGATGCCAGCGGCTTCACACGATTCAAATGTCAAGATATCCATCTAAAAGACAAATGTGTCCCCCCCTTCTTCTTTCTCAATTTAATTTTTATTTGAATAATTACTCTTAAATGCAAGAGAGGAATTGGAAGACAGATCACATATGGGGGTGGCCCTGCAACGATGGTTATACTGGTGGATTTTAATACGTCAGCCATAAATGAAAAAAAATATTTGAATATAATAACAACAATGATAATATCGTAAAATTACAACAAACATTCCGATCACTACTATTCATAAAATTAACAAGTGCTAGTAATTTTTAAAAAAAGTTTTCATCAGTATTATTAGCTCAAACTAAAAAGAAAAAAAGTCGAGATAATTTATTCTTGAGAAATGCTTCTGGTGCTTGAGGAGCCCTCCCTCCTAAGATTAGATTGTTTAAAGGGTAAATTATATTAATCTTTTTTGAACTTTGGACAAATTATATACGAATTGGTCATTCAACTCGTGTTGCAACTAAAGAGTGACGTTGAGTGTAAAAAAATCAATAATAGATTATTTTGCATTTAATACAAGGGAAGGATAAAAATTATTATTTTATAAAATTTGATCAAAAAGTTTACAAAAAAAAAAAAGTTAGGGATGTCATTGAACACATGCGAATCAAATTTTAAGTAAAATCTTAAGAAATATCAAAGTAATAAATCTTAAACGGTATACATATGTGCAATTTGCTCAAACATCATGAGATTTTTGTTTAAAATGAGACCCATGAGTCTTTAGCTGGGTAGACTCTACAAAGTTGATATTAAGTGAGTACGTCCAACATACTACCTATCTTAAAGTCAACAGCATCCACCATCTTAATTCTTTTAAAACAAATTTTTTTATACAAGTATGACCAATTCCATTGGGGAAAATAATTAGATGATTTCGGATCATATAATTTTGGCCAATTACAATTTGCATCCGACCCACCCAATATATTTTGATTCCACTAATGCAGCTCTCTCTCTCTCTCTTGAGTAATTCTTTTAAGGGATAATTATACTGACCTCCCTTGAGATTTTGTTAATATATATTGACTTCCCCTCTTGTTTGTCAAATAACACTGACCTCCCTCAAAATTTATAAATTGATAACAGTGACCTCCCTTGCCGTTCAACAATTAACGATTTAAGCTTATGTTCGTCGAAAAAATTAGTACAAAGGCAATTTTACCCTTCTAATACATGAAATGACATTTTTAACCTCAATAATCACTGCAAATTTACAATACTATCCTTAACTTATAAACTCAAAAGGACAATGGTGCCCTCATATATATCAACGACACCCAATGGGTCTAAACTGCAGCAACGAAATTTACCAGAGAGACCAATGGCGGCTGTTTTACTGGCGAGAAACGAGAGCAAGGAAAGATGGGTCAGCGACCAAATAGGCAAGAATAGTATGAAACCCAGTTCGGCGAACAAACTGCAACTCCGGTGACA